CCCCCCCGCCCACCCATACCACCCACACGCCATCGACGACAACCCGCCCGTCAGATCCACAATCCTCCGGCAGGGGGGCAGCTGGACGGCCGATGGTGAGGTGCTCACTAATGCCTCGGCATCGGCGTTCATCATGAGGACCATTACCACGGTCCCTCCACTGGCCAATTGGGGCAGGACTCCTCACGTTGCCGTGACCCGGTACGCAGGACACACCACACACATCCATCCATTTCTCCATCCATCAGGGCCTCTTCCCTCTGTTATGTGCTGGTCTCCTCAGGCGTGCTCACGGCGGAGTGCTGGACGGCCTCCTCAACCACTCGCCCCACCAGCCCCCCAACCGATGCACCGCCGTCATGGCGGCCAGGTTGGACAGCATGGATCCCCTGTAGAGATTCGGACTGTGCTGCTGACGCCATTCAACGGCCCATTTGTCGCATTGATCGATCTCGGCACCTTCGCCAACACGAACGCGGGTGAGGGAGGGGTCAGAGATCCTCTGTGTTGATTGAGCCATTCTTTGACGTGTGCTGTTTCGCTGCATGCAGTGGCTGTGTCCGTTAGCACCACCGAGCCGCCAGTGGGTGATGCATCGGATGCCTTCATGGATCGCCGGCCCGCCACCGCCCCTCTCATACGCGGCGTGTTGGAGCAGCCCATCGCAGATGTGCTCATCTATCAGGAAGAGGCACCTTACCAATGAAGGCTGGTAAGGCGAGCTGTGCGGTGGAAATGGAGTAGTGAATGGGGGCTGGGACCAATGAACGATATGGGCGTGTGCAGTGTTGCCGATACTGACGGATGGATGGATGTCAAGGGACACTTCATATGTATGGACAATACAAATCAACCATGGCATGGTGGTTGACACACACAACTAGCACTTGACACACACATGAGAGAAATGGATGGATGGATCCTCACTTGACATGAAATGGTCCGTCAGTCAGAGGAAGCGTCCCTCGATGCACCACTTACACACACAGACATCCACTGTACAAGCATCCATCCGTCGACAGCATAATCATGGCACCAAAAACACCACAGACAGCATCACTCACACGAGTGGCAGCCTGGTCAGCATGCCCTTGCCCCCCACCGGCCGACGGCGGGTGCCAACCGTGGTTGTCGTCGTGGTCAGGTCGCTCGGCTGGGGCTTGATCTCATAGGGGTACGCCAACGGGGCGTGGCTGAGCAGCGCACCGAGGCGGGAGATGCCCTGACAAGACAAAACAACACACACGATGGTCATCGGTGTCTGCCTGCGTGTGTGTTGTGTTGTCGGACCGACTCACCTGGCGCAGCCAGTTGTGCGTTTGTCTGAGAGAGGACCGGTATTGCACGGTGAAGAGCTCGTCGCAGTGGCGGAGAAAGCGGTAGAGCGTCTGGCGACCCTCCTCCAACCGAGAGGCAAAGGCGAGAATCTCAACGCTCCCTGACGACAGACAGACGAGTAGATGATACACACAAGAATGGGTCGACCATTGTATTGTGGGTTCTCGCGTACAAGTGAAGGTCATCTTGTGCAGGACGGTGACGAGGAGGCTGCACTGGTATGGCCGGCCCTGGTAAGCCAGCTTCACAATCAGCTTCTCCATCAAACGACACACGCACCGGGGACCGAGCCGCTCACCCTACACAGACACACACACACACACACATACAGAGGCCACATCCACCCACAACGGTATCTCTCTCTCCCCTCCCATGCTCACTCACATGTGAGTCGAGATATTTGAGCACGGTGTGTGACATCTTCAGCGGCGCACACGCGATATAAGCCATCAGCTCCACCACATGCTGCTGGCCCTCGGGGAACCGCCTCTGCTGCAGCGGCCGGGGGCTAAGCGACGAGGGCCCGTCGAACCGCTTGGGTGAGGGCGAGGGCGAGCCGGGTGGCGATGGGGGGCTGGCAAAGGGGTCCGGCTGGGCCTTGAGGTTGTCCTCGATGATGTCCCTCAGGAGCTGGAACACGATGGGCGCGTGGGAGGGGTGGATGTCGCAGATGTCCTGCACGCAGACACACAGAGGGAGAGAGAGGTGGTGCCGGTCCGGTACGGTGTGGAAGTACAGTAGTTGTTGGTCCACCGGGGGGGCGGGCCGGGCTTACGGCGAGGAGCAGAGGGATGGTGGCGATGCGCTCCAGGGCCAGCAGGGGGTCGACATGGCCGTCAGAGGACTCCTCTGTCATGGCTATCTGACGCACGTAGCGAATGCACGCCTGCAGACGATGAGCACAGACATCCAGCCATGCCATGCAGTGCAGTGCAGTGCAGTGCTGGTCCGCTCGGTGTGGCGGCCTCACTCACCAGTGCGGCGAGCGGCGTCTGTATGGTCTTGCGCAGCAGCGCGACTTTGCAGTTCTTGCGCAGGTCGTCAGCCCAGATGATGTCACACACCTGCACACACCGACACCGACACACATAGATATGTATGTCATCCGGTGCACCACCGTGTTTGTTTCTTTTGCTCATGTCCTCCAATCATCTCACATGTCTGTCACCTGGTTTAGCTCCTGCCTGCACCGCGCCCTCAGTGCGTCGAGCTGCCGCCTCAGCCGCCTCAGCGCCTTGGCCTCCTGCCGCTCCCTCTTGAGCGTCTTGACCTTCTGCAGCAGCTCACCGCGGTCGCGCGTCACGTCAAACTCGCCCCCAGGGAGGGGCAACACGTAGTAGCCCTTCCCTTTGCCCTTGCCCTTCCCCAAACCACCCATCATCCCCAAGCCCATGCCGCCCATGTCCATATTATCCGGGGCAGGCCATATGGGGGGCGGGAGAGCAGCAACGGCACCAGCAGCAGACGGCTGGTTCTCATCAGGGATACCTGCTGCTGCTGGTGCTGCTGGCGGCGGGCTGCCCCCTCGCATCATCCTCATCCTGGACGAGTCGTCCTCGGCCGACCACGAGCTGCGCGGCCGCCCCCCCTCCTCCGACGAGGGCACGTTGTCATGCAGCATGAGCGAGGGGCGGAAGGACGACGGACTCTCCTCGCTGGTTGGCTCCTCGCGCTCGCCGTAAGAGTTTCGGTTGTCCTGCGAGTCGCCCTCGTCCATCGAATCTGACACATCTCCTCCTGCGTGTCGGGGGCGCTTGAGCGGCGGCCCGCCCCCCAGGTGGTCGTCGTCATCTTCTTCTTCGCTGTCTGATCGAGCTCTGCGTGGCGGGAGGGGGGGCGGGAGGGGCTCGTTGCTGTTAGACGACTCATCCGATGGGGTGAATGGGGGACACTCATTGTGGTCGACTGAGGCCATCGACATGGGCTGCGGGCCGCTCGCGGCATCGTCGCCCTCGTTGCCCTGCCCCTCTCCAGCGTCACCATCTCCCTCTTGGTGGTCTTCTGAGTCGTTGTCGGTGTCGGAATCGTTCTTGAGCTGGACGAAAAGCTGGTACAGCTCGCTGACGGAGTAGTCGTCGAGCTCATCGTCCTCCTCGATGTCGAAGTACTCACACAGCGCCTGGTAGCACTGCTTCTCGGCACTTATCACATCCTGATGTGATGATGTGGCGGCAGACACACATCACATGGGTCTCTCTCTCTCTCTCTCTGCGTGTGTGTGTGTGTGTGTGCGTGGATTGTGTGTCGCACGTACGTCGTATTCGCCGACTTGTTCGTTGTGGGTGAAGCTGTCGTCCTTGCGCTCCTGCAGGGAGCGGTGCTCCACAAACGCGTTGCGAAGATCGACCTCATCCCACACACACAGCTCCACCAGGAAGTCTATCAGAGACGCCTGTGAATGAATGAGAAAGGAGGAAGAGGGCAGAACGCACCGATATATGAGAGGATGCTCAGGTGGGTGACACACTGCATGGCTTGACATAGCAGCTTACGCGGACGGTGTTGTCGAGCGCCTTCTTGGGGTATGTGAGCATGTCCAGGACCATGTCGATCACCCATGGGCCTCTGCACACACACACACACACACACACACACGCACACACGCACACACGCACACACGCACACACAGGGAACGAGCAGTGAGAGGACGGGTGTGAGCTGGAATGGATGGCTCAACTCAAATCAGCTTACCTGAGTAGGTCCTCTAGTCGCACATCGGCCTTGAGAGAGGGGTTCCCCACACCCAGTGGGGCAGGGCCACCTGCACGCAGACAGAGGTGCCGGTGGCATGACTCACGTACCTCAGTCTTATCTGCCCCCTTCCCTTCTGTGCCGGCCCGCCTCAGCCCACTTACTGTCTTTGCTGACGCCCGAGAAGCTCTCCTCCCAGGCCGACTCCCTGCCCTCCCCCTCGGCCCCCTTAGCCGCACTCTCCCCCGCACTCCCCGCACCACCCACCACCGACCCAGCAGCGGGCGTCTCCCACGCCCAAGGGTCCAAAGCCGCTCCCGTGTGGGCGTCATCGAGTGCTGCCAGTCTCATGGGTGGGGGCGGCGAGCTGGGCGGGCTGGGGAGAGGGAAGGGGAGGTTTGCCGCGTCGGCGCCGAGAGGGAGGGAGTCGTCTTGTGTCGGTGTCTGGTGCTGCTGATGGTGGTGGGTGGGGGAGGGTGTGGGCCATGTGATTGCGAGGGGGAGGGGGAGAGGGGAGGCTGACTGCGGGTGAGTCTTGTTGCGGTGTCGGGAGAAGAGGCCCGACAGATGTGATATGTCGTCGGCAGTAAGGGGGCCGCCGGTGCGGTCTGCACAGACAGAGAGGGAGAGAGAGAGGTCCCGGTGCGGTCAGTGTACTCTGCGTTTGGCGACAGGGTGTGGTGTGTGCTTACATGACTGTTGCATGAAGACGCTCTGCACGGCGTTGAACAGCTCAACATCCCTGACACACACACACACACACACGAGACGGAGAAGCATTCAATAATTGCTGGGTGGCCCGGGTGCGTCTGACTTGCTGTGCAGGTCAGTAAACCGCAGGCACAGCCGACCCACAGACTTCTTGGCCTCGCCACGCAGCTGCACACACACACACACACACACACAGAGAGAGAGAGAGAGAGACCGCCCAATGGACGAACACAATGTGTTCTGTTCGTCCCTCAGGGGAGCCCAGCGCCCCTCACCCTGCCCACCCTGTCGATGAGTGCGTGTCTGAGTCTGAAAATCTTGTGCTGGTCCCTGGGGGGCCGGATGCGCTGCAGCACGAACAGCAGGGCCTGCGCGACGATGAAGGTGTACTCGCCCGTGCAGGCCATGCAGTACACTGACTGCAGCAGCTCCTCCTCGGCGGCCAAATCCTGCAGGACACACATTACATTAGTTACACACAGCACAAGGGTAGGGTGCCCAGGGTGCCCATCTTGGCTCGTGTGTCGGCCGGCGAATGAATAAATGGGTCATGGTGGAGTGGACTCGACTCACCGCAGCGATGTAGCTGGCGACGGTGTGGCAGAATGTGGTCAGGTACACGCGGAAGTTGGCCATCTCAGCCCCGGTCTGACGACACACACACACACACGCACAGCCGTCCATCCATCCATCCATCATGTCATCTGTCTGTCTTGCGCACCTTGACGATCTCTTCGACCGTCTCAGCGGGCGATACGGCGTGTGCAATGCCGCTGACGATGGAGTGGAGCACCACTGAGTCGTTGTCGCGGGTCAGCGCGTAGACACTCTCGCGCCAAATCTTGTGCTTGCACAGCTGCACGGCGATCTTCTGCCACTTCTCCTGGTGCTCAGGGGTGGGGTGCTCGAAGTCGAAGAACTGCGCGTCTGAACCAACCAACCAACAAAGATACACACACACACACACACACACACAGTTACACTGAGCATACACACATGCGAGCCCGCACAAGACCGGTCTCTCACCTAGTGCAGCAGCATCGAAATGGTCTTTGAGGAGCTTCTGGTACTGCTCCTGCAGCTGCAGACGCGACAGCGACACGGCATGAGAGAATCAGATCAGCCTCCATGAGTGCAGTGCGCGGCGGGCGTGTGTGCATCCCTCGCGCCGCGCCCGCCCTACCAGTCGTTCTGCGTTTCGCGTCTCGCCGGGCAGCCCGGCCACCCACTGTGCGAGCTGCCGGGCGCGGGAGGGATAGCCCACCAGATTGTCACACAGACAGTCCTTCACCTCCTGGCCCCATCAACACACACAGAGGACAATAGAATGCAGATGAAAGCACTAGGTGCGTGTCTGTCAGGGTCCCTCCCTCCCTCCTACTGACCTGCAGTGTGCCTCCCGCCGCGATGAACCTCCGTATGTGTGTGCCGATGTTGACATCTAGAGCGGCGTCGGGGCGCTCCAGCCGGCGCTTCAGGTCCTCCCTACTGCCGCCGTCCCTACCGTCAGCTGTGCTGCTCACAGAGGGGTGCTGCCGCTCCTTCCGCTTCGCTGATGGACACACACAATGCAAATCAAATGGGTGGATTGCCCTCATGTGAGCAAGGAGTGAGTGACGCCACGCCGGCAGCATCGTGCGCCCGATGCGGCCTGCCTATCTCTCGCGTCGGTTGGCCTCGTCTTATCATATATCATACATCCGGCGATGAGTGTGATGTGTGTGTGTCCCCTCCCTCCTCACCTTCGTTCATGAATCTTGCCGCTGCGGCACTTCGGTCGGTTGCCTTGATCAGCTCCCAGTACCACAGGAGCTTCAAGGTGCCCGCCCCGGCCATTCTGAGTGCAAGTCCTCAATGAATCACTTCAACGCTCAACGAGTCGTCTGGTAGCAGGCTCCCACTCAATCCATCCGCCTCCTCGAGATTTTCCCACATCGGAGAGAGAGCGGTTTCATGGAGCACCCTAGGCGGCTTATGCGAGCTTGAAGCTCGTGAGGTTTTTCGTGCTGATGATTCGATGCCCATGAGGCCGCCACTTGACGTTTCTCCACGGCGTTCTGCGGGTCGGTGATGGCCTCGGCTGAGTGCGGCTGGTAGGAGGGCGTTGGTTGCATTCATCGCCATTCGGCCACCCGCCTCTGTAGCTTTCCCATGGCGTCTAAGAGGCGTCTGGATCTCCCGGACGGTCCGCAGCCTGCCTCGCGCTTTCGCTATGCAGGGCCCAACGACCCGTTGGCGCCGCCATGCAGCGCTGACTTCACGTGAGATGGATGCATGGCAGGCAGCGAGGGAGAGGTCACGGCGTTGGTGGTGGTGGTGGTGGGTTGGGATGGCTCTCTTGTGTTGGTCTCTTTCAGGTATGCGTTCGACTTAGCCATCGCTAACGTGCTGTGCAAGGTGAAACCTGGCGATGACATTGAAGTCAAGGTACGTGTGGGAGGGGCCACGCGATGATGCTCGATGCTCCTCTTTCCCTCATCCATCCATCCATCCATCCGATGTGTGTGCCTTCCCTCACCCCCCCAGTGGTACATTGCCAAGGACGGTGAGAACGAAACCCAGCAGTCGGCGTCGACCGCTGCCCCGTCGGCCTCCCCTCCCGCCCCGGCCCCTATGCACGACGGGTCATCAGAGGAGTCGAGCACGGCCGCAGCGACCACCACCAACGTGTCGCCCACTGAGAGCAAGGCGGAGGGCGGCACTGATGACAAGGAGGGGGGAGACAATAGGGACGAGGAAGAGGGTGAGAGAGAGAAAGGAAATCGACTCACATAGGGGGTGGGTCGATGGATGGATGGATGGATGCCATTCATGGGCCTGTGTGTGTGTGTGTGTGTGTGTGTGTCAGAGGAGGCGGGGCAGCCGGTATGGTTTCGTGCGACGGTAGAGGGCCCGGATGGGGAGAAGAGGGACCCTAGCGGCAGGCGACTCTGGAAGGTAGGTACCCACACCTACACCTACACACACAGACCATCCATCTATCCATCCATCCATCCATCCATTCTGTCACACACATCCCACAGCTTTGCTACGCCCCTCTAGTGGAGTTCAGCGGCGAGACGGCCTCGGTGTCGTTCATCACTCGCCACCTGCTGTTCGACCCCCGCCACTCGGGTCTGTTGTCGTGGCGGCGTGAGGGCGAGGACTATGAGGACGAGGAGGAGGAGCACGAGCTGTCCGAGCAGGACTCGACGCTGGAGTTCATCGAGGGGCTCAAGGCACAGGAGGCCTGCCAGCTGATCAACCCGGAGGAAATGGCGGTCAGGCAGCCACAGAGAGAGAGAGGCGCAACCGAGACAGGAAGGGAATGGTCGATGAATCGCTGATGGTCGATGGGTGTGGTCCGATGGTGTGTGCAGGGTTCTGTGTTGGAGGGGGACTTGGGCGACCAGCTCCGCGGCCTCCCAATGACGCAGCAGATCCAGGTCGTCGACCACATCAAGTCCATCACCAAACGGTTCAAGGTGACTATATTGCGCTCCCCACCACCTGGACGGCTGTCTTGTTGCATCCATCCATCCAGCCAGCCATCCAGCCATGCATCTGTCCACCTGTGTGTGTGTCAGGAGCGGTTGCGTGATTTGGTAGCTACCAAGGGCGCCGAGTACGTGTTGACGGCGGGCGATGTGCAGAGTCTGGAGAGGGAGTTGCGGGAGGCCAGGCAGCGGCTGCGACAGGGGAACCAGTCCTAATCGACCATGGTTGTTTGTTGCTGAACACACCTCCTCCTCTAAAGGCACGACTGACCGTTGTATAACTGCATACCCGTGTTTGTCTGTGTGTGTGGCTGCGCGGCTCGGCCGGGTGGGGTGGGGTGGCTGACTGTGTGTGTGGAGACAGACAGTGGGGTGGTTGGGTTTTGTTTGTGTGTGGTCCGGTCGGTGTGTGGCTGAGCGGGGTGTGCGTGTACCATGAATACGTCATGTATGCCTCGTCGCACTGTTGTATTACTATGTGAAGGAGACACGCGGGCTATTGAGGAACCTTTCTCTTCAATTGTTCTGACGTATAAGAGGCCGCTCGCACACATGCACTCACTACGCACACCCGTCAGCCAGTCTCCCTCCAACAGCTGTACAAGCACGCACACGCTCTCTCTCTCTGTCAATCAACCATCGATCGACACACACGCATCTGCCTACTCAGCCCCCTCCTGCAGCAGCCTGCCCGAAAGGCGGTACGTGTTCTCAAAATGGTGGATGCTCCGCCACGTAATCTCATACAGCTTCTCTACCTCGCTCTCACACCCACTCAGACACTCCTGGACGAACGCCTCGCTGCCCGCAGACATGTCAGACAGTGCAGTCAGGTCAAAGACGAGAGGCTTGATGGCACAGATGAGCCTCACGCAGCCCCGCACACACGCATACGACACGAGTGGGTCGTCGGTGCGGATAAGGCTGATCGCCCGGCCTGCCTTCATGATGAGATGCTCGATCAGGGGGTAGACAAATGAGGGCCCATCGGCAGGCAGCTCACTCAGACACGCACCACAGAATACGGAAAGGGTCGGCACGCGGGGGGGGAGGAGCGAGACGGCCTCCCCCACCGCCTCCAGGCTACTGCTCTCGATGACCACCTTTTCCAACGAATGGATCGACCCCAGCAGCACCCCCAGGGTGTGCGGAGGCGGGGGGTCTGCTCGTACTCGTCTCGCTCCTCCTCCCCCACCCCCCGCCCGTCACCCTGGATGCAGCCGACCTGCAGCTTCAGCTCGGTCAAGTTGGGGAATCGGGTACTCTTGCCCTTGGCGTCTCGGTCGGCCAGCCAGGGGGCCATGGAGGGGATGGCCTGGCATGGCTTGTTGGCGTAGATGTCGAGCTTGCTCGCCTGAGGAAAGTAGAGGTGGTCACTCCAGTCGTCGTGGAGAGCTAAGGGGCCGCCGCAGTACGACACCTGCCGACAATCAATCAGTGGATGGAGGGAGGGAGGGATGGAGGGAGGGAGACAACGACGCTGGCGTGCTGAGTGGGTGTGCAGGTGGGTGGTACCTTGTCGGCTTTGCTCGCGAGTTGGCCAATGAAGCGCGCGGCCGTGGGGTCTGGAGGCGAAGCGAATGGCATGGCGGTCTTGTCGCTCTCGCACGACAGCCACATCTGGTCACACTCCCACTCAATCTGATACGCATAGACACGGCACACCCAGACAGACATAGTCTCACACGTATGTGCAGTGAGTGAGCGAGTGCGGCGTGCTTGATTGCCTGGCAGTTGCTGGATTGTGCCCACGAGAGGAATGCTGGTATGCTGAACGAGCCGGGCCCTCGAGGGAACGAGTGGATCTGCAGGGAATGAACACGCAAAGTGGTTCACACCTAGACATAGCACATGTGTCCATCGTACCTGGTCATTGAAGTCGGCTCCAACACCTACAGTCTCAACAGCGAAGCGCAGTTTCTTGGGCACCCCTGCACACACACACACATCGGAACGCATCGAAACATCTGTGCGTGCCGTGCACCACCCATACCCACCCCAGTGCCCACCTAGCATTGCTGGTGCGGCCCACTGTGCCGAGAGGGCGTTCTTGACCATCGACAGGGGTGTCAGGGCCTTGCTTAGGTCTGTGGCCCTGATGTTGAGCTTGGGCAGCGATTCGACGGCGGGGCAGCTCTTGAGAGCGGAGAGAAAATCCTGCTGCTTCTTGTCGATGACCACCCCGAGCGGCTCTGGCATGAAGCCCGCTGGTGTAGCCGACATGTGGCCGCTGATGTGGATGAGCTTGGGGGATGTCTTGATGATGTGCTGGATCGCCTCGCTGCAGCTGCTGTCGAGGTGAAGGGTCAGCAGGCCGGGGAAAGTCCAGCGGTGACTCCTGATACACAGCATCGGGCGATATGATGAGTGAGCGGGTAGAGGTGACGGGCCGGGCACTGCTGGAGCTTACTTGAAGTATGATAGCCAAGTGTCGCTAGTGACGCTGAGGTGCTCCACACTTGTCAGGGCCACACCACGCCCACGGTGAAACAGCTCCCTGATGTGCCTTTGTTCGTTCGTTAACGGACACCTGCCGATGCCCCTCACTCGCCGCTCGTTTGGGGTGCCTCCGACGTCTACTGGCGTGAGTGTGCTGCTGTTGGCCGCCAAGATCGACGCAGCGAGTTCCAGCGACGACTCCTGGAAGACAGCCACGATCGTGGCTGCCTTGACACTCGTCTACACGCGCACATACGGAGAGAGGATGTGTCAGAACCGCTGCAGCCGACACACCACGTCATACTCACCAGCCGTTGCTTGAGTAGCGTCTGTTGCTGCGGTGTGTATGCGTCGTCGCTGGAGATGGTGAAGTGCTGCAATATGCCGGTCTTCTTGCTCATGACCTGAGTGCGGAGATCCCTACTGACGCGGCACAGCCGGGCGGCCTCCTTGGTGCTGAAGAAGGCCGCGATGCCCTGGACGAAGAGGCCGGCGGGCAGCCCGTCCAGTGAGGCGCGGCAACGAACCTGACGACAACAGATGGGGTCCACACACAATGCTCTGTGGAGAGAATGTGGTGTGTTTGTTTGGTCACCCACCGACCTGGCTATGCATCGTCTGGTTGGTCAGTGATGTCTTGGCGACGTCTGCCGCCTCGAGGAAGCCAACCAGCACGCCGCTCACAACACTCTGCGGCAGCCCGTCCAAACAAGGCTGGCCGTATGGCTGCACAAACGAAAGCAAGAACAGGCAGGACACATCAATGGGTGGAGGGATGCAGTTGCGTGTGACGAGGTATTCGCACCTGTGCGGGTGGTTTCCATCCGACGGCTATGGGTCGTAGTGGCTTGATGGCGGCGTCTAGGACCTCACTGGCGCTCGACACCATACCCACGGCAGACGACAACATGGCTACCAACTCACTCCCACCAGGTAGCTACACACACAAATACACACACACACACACACAGAGAGAGAGAGAGAGTGACTTTCGTGTGCGGTGTGCCCTCCGTGTTGCCTACAATGAATCGGTGAGGGTCGCCCAGGATCTTCTCCGCCTTGAGCAACTGCGCAGGCACCTGGCAAAGGAACAGCGTCGCAGACCGGAATTGAGGGAAAGGACAGCTCAAGGCCAGCCAATGAGCTGACCTGTTTCCTGATTTCCCGGATGCACTTGAGGTCTGGGGATGATGCAGCAGCGACGGGCATGGGTGGCGTGGGGTCAGCCTCTCCCTCGCCCTCCGTCGAGCTGAGGTTGTCATCGTCATCGCCACTGTCATCGTCCTCATCAGATGAGACCGAGCCGCCATCTGCTGCTGCTGGTGGTGAGTCGGAATCTGGAGCCGATGCTCGCTGCCAGTAGATGCCGTGTTTCCCCATCGGCCACTCGCCACACCGACCCACCAACTCCCCCTCCAGCTTCAGACGCTCATCGCGCATCTTCTCCAACTTCGTGCTGCACACATCACAAACACCAAACAAGCACAAACGACGAACATGATGGGTGGATGACGTGTCGATCTGTCGTGTGCCCGAGCTGTCTGTGTAGGTGCGCACATACATGAGTTTCTCGTTGTATTTCCGTTCAATCCGCCAGCAGGATGCAGGGGCCGGCTGTTCTGCGAGGGTGAAGGTCTTGGTTATCAGCTCCTTGTGCTCGACGAGGGCCTTGATGCCCCCCCGCAGAGTGGCCATGCCGCACTTGAGCTGCAGAGGCACAGAGGGAAGCGGAGGGGGCTCAGGCTCCTGCATGACAAACACACATTAGGATGTTTGTCTGCGGTCGGCTGCGCGGTGAGTGCATTCTCAGTGACCCACCCAGATGGAGGGCAGGAAATTGACGATTTGGTCCAGTTGGTTGATGTGCCCCGTCAGCTGCACACGCACACGCACACACCCATCCATCCATCCACCCACCCGTATCCCTCCCTCCGCACTCCATCACTCCCCAATTGTCACTCCCTCACTCACCTGCGCCTCGAGCGTCGGCAGCTGTGCCTTTACCCGCCGCAGCTGCTCATAGATATCACGCAGCTCCTGTCGCCCGCCGCCCTGCATAACGCAAACAACCGATGCATGATGAGTCAAGCATTCAGGAGAGCATGCTGGCATCACAACCCATCCACTCGCTGTACCTGTCCCTCCATCTTGCTCGAGACCGACAGCAGAGAGAGCCATTGTCTACCCCCTCACTCCAACGACCCCCGCGAGCCCAAAACCCCACAAACCCTAAGCCCCAAACCCTGAACCCAGAAAGCCCGCCGCCACAGCAATTGTCCGGTGTCTTCATCTTCCGCGTTCTCCTTCCTCGCCCGCTACGTTTGTCGCGCATCAGCTAATCTGTCCGTGTGTCTGTCTGTCTGTCTGTCTGTCTGTCGGCAAGATGAGTGGGATGAAGTTTTGCTCCGAGTGCCGCAACCTGCTGGATCCCGAGGAGGATAAGGAGCGGCGGCAGCTGGTCTTCAGGTGCAAGCGGTGCAACATCAAGGAGGCCACCGACCCAGACAGCGCCGCGGAGAACACTATCGAGCGGCGCAACATCAACTACGAGTCCAAGGAGGAGGTCTTCATCCGAAGAGAGATCGTTGAGGACAACACACTCAGCAGAACCAAAGACCACGAGTGCCCAAAATGCAGGTGGGTGGATGAGACGAACATCCAACATGCTGCGCACAGGGAGAGAGATGGCTTTTGCGTGTGTGTGTATGTGTGTGGTTCAGGTATCGAGGAGCGGTGTTCTTTCAGCTGCCCGAGAAGAGCACCGACCAGGCCATGACGCTGGTCTTTGTGTGCGAGAACTGCGGACACTGGGTCAGGGGGGGCAGGGACTGACTGACCAATTGCGATTGACTGACTGACTGTCTGATTGACCGAGAGTGACTGACTGGTTGACCTATTTGTCAGAATCACGAGGTAGCTTTTATCCGATAAGCACCGTTCAAGTGGTTTTTCCGTGGCGTGGCGTGTCATGCGACATGATGAGATTAGACCATCAGTGATCGATCGGTTGATTCATCACGCGAACACTGAACGTCCCAGACAGACAGACACTCACATTGATTGAGTTCTGTTCTGATGATGAATCACGCACGTCATGTCATGCAGAGAAGCAGACACACGCACATCACATCCAGCTACGCTAAGCTGCGTCGCATGAGCACAGTGCATTCAGACCCGATAGTGCGTGTTGCCCACCTGCAGGCGGGCATACAACACACAGTCACATTTTGCCGTGATCCTTCGTTGCTCCTGTACCTTGTTGCAAGTATCACATCATGCCTTCCGTCATCCGTCCGAGTCGTCGTCCCTGTGGCGAGACTTCTTGTGCTTCCGCCGCCGACCGCGGCGGTCGTCCTCCTCTTCATCCTGTGGTCCAAACCATAGCCAGAAATGTCAGTACTCGGGCTTTACAGTGGGTGGTTGTCTCTGGTGTGTGTGTGTGTGCAGGTACCTCTGACGCGTCGCCCTTGTCCCGTCTGCGCTTCTTGTCCTTTCGCTTCTTGTGCCGACGGTGACCCCTGCACCGCACCCATCACACACACGTGAGAGGACAGACAGATGTGTGTGGACTGGCAGTGAGTGTGTGTTTACTCATCGGAGTCTGAATCGTCGTCTCGTTCTCTCCTCACCTGCACACACACAGCGAGAGAAACACAAACAGTCAGTCACTGCGGAAGCGACCACACATAGACGAGAGAGCAACACGGTAAGGAGAGCAGAGCAGAACAGGTATGAAGGGGCATGACGCATCGCATCAGTGAGTGAGTGATCCATTGGTCCGTGCACTTGTTTGCTTGCGGGTCAGATTTTGATGCTAAGATCGGTGCCTCGATCGTGGCCAAACGGCCGCCCACAAACATGATAGCCATGAGGGATACGGGATGTACAGATATGCATCTCTCTGCCCACTCTGTCTGCCTGACCCTCGCTCTCCCGTCCACCACTTGCTTTACCTGTACCACGTTTCGGTTTCGTGGGCCAGCCACACGACATTCGCTACCACTGCCGCCCCGCCCCCTCACGCCACGCACACACAGGTAGGTGTCATGCACCCCCCCTCTCGTCCCCTGCCCACCTTGTCTCGGTCTCTGTCCCTCATGTCGACATCGTCGTCATGCCCACCGTGCCTCTGCTGCTGCCCCTTGCCGTCATCCTTACTGCTGCCGCTCATGGCCGTCATGCGATGATGGTCCGCGTCGCCACCGCCCTCCCTGTGTGTGCAGTAGTATAAGAATGCGTCGCGCCGGATGCGGTCGTCGGGCACCATCTCGATGGCGACCTCGAACTGACCCTGCTTCTTCAGCACAGACATGGCGGCGTCATACGAGATGTCAGTCTGAACGGAAAAAGACGTCTCGTGTGTGCGATGTGTGTGTGGTCCTCTTCAGTCTTCACACCCACCGGGACGTCACACTCGTCCAGAAGCTCGGCGAAGCGTCTGCGGATCTTCTTGACCTCTTTCTCCGCATGGCGGGCCCTGAGGAGCGGATAAGGGCAGCAGGGAGGACACGGAGTTTTGTGTGTGTGTGTGTGTGTGTATGTGTGTGGTTGTTCGGCTCACTCGTCTTTGGTTTTGCGCAGGAGAGACTCGTAGATGAGTTTGGCGTTGACGGCCGACACACCCTTGAAGTCGTCGTGGTCCGCACACTCCTCGTGAAACCTGATGAATCGACCGACCCGTGGTGGGTGTGTACCTGCATGTGCTCTGTGTTGTGCTTACGTTTTCCAGTCGGTGTCGGCTTTGATTTTGAGTTGGGCATCTTCGAGTATCTTGATGACGATGTCCTTCTGGTCCTGATACTCCTCCTGCGAAACGATGCACACACGCAGAGGGAGACAGGTATACAGCTGGGCTGTTTCATTGCTTCCTCTATCTGCTGGCTTGGCTTCTTCTGACGGTGAGGTCTTCAAGCTTGTCTTCAAACAGGTCGCGAGGCGTCGAGCCGCCCTGACCGAGCTGATACCAAGTTGCAGCAGGGAGAGAGATGGTGTGGGTGTCCTTCCCTTGGACCGTCTCCCTTGTCCCACCTCCCACCTACCCTACCATGTTTCTGTATCGCTCGTCGTCCTTGATGGTGGGCATGAAGTCCTGCCACAGCGTCTTGGCGTTGATGTTGTTCCGAACCACCGACTCCTGAACATACAATACACAAACACCACACCCAACATGCAGACGCCCTCTCTCTCCCTCCCTCCCCGCCTCCGCCCCACCCCACCTCATCCCACCTCGAGCAGCTGGTTGAATGCGTCCCTGTTCTTCCTCTCCGTCCTGTATGTCTTCTTGCGTTTCTCCTCGTCGGCCTTTCTGTCGTCGGCGGCCACCCAATCGCGCCAGGCGAAGAGTGCGTCGACCTTGTCGAGCCACTTGAAGTCACAGTCGTCCTTCATCAGCTCAACCACGTCGCGCCAGCGGGTGTCGGCCGTCAGGGTGGGGTGCAGGGAGAATTTCGATTGCACCTGAGCAGACAGGGGAGAGAGGGGGCACAAGTCATGTCATGTGTAGTGTATGGTGGTTGGTGAGCTGGGTGGTTCTGTGTGTGTAGGTTAGGGAGGGGATTGAGGGGTGTGGTGTGTGTTAGTGGTACCTTTTCCACGTATTCTTGCCGCTTTGCTCGTCGCTCCTCCCGCTCGGTGCGCTCGTGCTCCTCCATGAAATCCTGAACACACACACGACAGACGGACAGAGAGACGGACAGAGAGAGAGAGATGGCCACAGAATCACGAAGACGTTGTCAGAGGTAAGTGCGAGCGCAGTGCAGTGCATGTGTGGGTCGAGTCGGGTCGGTCGGCGGATCAGTGCGAAAGACTAATAATATAATGTGTGGATCGGCTCAGCCAGTGCCCGCAGGCCTGTCTCGATCAACCAATCCTAGGGATACGCTCATCCCACAGCCGCCTCCCTATCTCTGTCTGCCTCCCCATCCATCCCTGTTTTGCCTTGTGTCTTGCTGACTGACTGACCTGGAATGCGTCATCCCGCTCGTTCTCCTCGGTGTAGCGCCACCAATCGGACTGGAAATACATCTCGGCGAAGTCCCTGCACACACACACACACACACGGAAGCACATCCAACCGTGGATTCACTCACAGGCGGGTGTGTCTGTCTGTCTGTCTGCACGTTGTCTGCGCGTGTGTGTGTGTCTCCTGCAGCCGACCTGTATCGGTTGGTTCCCTTGGTCTGCGGCCATTTCTTGATCTCCTCCAGCAGCGTCACGCGCGCCTGAATGAACAAGTGGAAGCCGCACACATGCATACCTCCAGTCACGTGTGTGTGTGTGTGTGTTTGTGCGCAGAGCAGGGGTTGGGCGCTACCTGTTTTCGTTTCTCCCTCTCGAGCTCCTTGGCCCGCTTCTGCGCCTGGCTGAGGTACTCGGCGAACATCTGCCGCTTCTCACCGGTCGTCAGCTTGGAAAACTGCTTCCGAACCCTGATGTATAGGACATAGGCCAAGGTAGGGGGAGTTCGACATGCATCGAGCGTCTGTCTGTGGCCTCCCCTCCCCTCTCCCTTCCCTCACCGTTTGTCGTTTTGCAGCAGCTTCGACGCCTCCTCCCATTTCCATCTGTTCGTCACACCCTTGGAGGTGAACAACTCCTGCACCACACCCACAAACCAACAGGGGCAACCGACCAATTCAGTGCACACCACAGCCTCCCTCCCAGCCAGCACAGCAGTTCTAATGGTCTTGCTGTACCGTACCATGAGCGGCTCCCTGGCCTCCTTGGCGTCTCTGTATATCACCAGCCCCTCATCGTCGCTCTCCTCCTCCTGCTGGGGCGGCTGCTGCGATGCCGATGGTGCGACCATGATGACATCGCCCCTGTCGTCGTCCCTCTGCTGCTGTGCGATGCCGTTGACCGACGATGAGGGCGGGGGGGAGGGGGAGGGCGATGCCGACGGCGGACGGGCCTTTGGCAGGGATGGGGGCAGCTCGGCGTTTGGGTTCTCTTTGAGGAGTTTGAGCTCTGGGGGCATCTGCCAGAGGCTCTGCTTGGTCAACGTGTTGTAGTAGTACGTGCGACCGTTGGCTGCTGTGTACTCCTGCACACATGCAGGACACGACACGACACTCGCATGACTCGTGGGACTACGTGACGTGTGCGTGTGGCCTGACTGACTGATTGCCTACCCGCCAGGCTGTTTTCTTCATGAGCAGCCGCTCCTGTGCCGTGAGCATCTCCTCAGGCTTGTCCCAGCGAGACTGCTTCGTCTGATCAATGACACACACACAGATGTTTGTCATACGTGCAGCATAGCATCGTCTGTCTCCCTTTCTCTCGGGGTGGGTGGTTATGGTACTTACTTTGGTGTTGTGGTAGTACTTGCGCCCATCAGCTGCCGTGTGCTCCTTCCAGCCATGATCTGGACGCATTGAATGCATTCCCACACACACACATTTAAAATAACTGACCACCCATCCCTCCGTCCATCCATCCAGCTAGCCCCCCCCCCCAAACTCTCTCTCACCTGGCTCCTCTTCCCCTTCCTCCTTCTTGATCACAACTGGTGCGGCCGGCTGCTGGGACTGAGCACCCTGAATGGTGGTGCTCGCGCCTGCAGCGCCGGTCTGCGCCACCGCCACATTGGGCGACGGCTGCTGCTGCTGTTGTTGCGCCGCAGTAGCTGTGGCGGCAGGCTGTTGTGTTGGCGGTGTCATGCCGGGGGGCGCTGCCATGAAGGGCGGCATCATGGGCGGCACAGCCATGCCAGGAAAACCCATACCAGGGTACATGCCTGCAGGCAGGCAGGCAGGCAGGCAGGCAGGTAGGCAGGCAGCAGAGAGAGAGAGAGAGGGGAGGGACTTGCTGTGTGCTGCCATGTGGGTGTGGGTGTGGGTGAGTGTGAGTGTGAGTCGTCCTTACCCATCATCATGCCAGGGAAAGGCGGACGCGCACCTGAGAACAAACAAGAGAAACACCGACAGGGCGGCAGTGGTGATGTGCTGATTGATCTCTCATCCTTTCATGCCGTGGATCCTCACCTGGCGCGTTGCTCGCCATCGATGTCACTCGCGATCCTCACCTTATCGCCTCTGCGGCACACCAACAGCGTCACAAGTCTACTCAGGAGGCACCCACTGCCCCCTTTCCCCTTCCTCTCTTCTTTTGCGAGCTCACCACCTTCGTGAGCTTGCGTTTGTTTGGTGACGTTAGCGACGCAAAAAGGACATCAGCTAGCCAGGTGTGCACGTCAAGTCAACGTTCTGCCGAACGACCTGACCGTCGACCCCTCCCTACACAGCAAGCAAGATGGTAAGCACGGAGAGAGCCACGTGGGGAGCTAGAGAGGGAAGCGAGGGAAGAGCTGAGGTGTAGGGAAAAGGAGGAGCCTGGAAGCGCTCACTCAGTGTCCCTGTTCAAAGAGAGGCAGCGCTTTGTGTGTTAGAATATCGTGTTGAGGCGTGAACGTGACGCGAAAGCACTTGACAGGCCACCCGCACTGTACTGTGACGTGTGTGTGTTGTGTGTGTGTTGTGTGATGTATGTCAGCCGGCTCCCCGCAAGCAGCAGCTCAAGTCCTCTCAGTTCGAGAAGAACATCAGCAAGCGCGGCATGGTGCCGACGAGCAAGGACAAGAAGAACAGGTTCGCCGTCGGACCTGCCGTCCTCGCCGTCTTCCTTTTCGTCGTCGTCGGATCGGGTACGTCACGTGCCTATAGATAGATAGCTACACCACACCACACCAGCCGACACACGTGACCGTGTTTTTTCTGCTTGCGTGTGCCTGTGTTGTGACCCGTGTCGTGTTGTGCAGCCGTCCTGCAGATCATCGCATCGGCAACGAGGAACCAGGTGTTCTGAGCCACCGTGATGGCCGTCGTGTGGATAGAGAGGATGCTCTAGCACAGCGACGGCGATTTTTACTTAACGATGAATGAAGGGCTTTAGATAGAGGTGTGTGAGTGGACAGGACGGGTGGGGTGATGTGCTGTGCAGGGGGAGGAGGGAGTGGGCGCAGGGCAGGGCAGGGTACCTAATGCGTACCCCTTGTGTGGGAGAGTGAGCGCGTGTGGGTGCTGTGTTGTGGTGTCGTGGTTGCTGTGGTCTGTCTGCGGTGGTTGACGCTGGCTGCGTCGCCTGCTAATTAGTGGATGGATGGATGGATGGGACGGATGGGGGCCGCTCAGTGAGCTGAATACGTGACGTTGATAGCACGCTGTTTGGTGCTTCATCCTCTTGGATTGGTTCGTCAGCTGCTCATCGAGTAAGCCATCGACGGCTTACTTGGTGACCGGCTGAGGGAGACATCTGAGGAAGAGGATGGACACAAATGGTGATGCCTGCCTGCCTGCCTGCCTGCCTTGATGCCTTGATGCATGGCGGGTTGATGAAGCACTGCATTGCTCGACATATGTGCCACCTTTCCCCACTGCATGTGTGTATTTTTGATGGTCGAGCACAACACATCAGATGAGCGTAGGGCATCCACCCATCCCATCCATCCATCCATCCATCTATGTGTGTGTGTGTGTGTGTGTGTCCGCGTGTTGCCTGTATGGTGGGTGTTGCGTGGTGAGGACCCTACCCTGGTCAGAATATGACCTCTCTCTCCGTGTTTGAATGACCATCAATGTATGTGTGTCCGTTCCTTCGTGCTGTCACCCAACCAGACAATGGCGTCCAGTCCACGCACACACCATACAACGAGAATGTGTGTGAAAGCAGCTAGCTAGCTAATCCGTCGCACAAGGCTGTGCGTGTGTGGTGTAGAGAGTGGAACCTACCGCTGGTTTGTGTTGTTCACTCGTGAAATCAAGTCAGGCAGAGAGCCGGAAGGAGTCAGACAGAGTGCACCCACCCACCAAAAGCGTGGCAGAGAGGCAGAGAGGATGGAGAGACAAGAGTGAAACGAAGAGAAGAGTCAGTCACCGACCGCATAGCATACCACCCAGTCTTTTGATAGAGATCGATGAATAAATGCACTTCAGTACTTTGGCGGGAGGGACCCAATCACACACAACCTAGTACTCCATCGGTCAATCGAATCGCCTGACTGACCCTCATGTTAATTGCCATTTAATCCTCCCTCCCTCTTCCAGTGACTGAGTGCACCAAAAGCACGCGTGGCAGGCAGGCAGGCAGACGGAGAGACAAAAAGAGTCGTCGCATCGCATCGTATCGCATCGCATCGCAGAAAGAACCGACATTTAGAGTCTTGGAACGCCCCGCCCCGCCCCAGGTGCGTGCACTCTTTGTAGCTATCTAGCTACATATGATTCTCTCTCTCTGTGTATTGACGTCACGTGTCTATATATTCGGTATTGACGGTACAGAGCTGCCGTGCGCACAAATACACGATGCAATGGCCCCACCCCACCCGCCACACGCAATGCAACCCACCCATCACATCGCCTCGCCTCGCCTCAATTCGTGGGGGTACCAATCGGCCGACCAATAAACTCATGGATGAACCAAACGCAAAAAGACAGAGAGTCTTCAAACGGCCCAAAATCCGTCAGGCAGGCAGGCAGGCACCCCTGACATGTCGGAAAATGCGATAGATAGCGCGCGTCACATCCATCGACACGCTGACACCGTTTGGTCTCATTGAGGATTGAGCACACGACGGATGAATGACCTGATGACGGCAAAGTCGCCGATGCCCTTAAAGATGACCTCCCTGGCCGCATCGATCATTTTGGCCTCCACCATGGCCTCCTCGGATGCGTCGCTGTCTTGGGGCGGCTCCACCATGAGCAGCATGCTCGATCCAGATATGTGCAGCTGCACAAAACACAACAACGACACAGAGAGGGGCAACGCACACGTAAACCTGATGTACCCTCATCCCATCCTTGGCTGTCGTGTCAGTCGGTCACTCACCTCTTTGGTTCTCTTGATGACTTCGTGCAGTCTGTCTCCATGTCTCTGCTTCTTGTCGTCAGTCATCCTGCCCATCTGCTCCTCAATCGCAGACACCAGATCGGCAGAGTCCCACGACCGGGCAGCAGGATGGCCTCCCTCTCTCTGTCCACCACCACCACCGCCACCGGGCGGCCACTGGATGGACTGCTGCCGCTTGAGTGACCGGAGGAAGGACCGCAGCTGGGAGATGATGACCAGCGCGATGCCCTTCTGCAGGCCCAGCTCGCGGCGGATGTCCTCACAGGCATCCACGCTGCCGATGTTCTCCAGCATGTCTAGCAGACTCACGGCCGAGGTAATGTCCAACGCCTGCAAACACCATACGCCACCCATCCGCCTTGCTGTTTATGTGCATTCATTGTGTTGTGGTGACCTACCTACCTCGATCTTGTCGGCAACGTGTTGCATGTCGGGTCGTGGGTCGGCCTTGAGCAGCTCAACCAGCTGCTCCCTCGTCAAGGCATCAAACGCAACGCCCTTGCCGCCACCCCCACCACCACCACCACCCTGCCCCTCCTTGACGGCATCCCCCACCACACTACCGCCCCGACCGCTGCCCATGTTGGGGTCCCGCTGTCGCTGAGGGACCTGCGGGTCGCGTGATGACATGCTCGCACCCATATCACCACTCCCACGACTCGGTGGCTTGCTGGCCTTCTTGGGTGCTGGTGGCTTCGGTCCTCTCTCGGCATCCAGCCGCGCGACGAATCGCTTGGCCGCCTCCAGGGTGCCCTCGTCATCGCCGCGACCCACGATCACAGGCACCTCTTTCCGCAGAAAGGTCTTGATGGCCGTGATGCTGCGGTTCGGGAAGGCCGCGAGGATCTCGCCCGCGTCGTTGCCCACCGTCGCAAACAGCCGACAGAAGGCCAGCCGATCAGCCTGTGTCCACTCCTGCTCCTGGTCGTCACCGTCCTCCATATCCTCTCGCTCTCGGCGCCGTGCCCATGCCGCATCGATGGCTGCCTCCATGGCTTGCTCCGTGGGGGCAGAGAGGGGGAAGGTCTCCACAGCAGCCGTGCCAGGGATGACCAGCTCGATGGCAACCCGCATCAGCCCCTGCCCCGCCTGCTCTCGCCTCAGCCTCAGGCAAAGGGCCCTGCTGTGCTTGGAGTCTGCGAATCTCTCGAGCTTGTTGTGGAAGATGCGATGCAGCTCCGTGAGTTGGGCGGGCGTCAGTGGAGGGCCGGTGAGGGGCGGCTGCTGGACCACCTCATTGGCGGCCTTGGGGGGAGGGGACGGCTGCTGCTTCTCTGGGCGGCGTTTGTCAGACTTGAGTCGCTTAGGGGTGGGCCTCATGTTGTCCTCGGACGAGGAGGAAGACGAGCTGCTGTCTTGGTGGTCGTCACGCGGTGGCTCGTGCATGGCGTCATCTCCCTCGGCCTCCTCTTCCTCCTCCTGGATACGTTTGAGCCAACTGGCGTCAATCATGACCGCCCTATCTCCCAGCTGCGACCCAAAAAACGCGTTGCGATGCTGGATGGCCTGGTGAAGTGCCTCGAAGACTTCGCAGCGGGAATTGATGTCACTGACGATGAAGCGACGCCCGGAGGTGGTAGCTTGGGACGAGTAGTAGGTGCAGAAACTCCGAGAGGCCTTGTTCCATGTGATGCCCAGCCTGAGGAGGGGAAGCAAAACATCCAATCCAGACAATGACAGCCCGGTGCCCCTCGCCTCGTCCTTGGTCGCGTGTCCATGGCTGCTTACCCCCCGCTGCCACAGGTCCGCACGCCCCCCAGCTGCTGCTCTCGAATGCGCTGCAGCAAGGCCAGTGCCAGCCGCTTCCCCTCAAGGCCAGACAAGTCGACCACATCCCGCCCGCCGACAGGACCCCCGCCACTGCCTCTGCGACCTCGGCGGGTCATGGGGGGCAGCACACGGTCATCATCATCGTCATCACTTGTGTCCATCTGACGGCCCTCCGGCGATGGCGTCAACCGCTTGTGGCGCTTCAGACGGGGAGTGGCCAAAGGAGGGTCGTCGCCCATTGTTTCCTCCTCGCCTTGTAGCTGATGGAGCCAGTCCAGCTTGACGACTGTTGCTCGATCTCCCAGCTTGTCGCGATGGAGGCGGTTGCGGTGTGTGACGGCACGACGGAAAGCATCGATGATGGCCCCACGGGAGCTTAGGTCCGCGATTTTGAACAGCTCCTGCTGCGCGGTGTTGGAGAAGTAGGCTGCGAAAGCGCCACAGTACCACGTGAGGCCAAGTCTGCACACATACACATACACACGCACAGACACATGGCCCGACAGCTGATCTTCCCGTCGATTCCACCCTCTCAGACCTTACCCGCCGCTGCCATATTTCCTGAAGCCGTCCTCCCGCTCTTGTCGCGCCCGCTGAAGCAGAGATCTCGCAAAGGCATGCGCCGACTGCAGTGCCACCTGCGGCATCCCACGGCCCCTGACTCCACGAGCTGGCACACGGGCTGGGCGACGTTGCGGCGCGTTGCGGTGGCTGCTCCAGTAGTTGCCATCCAGGCCACGCTCGTCCCGATGCGCTGGGCTGGCACCGTCGAAGCGGTCCTCGTCGGATGAAAGACCATGACCATCTGATCCATCAGCATCGTCAGCACCTGCCGCCGATGCACGGCGCCCTCTCTCCAGAGCTTGGATGGCGGCCTGCATGGCACCGTTGTAGCCCAGCTGTGCGACCGAGAAGCGCCGGGCCTTCCTTTGGCCGCCCTGCTGCCAGCGGGCGAGCCACATGTTGTTTCCCTGATTGAAAGTGACGCCCCTCACGCCGCTCTGATGCTGTGATCGCACCTTCTGCCCCGCCCGCCCGGTGCGCTCCATCTCGCGACGATGGTGCTCTGCCAGCGCCTGGGAGCTCAATGGAAGAACAGGACAGCGTGCAATCCAGTTCAATGACGAATTGTCTTGCCTCGCCCTTTATACCTTTGCCTTGTTGAAGCCATGCTCGCTGATGTAGAAGTACTTGCTCTTCTGCCCGCCACCCTTCTCCGACCAATGCGCCATCCAGGCCTGGTCCTGTTCATACCAACACACACCCACCACATCCGACTGGTGTGCGGCAGGACTGTGCGGCAGGCCGTGGGGCCTCGCCGATCGGCCATATGGGGGGGCTGAAGGGCCGCTGCTGGCCTCTGCGTCTCTGTGGCGATGTTTGCGGGGTGGGCTGTCATCGAACGACTCGTCACGCGCCGACGGCCCTGCCTGTCTGAGCCACGAGATGTCGAGAGTCGTTGCCTGGTCACCGAGGAGGGAGCGGTGAAGGGCGTTCCGGCGGTGGACGGCCCGCTCGAATGTCTTGATGATGTCCTCGGGAGAAGCCATGTCGGTGGGCTTGAAAGACTTGATGCGGACGTCGGTGCGATGGTCACAAAGGTAGGTCTGAAAGGCACGATTACTGCGGTTCCAGAAGATACCGCGCCTGAAGAATGCACACCCAACCCACCATACACAGTGACTTGTTGCCCGTTCCCCCCGCAGCTTGCTTCCTCCTCACCCGCCTCTGCCGTATGTGCTGAAATCGCTTGGCTGCTCCTGAGTGAGTCGCTCAAGGAGGGCTCTCGCCAACGCCTCGTCGGTCAGCCCACTGAGGCGGGTCTTCTCCCGCGATCGTTTGCCGCCAAAGATGTTCCGCTTTGAAGCAGGACTCGGATGCAGATCACGGCGGGGCTGCACGGACGGAATGTCACGCGGCCGCATGCGAATGGGGGGACGGGAAGCAGGGAGGTGGTCGTCTGGCCATTCCTTGTCGGAGTCGAGCCAGCTGATGTCGATCATGGCGGCTCGGCGGCCCAGCGCCGCTTTGTAGATCTCGTTGCGGCGTTGAACACACCGGCGAAACGCATCGATGATGTCAGCACGACTGACGACACGATGAAGGCCGAAGTAACCCGACAGAAACCCCCGATTCCCTCGATTCATTTGGGCGTGAAAGCCATAAGTGGATCGCTTGCTGGAGGAGAATGAAACACCAACCCTGATTGAAAGAAAGGGACGCAATAAGATACTGTTGTATGACACTATAGGGCTTGTCTTACCCGCCCCTGCCGTTCCGTGGGTGCACCTCCGGCTGCTCTTGACTGATACGGCGGACAAGTCGACGCCCCAACTCCTCGACCTCGGAGGGACGCATTGGGTCCGTGCTGCAGTGACCGACCTCACGCTGGCCATCGAGTGCCTCATCACGGTCACTTCCCAGCTCCTCCCCGTCGAGCCACGAGATGTCGACAGGGGTCGCATGGTCACCGAACCGGCTCTGCCAGAGGCCGTTGCGCTTCTCGACGGCCTCGCGAAACGCGCGGATGATGTCGTCATTGGAATCGAGGTTCGCGACGGTGGTGAGTTGATGGTAGGTGCCGTTGACGAAGGCAGCGAAATCCCGCACACTGCGGACCCACACCATGCACAACCTGAACACACACCCGATGCAGCATGGATGTGAGTATTCTTTGTGACCGGTCTCCTGTGTCCTCTGTGTCCTACTCACCGGCCCTTTGTCTGGTGTTGCTCGCGAGCACGGTCAATGAGGGCATTTGCCAGCGCACTGCCTGACAGGCCAGAGAGGCCGGTCCTCTGGTGTGTGCTGATTGAGTTGCGACCATCGACACCTCCATCGCCATCGAACGCAGGTGGTCCCCTCTCCTTCACCGGTCCCCCGCTGCGACGCCGACGACTCTTCACGGGCGGACCCATGCCCTTCCGATGGCCCTCGTCCGCTGCCTGGCGCAAGTTGATGTGCCGGAGGTCGATCGTCGCCCCCTCGCCATGGTGGGCACGGAGGATGCTGTTGAAGTGCTGACAAGCTTGGGCAAAGGCCATGAGGAGTTGCTGCCGGGACGTCATGTCCGCCACGGGGAAGACACGCTCGGCCCGCCTGCCGGTATCATCCTCAGAGCGGTAGGCAACGAACTGCCGCTCGTGGGGGCGCCACTCCAGACCAATACTGCAAAAGACATTGATACGTGGGACAGCAAATTGAGCGTTCGTCCTCCATCCATCAAGCACACGTTTTGCCCACCCACCTGTCGGCATCGCCGTTGAGCTGCTTCTTGGCCTGCCTCACCAAGAGGCTCGCCAGCGCCAGGCCATCCTCCTCACTCAACGGAGGCCGCACAGACTGCCGTCCTCTCTTCTCGGACCCATCATGTGGGCGCTTGACGCCGTGCGGGCAGTGGTCGGGTTGCTGATCGTCTTGCATCATCCCGCGTCGGCGTGTGCTGGAGTGGCGGCGATGTCGGGGCAGCCGTATGGAGAGAGGCATGTTGTCGTCGAGCCAGCCGATGGACAGCGGGACTGAGTCTTTTCCCAGATGAGTGGAGTGGAGCTGGTTGCGCTGTTGCACCGCCTGACGGAAAGCGGCCAGGATGTGCTGCTGGGATGGGGGTTCTGCCACGGGGACGTCCAGGACGTACTGCCGGCCGTCTTCATAGGGGGACCGCACGAACACACGGAAGGAGCCAGATGACCAGCACAAACCGTACCTGAAGCAAGGAAGCAAGACGCAGGCAGGCACCAGGGGGTTTTCAATCAGTGAGTGGGTCTATATCGTCTCATGCGTGAGCGTTTCTTACCCTTCGCTGTTGCCATCTGCGAGTTGTGGGTGCTCCTCTCTCATCCGCCTCACGAGGGACGCCGCAAGATCGCCCTCGTCCAACTCACCCAGATCCAGATCAGTGTCGCGACGGCCATGGGCAGGCGACAACTGCATCTTATCGCTCAAGCGGGTGTTGCGCTTGCTGGTCTTGGCTGTCTTGGCGGCGCGAGGAGGTGACAGACTGCCTATGCCGTCAGACGCGTCGGTCATCGGCTGCTCCTGCTCCTTCCCTCCCTCATCTTCCTCCTCTTGAAGCCCGTCCAGCCACGCGGTGTCGATGATGACCGCTCTCTCGCGATGGTAGGCACGGTGGGCGGCGTTGCGGTGCTGGATGGCCATCCTGAGGGCATCAATGATGGCGCTGCGAGAGGTGAAATCGGTGATGTGGAACAGCTTGTGTGTGCGGGCGTCCCTCCAAAGCCCGGACTGGAAGGCATTATATTGCCAGTACACTCCCAACCTGCCGCACGCACCACGAACAAGGGCAGAAGATCCAATGGGCGCGTGACCTCTGTCATTGCCCTGTCTGTCTGTCTGTCTGAGTTTCCTTACCCGCCAGTGCCCCGTGGAAAGACGACTCCCTTCTCTTGGAGCTCCTCCTTCAGCCGCACCACCAGAGCTGCTGCAAACTCCTTCCCACGCGACGCAGTGCGCTGATCCACCGGACGTCTCGCTGGTCGACCCCTGCGATGACGCCGGACCGAAGCACCCGTCTCAGGCTCGTTCGTCGAGGAGAGACCTTGCTCCTCCCTCTCCTTTGCCCGCGTGAGCCGTGAAGCGTCGATCAGCACCGCCTGATCTCCGAAGTGCTCGCGGTGGAGGGCGTTGCGGTAGGCGAGAGCTTGCTGCGCCGCGTCGATGATGTCCGACCGAGATGACATGTCGGTGACCTTGAAGCCCCTCTTGCCGATTTGTGCTCCAGCGCCAGCAGCGATGTAGGCCTCGAACTTTTCTGTGCTATAATTCCACGTGAGGCCGACCCTGGTACACCGAGTACAGAGAACATGGTCACAAGAGATGCAGTCAGTAAGATATCGACGCCGGCTGGCAATCCTTACCCTCCACGACCCCTGAAATGCTCTGCAGGACCGAGTCGCCTCAGCAACGCTCGCGCAAGAGCTTCCCCCGTCAGCCCATCCAGCCCTGCCCCACCCAGCTGTCGAGCCATCTGTCGGGCCGCCACCATGCGCGACAGCTGCGTGGCGCCGGGCCGCTGGAGGCTTTGATGACGGGTACCAGGTGGGGAGAGAGGGCTCTCGGGCGATAGGTACCTTGCTGTGCGCCTTGTGTGATGGTGGCGGCCCCCTTGGCCTCCTTGCTGCTCCTCCACCTCTCCCCGTGTGAGGTTGATGAACGTCGCCTGGTCACCGAGAAATGTGCGGTGGAGGGCGTTTCGCCGCTCGACAGCCAGCTCGAAGGTCTTGATGATGTCTTCGCGCGGACCGTCGAGAGAGACTTTGAGTCCCTCTTGGCCGATCTTCACGTCCGACCTCCGAGAGACGTAGATCGCAAACTCACCGTTGGTACGATTCCACGAGATCCCGACCCTGATCACGAAGCGCACAGGACATACCATGTATGATCAGACGACGTGGCAGCGGCTCCTTCCCGACTCATCAGTGCTGGCCGACCTTACCCTCCACGGCCCATAAATGGCGAATGAGGACCGACTCGCCTCAGCAACGCTCGGACAAGAGCCTCCCCCGTCAGCCCATCTGTCTGCCCGGTCGGCTGTGAGGCATCGCCACGTTGCTCGTGATGAGTGTCCGGTGGAGAGAGAGGCACGTCGGGTGCGAATCGCTCCTCGGGCGGTTTGGCACTGGGAGGCCCCACCCCAGATGGACGGCCAGGGGGCAGGGAGGTAGGGTGGGGCGGCTGGAAGGTGCTCAGCCCTGAATGCACACATACACACGTTATGTGATGTGTACCGATGCCCTCATCCCGTTCGTTGTCTTACCAGCAGGGCTCAGCTGCAGGACCCTTTGCACCTTGCCGTCGACTTCCACAGTGACGGTCTCGAAGCGGTCGTCAGTCTCGGCCACACCCTCGCGAATGGCCTTGAGCACTGCAGTGAGCCTGTTGGTGTCCCACCCTCTCTCCGCTCGGATGCACAATGCACGAGCCCACAGTGTGTCGGGCCGTCCCCCATCGCGGGCGGTGACAATGAAGCGCTTCCCGTCGCCCTCATCCTCGACTGTGAAGTGCAGCCCCTCGTAGGCCACATGGTGCTTCCATCGGCCACCGGGGATGCCCTTCTGGCGAAGGACCTTCATAAGATGATCGCGAAGGGATGGAGGCGCCGAGGCCCTTCTCTCTGCCGATGAGGTGTCTGCTTCCATCCTCCTGGGGAGAGGATGGGGACGCTGTTCTGACGGGCTGGTCGTCTTGGGTGCTGGGGGTGGGGAAGGTGGTGGCAGTAGCGGTGGGGGCCCTTGATTCTGTGCGAGGGGAGGTGGTGGCGGTGTGCTGGGCGTCTCGGACAGCCGATGCTGCGGTGGTGGAAGCGAAAACGAACCTGGAAACACACAAAGCCAACAAACCGTTGACATGCCTTCTGTTCCGCCCCCCCTCCCTCCTACCGGCAGTGTCTGTAGGTTGCTGCTGTGTCTTGGGCTTGCTCCTGGCCATTGCCGGTGCTCGCGGATCGTAGATGGCATCATCGTCCTCATCCTCGTCGCCGGTGATCTTGGCTGCTCGGCTGCCTAATTGCCTCTTCCTTTTGCGGGGTCGAGGGGCGGGAGGGGGACGCTGTTCTGATGGGTTGGCCGTCTTGGGCGCTGTGGGTGGGGGCGTTTGGTTTTGGGGGCGGGGCGGGCGTGTGTGTGTGTCTGGCGTCGTGGGCAGTCGATGTTGCGGTGGCGGAGGCGACAGTGGACCTGAGAAGACAACAGCAACGGACCATTGGCGTGTTTTCCTCTCTGCCTCTCTCCCTGCCCGCATACCGGCAGATGACTCCTTTGGGCAGAGTACCCGCTTGCCAAGTGTCATCCGCAGCTCAAACGGCTCATCTTGGCCTACCGGCCCACCAGCCCTGGCGCGCTCAAGCAAGGCTGTCAGCCGACGCAGATCCCAGCCGTTCTCCCCGTCACGCCGCACCGCGGGATCGCACACATGTACCGCCTCGCCCTGGCTGTCATCTAGCGGCCCTGCCACCACGTGCAGAGCGTCACGAGAGTCCTTTGCGGGCCTCACGCCGAACTCTTGGACATCCCGATAGGCCTGGTGGAACATGCGTAGGTCACCGGGGTCACTCCTCTTGTAAAGGATATCTCTCAAGGATTTGACCAGCGGGGCAGGCTGACTTGGGAGAGGTCGAGGGGCTCTGTGCTGATGGGGCGGTGACGGAATCAACGGATGCGCACGAGGGAGAGGCGCCGCCACCGGTGCCCGTGCACGCTGGCGAGCTGTCGCATCAGCCAACGCTCCCTGCGTGGCTGCAGCCGCATCTCGGCGGCCTGGGCCTCGAGCACCACCACCTCCTCTACCACCACCACCACGACCAGCAGTCGCCCCGAGATGCCCTTGATTCGAGTATAGGGCGCGTGCGAGGGACCCCACACGCGGCTGCTGCAATGAACCGCCACCCGGATGGCAGTGACGACTGGCAGGGGTGGTCTCAGGCGTGCATGTGGCAGTGGGAAGCCGACTCTCCGGCTCAGGCACCGCAGCTGGTGCCGCAGCGGAGACCTTTGGCTGCGCATTGCCGAGAGCCGATGTCGCAAGCATGGAAGAGGCGGGCGGGACGTCCTCAGCGGGCGAGGAGGACATAGCGGCAACACCCCCGACAGGAGGTGCCCTCGGGTGGACGGGATCTATCGACAGATCCGCTTCTGTTGCTGGGGCCGCGTCTGCCGAATGACGCAGGACTCCCGTAGGCTGCATGGGTATCCGTAACACGCTTGAACGTCACATCACGTGACTGAGATGCTGAGTCGAAGCAGATGCCTGGTCGTCGAGGACGCAAGATCTTCAAGTAGGACAGAAATCTATCAGACAGCTGCTTTCCACGCACGAATCGCAGCTCTTTGCTTCTTGAGGGGCAACTGCGAGTTTAGCTGGAGGCGTGGATCGGAGGAAGAGGATTTGACTCATTGCAAGTGGCTTCTGATGAGGCTGTAGTTGGTTTTCTTGTGCTCTGCTCAGACCATCCGAAGGAGATGGTCTAGATCAACACAGGAAGTGGCTTATACACGCTTATACACAGCCTACTGGGGCACGTATTCAGTTGCAGGGCAAGAAAAGTGCGTTCAGCGCCTTCGGGCTGCATCAAATGTGTGTGTGGTCAGTATCCGTGCGTTTGTGTGTGCACACTACACGCGTCTGAAGCACGGAACTGTCGACTGACTGACAGGTGCGGTGCCACCGCACATCCCCCCCTCAACCTAATGTGTGTATGCATGGTACCAACAGTCAGTACCGAAACCTTCGATAAACACCCGATAAATACAAAGTCCTGCCTGCCTGCATGGCCTGCATCACTACACACTACCTACTCACCTACTCACTTACATGTGGTCCCAAAAAATGTGTCGAGCGGCGAGAGAGTCACATGACATGCACCTCACAAAAAGGGGCACACATCATGACGTACGTACCTTCGGTAACCTACAGCTACGTTAGTTACGGTGCACTAAATGGCGGGACGGTCGGTCAGTCGTAGCATTTGTTTGCCTGGTAGGTGACGGAGCGGATCAGCGAGCTGTAGTACCTCCCCGACGCCTTGATCGTCCGGTTGCGCTCCGCGTCGCCGTAGTCGACATACACAAATCCATACCTGACACACAGACAGACACGCGGACGGGCCCCATCTCTCTCTCTCTCGGTGTGTGTGTGTGTGCGTGTGTGCGTATTGTGGGGGGGAGGATGAGGACCTCTTATCGTATCCGTCGACCCAGGAGAGGTTATCGAGGAGCGACCATGCGAAGTAGCCGCTCACGCGCACATTGTCCTCGAGGATGGCCTTGGACAGCTCAGCCAAATACGTCTCGAAGTAGAAGATCCTGCATGCCATGCCATGCCATGCGGTGCGTGGGGTGGAGACAGACAAGATTGATTGGGTGCAGTCAGTGCACACACATAATACGGCGGTGCGGTACGGATGCATGTAGTATTGTACCTCACCTCATCTGGTCGCTCAGGTAGTCCTCCACATCTGACTTCTTCTCGTCAGACATGCCTGCAAGCAATGCGTTCACGTAGCATAGACAGCACACACAGAGCAACGCCTGTCAGTCATGTCATGGGCAGCCCAGCCTCGAATCCGCATCCATCCAATCCACTCTCGCTGCCTCTGTCTGTACCTACCGTTTTCGGTCACGATGATGAACGGCGGGTTCCATTTATCCTGGATGTAGGCCAGCAGCCGCCGAAACCCCTGACACAATTTATTAATAACACATACAGCACCGCAGCCAGCCACACATGCACTGTTCATTTCGCTCCGGTGCGTGCCCACCCATGGGACGGCGTACAGCCACCATGTGGCGGCGTGCGGCCCGATGACCACGCCATTGCGGTGCCGAGTCTCCGCGCGTGGGCTGGTGCTGTCGACGTACCTGCAGACACCGAACAGGCGGTGCGGTCACTGAAGTGTCCTCAGCCAGATGTGTGTCTGTGTGTGTGTGACAAACATGGTGGTGTAGTGGTTGAGGCCGAAGAAATCAGATGAGTTGCGGATGAGGTTCCTGTCCGCTGCAGTCATGTTGGGCAGCACGTGCGGGTATTCTTTCCGAAGCGATGCGGGGTAGAAGCCGCTGCCATAGACAGGCTCAGCGAACCACCCGAGTGCACTGTCCATCTCAATTTCGCACTGCCTCTCGTCCTCGGGGTTGGAGGGGTCCAGTGGCACACGCCAGTCTGGTCACAAACACAAGACACACCAATCGAAGTCGGCCGCAAGTGGATAGATCGGATGGATGGCGGGTGGACGTGTGACGTACCTGCGTTGAGTGTGAGGCCGACCTGTGCGCCAGGCCGCTTGGGTGCGAAGTCCTTTTTGAACAGTCTGTAGGCCTGGTGGGGGTGGATGAGTGGATAACACAAACGAACGCGCACCAAGGTAGGGGAGGCAGAGTAGCGGCTGCCTGCCTGTCTGGCTGTCTCGTTAATTGGCTAACCCGTGCGTGTGCTTTGAGTGCATTGTGGCCGCACTTCAAGTGATCTGACTCGGAGATTACGCCAGGGGCATCTTCACACCAATCAATACATACCAGCACAGGAAACACACACAGGGAGGGACCAAGGCACACGTGAGGCCCCCAGGCAGGCAGGCAGGCAGGCAGGCAGGATGCTTACGCGAGCCCCATTGGTATCCCAGCTTGCAGAACACCCAGGGCTCGTTCAGCTGCAGCACACACAAATCCTTACACGGTCAACACCCAAGCACACGCACTCAGCCAGTTAACTTACTGTGATCCAGTATTTCACGGTGGGCAGTTCGGTGAACATGAGCTTCGCGAAAGTGACGAAGGCCTCCACGATGCCATCCTCGCGCCAGTCGAGGTGGTCGGGCATGTCCCAGTGATAGAGCGTCACCACAGGCTCGACGTTCGCCCGCTTCAGCGCCCTCACGAGATTCTTGTAGAAGGTGATCCCTGCATCCACACAGAGAGGCCCAGCCAAATCAGGGCACACAACGGGTGTTGACTTTGACATTTGACAGTCCTGTACAGTCCCCCACCAGCTTCGTTTCTGTACATGCCCTGCTTGAGGACGCGCGTCCAGCTGATGGAGAAGCGGAAGTGGGTCAGGTTGAGCTCTCGCATCGTCTCGATGTCCTCTTTGTACTGCAGTACACGGGGGTACACACGTGGATGGATGAGGAAGGGTTGATTGCAATGCCTGCCTGATCAGTCGGTCGGGCCGCCTACTTTGCGGTAGAAGTGAGCCGCCTCGTCGCCCGTGTCGTCATTGGCGACCTTGCCGAGGCCCATTGCCTTGGACTGGTGTGTGAACACGTCCCAGATGCTCGCTGTCCGCCCTCCCTCGTTCCACGAACCCTCCACCTAACACACACACACACACACACACATACAGCAGAGCCGCCGTTCTTCTCATGAGGGTGTCACACACACACACACTGCCTCCCTCCCAGCTCACTCACTGACTCACCTGGTACGCGGCAACGGCAGCGCCCCACATGAATTCGTTGGCGTGCAGCTCTCCCCCTCTGAACATCTTCCGGATTGCTGCGGCCATCTGCCCCGCCGTCGACTCCTCCATCCGCTTGCTGCCGGCGCAGTGGCTGACATTGCTGGGCTTCCGGGACACACGCGAGTCGTCGCTTTGCAGGGCCCTGACGAGGCTGTTTGCCCTCCCTCGAGCAACTGCATCACCGGCGTGTTTCGTCACAAGGTCTGCGGCGGTGGCGTCGGCGACGCCGAAGAAGGGGTTGGCGAGGAGCAGTGACGAGAGGAGAGGGAATGAGACCGCAGGGAGGGAGGTCGTCATGACGACTGTACGTGTACCACAATTTCGTCCCGCCTTCCGTTTACAAGTCGAGAAACCATATCGCGAGGGGATCCTCAAATCATGGCGGCTGCAGCTGAAGCGTAAGATCCACGCCCACCCCACAATGATCACTATCGAAATGGCTCTCTCTTTTCTCTCTGTTTCCCTCCCCTCCCCCCCCCCCAGGGCCTTCTCGCCCGAGAAGACCGACGGCGAGGGGCTGTATGTGTCGCGTGAGGAGCTCCAGAAGCAGAATGCTGACCTCAAGTTCAAACTACAGAGGGCTCAGGAGGAGAAAGCGCAGCTGGGGGTACTCAACACAACAAGGAAGATCTATCTGTCCCCCCATGGTGTGGTGTCACGCATTTCCTTTGGTGTGGTGTTTGTGTCTGTAGGGCCGCATTGCGTATTTGGAGAATCTGCCGCCCCGTGTGGAGGTCATGGAGGTGCAGAAGCCCTCGTATCGCACCTTCACCTACGAGAACGCCGACCGCATGAGAGCACTCCGAAACACCATACAGTCACAGCAGGTGCGAATGAATCATCATCCTTCCGATGCATTGTCCGTGTGCCGTCCTCCCTCCATGTTTCTCTCTTGTCATCCATGTCATGTCTGCCCACTGTTAGGATGAGTTGGTGGAGCTGCGTGCCAAGTTGGTGGCGGAGCGGGGCGCCAAACCGCCGCCAGAGATCATCGAAAAAGAAGTGGTCGGTCGGTCACTCAGCAGCCCTGCTCAGGCGCGGAAGGGATCCGTGTGTATGTGTCTGTGCATGCGTGTGTCGCTCCAGTACATTGAGGTGCCCAAGGTTGAGACCAAGGTCATCGACATGTCGCAGGAGAGCGCCGCCAAACTCGCAGAGTACGTCGACCAGGTCAAGAACCTGCAGCAGCAACTAGCCGCCAAGGTAAGGTAACATAGGCACCTGGGCAAAGCCCATCCAAATGTCGTCCATCCGCCTCTGTGTGTGTGTGTGTGTGTGTGTGGTGTGGATGAAGGAGAGCGAGTTGGCGGGGCTGCAGGCCGCCCGCAGTGTGGAGGTCCGTGAGGTGGAGGTGGAGAGCGGCCCGCGCATCCGCATGCTCATGCAGCAGATGCGGGAGAAGGAGGAACAGATCGCTGGTCAGTCAGTCAGTCAGTTGATGGATGAATGGATGGATGGATGGATGGACGTGTCCATGCCTGTCTCCTCTCTCTCTGTAATCAGAGTTGGCTCAGGAGTGCCATCGGCTGAGGAACCTGCCCCCCACTATCGAGAAGATTATCAGGCAAGCGAAAGCGGAAGGAGACGCTACACGAAGATGAAGATGGACAGCACATGGGACGGGACCTTCGTGGTGTGTCGTCCTTGTCTCTCCGTTGCTGATGCAGAGAGCGTGTGATAGAGGTGCCACAGGTGGAGACTGTTCGTGTCAGAGTCAGCAACGACATCAATGTCGAACGCATCCGCCAGTTCGTGCTGGTAAGAACCGACACACACCTCCCCCACGCCACCGTCCGCCCTGCATTGTGTCCGCTTGGCCTGCAGTCTGAGTTGCGTCGTCTGGAGGAGTACATCCGCCGTTTGGAGAGCTGCGGGGCCACCGTCATCGAACTCAACCGCACCGCTGAAGGGCTGCGCACCGTGGCTAGAGATCTGCTGGTGTGTGTGTGTGTGAGTGTGGGAAGGAGTGATGCCACAAACAAAGAGAATGCGGGCAAGGCATTTGTTTGATGCATTGTGCATTCTCTTGTGGCAGGATCTGATAGAGGAGGGGCGACACGCCGAGGGACCGCTCAAACAGGTAAGTCAGTACTGCAGTGCACTGCAGCCAGCCAGACACAAAGCGTAGAGATCCACACCCACCACCTGTTTGTGTGTTCATGTGGGGCGAGGCAGATATCGACCGTGACGCTGCCCAGACGAACGCTGCAAGCATACACACCCGACCCGGCAAGCCACAGAACAGCAGCACTCTCCAGGATTCATCACCTCCACACATCCATCTCCACCATCTGTGTCTTCCCATCCCCCCCTCCCCCGTCCGTTCTTTCGTCAGAACGACAAGGTGGATGTGCGCTTGTCTGAGTTGCTGATGGAGTGCCCCTGCGCTGTACCCTTCTACCGCATCGCTCACAAACAGTCAGTCGGCACATAGGTCGACCAACAGTCAGTCCCAGACAACGCCTGTCTCTTTGGGTCTGGTGTGTGTGTGTGTGCAGGTATGAGTTTGGTTCCCTGGTCGTGCATGTGGATTTCGCCCCCGACGGCGTGGACCTGCAGGTCAAGCTCATCGACTACCCCAACGTCCAACCTATGGGATTCAGAGTAAGGCACGCAATGAGACGGAAGTATTGTGTGTGTCTTACTTACTGTGTCCGTCGGCGATCAGGTGTTTCTGTCAACATACGAGCGGCAGGAGTTTCAGAAACTGAAGTTCATCACACAGGGTGTGTACCTTACGTCACGTGGCTGGGGAGCGGAGCCTGGCTATGGTACAATCCAATCCAATCCATGCCCTGTTTGTGTGGGTGTGGGTGCAGGTGAGGTGCAGCTGCAGCACCTGCCCGTCTCGAGGACCATCTACGAGAGTCACACGTCGGCCACGGCGCCGCAGGTGCAGATGCAGGTACGGCAACGGCAACCACCGCACCGTTTTCACAGACAGCGGGAGATTGATTGCAGTGACTCTCCGTAACTTTTCTTCCCTTGCAGGTGATTCAGGGCGCTGGCGCGAGTGGCTCGAGTGTGTCGTATCACGGCGGCACGGTCCTGCCGCCAGGGAGAGGGGGGGTATCCACACAGCAGCGTGTCGTCGATAGCAAAGTAAGATAGATAGGACCGCACAGACAGCAACAGGGCTGACACGCAACCATTCTTGGCGCCTGCCTTTTCCTGGTCTTGGTGACACTGTCGCAGGTTGTGTATCAGCAGCCTGCAACGGTCCGGCAGCCCCAGTACACAGGTCACATCAACGAACGAGGGGAGAACAGAGAGACAGACATGTGCAAAGGCGTTGGTTGTGTGTGTGTTGCCGTCAATCATCTAGTGTCGAGTTACAGCGGTGGCGTGTATGGTTCTTCCATCGCCCAGCCACACACAGTGACCACCACACACACCACCGGCACCCCTGCAGAAGGTCCCCAATGGCACACACACGCGCGCACACACGCGTCTCATCTCATGTGTGGTGATGGTACGTGTGTGCAGGTCGGGACGCCGGGCGCATCGGTCTGCTGGCACAGGCCTTGCAGGGTCGTGACATGTTGGGAACGATAGCCGAGGGCAGCGGCGGCGGCACCGAGTCGGACGACATCTACCTGCCCTCACAGCCGCACCCCTACACTAGCCCCCAGTGATAGAATGAAGATGCCTGCCTGTGGGGTACCGACGGAACCATGAGTGTGTGTGTGTGTGTGCGTGTGTGTGGTTGCGGGGCTGACTGAGAGATGGGTGGACTGATAGAGGGGAGGGGTAGAATTGGAAACATTCCTTGACGCTTCGGCCACACGCAGACGCGGGGCCAATCATGAAGTCAAACATCAAGCACCCGAATTAGTTTAGGCACACGACACATAGCAGCTACATACCACACACGCAACCAACACGCAGACAGACAGACTCGCACGCTCTCACGCACAGCTGAAATGGGGTAAGGTAAAGCCTACACACACTGCCATGCTAGCTATGCTCCCTAACACACCACACCAGCCCTGACAGCCACCCGGCCCTGTGTCTCTCTACTGCCCCCATCAATCCGCCCGTTCCTTCCATCTAGTAGGGCGCGGAACGGTAAGGCGCGCCGCCACTGGGTGGGTAGCTGGTCCTGTAGTTGTTCCTGTAGGCGCCATAGCCGCTGCCATAGCCCCCACCTCCTCCTCCAGCAGAAACAGCCCCCGGCTGATGCATCTGACCGCCTTGATGGTGCTGATATCCGTACCCACCTGCCCCGCCGCCAGAAGCAGCAGAAGCCGCGTACCCGCCCCCCTGTGTGCCTGCTGCTGCTGCGGGGGGCGCCTGCTGCTGCTGTTGCTGCTGTTGTTGGGACGACGGCGTGTTGCCGTAGCCGGTGGTGGGCTGCTGCTGGCGATGGTGGTGTTGGTGCTGCTGCTGTTGGTCTGGTGGAGGAGGCATGCTGTATCCGTAGCTGGACGGCCCGTAGCTGGCGCTGTAGCGGTAGGGGTCCGGGGGAGGCGCCGACGCTGATCGATCCGATCCATGTGACACCGCAAAGCAAGACAAGAGACACGCATCAAACACCAAACATCAGACACGTCATTGCTGTCAGAATGCTGTGTGCATCTCACTCACTCACCATAAGGGTCAGGAGCATAGGGGTCATAGCCGCCCCTGCTGTCGTAGTAGCCCCCGCTGCCCTCCGGCGCCTGCTGGTGGTGGTACATGCCGTTGGACGCGCCACGGTCGCCATACATGCCGCCGCCACGATGATCGTAGCCACCACCGCCACCGTAGCTCCCGCCGTAGCCGTCATATGACCCATAGCCGCTGTAGCCATTGTAGCCATCTGCACAGCACACCGACACCAGAGTGAGATATGTGTGTCAATGGGGTGGTTGGTTGGCTCCCTCGCTGACTTGTGGTGGGCATGAAGTCCCTGTCTTTGGGCGGCGTGATGGGTGACGCGAATCTGCCGGCCATGCCGACATTGTCCCTCCTGCCCATGCCCTCACGCAGCCCCCCTCCCCCCATGCCCCCGCCGTCCCTCCAGCCTGCCCCCATGGCTGTGCGGGGTGGTCGGCTGCCCAGCGCCAGATAGGCACTCGCATCCGCACCACGCGGCACTGCACGCTTGACCTCTATCTGCACATAGACGGAGAGACAGACAGACAGACAGACATGCGTGTGTGCGTGTCTGGTGGGTGCTGGTTGGCTGGCTGACCCATTTGTTCTCGATGTAGTGGTCGTTGAATCGCTTGATGACCTCATCAACGGTCTCGGGGTCCTCGAAGTCAACAAAACCGAAACCTGCACGTAATCATTCACACACACATGCACCGTCACATCGATAAATGAGATGCACTCGCTGTCCGACTCTCCTGCCTGCCGAGCCGAGCCGAGCGTACCTCTGTGTTTGTTGGTGTCGCGATCGACCATGACGATGCAGTCCTTGATGGCCCCGAACGAACTGAAATACTCCTCAAGCATCTCTGCACCCACCCACCCACCCACCCACACACACAGAAACGAAAAGAAAGATGAGGGGCACATCAGACCTCAGACGAGGGCATGCAGTGCAGCATGGACGGCATGGCATGATCCGTCAAGCGGCACTAGCAAAGCGAGCGAGCCGAGCCATCTGCCCTTACGGACTAGAGCCAGTCAGCCTACGCCCGCCCCCTTGCCATGCCCTGCCTTGGCTACAGTATGAAAATGCATCGGTTGCTCCCTCCCTGCCTCCACCGATGCATCCATCGATCGATCCATGCATCTACCTTTGTTGCACACACTGGGCAGTCCTCCTACAAATATCTTGGTGCTCCTCGGCCCGCTAAGGGGGTCTCTAGTAGAGGCGGCAGGGTCAGGTAGGGGAGCGGCCATCTGGTCCCGCGGACGGGCCCTCTTACACTCTACCTAACGTGACGAGAGAAAGAAAGAAACAGCACATGCACACAATAAACAAATACGCAGCCATTCAGTCATTCCTAGTCGACAAGGAAGGCACAGAGAGAGAGACAGACAGACAGGCAGGCAGGTGCCTACAGCAAGGCAAGGCGGTCTAAGTGTGTCACAAAACGTGACACGCCCATGCCATGCCAGCCAGACCTAGCCAAGCCAGCCTGCCTCGCAACTAGCACAGCAACCGACACCCTCCACCTTTCCTCCAGCCACTGACTGACCTGTTTGCCGTCGAGTGAGTGGCTCTGGCCGAGCACCGTCTCCGTCGTGAGGTCGTCAACAAACGTGACGAAGCCAAACCCCCGGCACCGACCTGACGACCAAACACGCAATGCACGCACGGCTTGTCTGGTGCGCGGGGCAGGGCTGCGGCGTCTCGCTGTGTCGTATCCGTCAAGGCGTACCAGTGTTCTGGTCCATCATGAGGACGCTGTCGGTCACCTCACCGAAGCCCTCGAAATACGCACGGAAGTGGTCTGCAGCATCGCACCGCAGCCCACGAGACAGACAACAATGCCGCACCGGCACACTTGTGTGTGCAGTGCATCCGGTTCTGCCTCTGCTCACCTTCTGTGACTCCGTCGGGCACGCCTCCCACAAACAGCTTGTGGGTGCCGCTGCCCTGACCCTTCTCACCCTCTGCCATCGCCAAGCGCCGTTTGCGAAGAAAAAGCCGGGGATTCAGTCACTGCACTGCCACTGGCGGCGGGAGTCTTCACACGAGAGGGCAGCGAATGAAGAAGTCCGGAAGCTCGCAACGATGCGAGCTCGAGGAAGGAGGAAAGGGGGAGAGGAAGGAAGGAGAGCCTGAGTGTTTCTTCTGTTTGTTGAATGCTGCATTGCCCGAGAATCCGTCCGCATCTCATCTCTTTCAGCCGCTTACCCCACCCAGACCTTCTCGCAGCCCCTCGCCGGTATTGAGGGGAGCCCTTGACCTCCGAGCAGCTGTAAAAAGGTGCCGCCCACGCCCCCTCTCCCGCCCTCCCCGTGACCATCGGCCACTCATCACCCTCTTGCTTCCCCGGTTGGTCTCTCTCTTTCGCCCACGATGTCCTCCCCCGGCCCTGAGGGCAAGTTCAAGCGCGAGGGGTTTGTGATATCCAGCAGCGGCCCCCTGACCAAGTACTATGACGTCGAGCAGCGGAAGCTGGGCCAGGGGACCTATGGCAGTGTGAGCAAGGCCGTCAACAAGAGCACCGGGGCGCTGCGGGCGGTCAAGCAGATTTCCAAGAGCCAGGTCAAGAACATCGAGCGATTCAGACAGGAAATCGCCATCATGAAACAACTCGACCACCCCAACATCATGTAAGACTGAAAGACGATACACGGGACAGGGAGGGCGCACACACCGCACCACAAACCAAGAGGAAGGAACGACATCCAGCCAGGCAGACAGCTCACGAATGACTGTCGTGATGGGGTGTTGTGGTGTGTTGTCGCATCGATCGGTCGATCTCGATCCCTTTATCTATCTTATCAATCAGCAAGCTGTTCGAGACGTTTGAGGACCACAAGAACATCTATCTGGTGCTGGAGCTCTGCACGGGCGGAGAACTCTTCGACAGGATCATCGAAGAGGGGTGGGCCGGGCCACACAGATAGATGCACACATGGCTCCCTCCCTCTGGCCGTCCGTCCCTCCACCTGTTTGGTGTGTGTGTATGGTGTCTGTCAGGTATTTCACCGAGAAGAATGCGGCGGTGCTGATGAAGCAGATCCTTGCGGCCGTCTACTACCTCCACTCACACAAGATCGTCCACAGAGACCTCAAACCTGTGCGCACCCACACCACACCACACCACACCAGACATACCACACCAGACACACACTGATGGATCCGTCATGTAACTTAACTGCTGCATGGCTGTGCGTGTGTCTGGCTACCAGGAGAACTTTCTCTTCCTGAACAAGACGCCCGACTCACCACTCAAGATCATCGGTAGCCTGACGACAAGATTACGCACGGCATACACTCATTCTTGTGTTGTGTTGTGTTGTGTTGTTGTTGTGTAGATTTCGGTCTGGCGGCTCGGTTCGAGTCGGGCCAGGTCATGACCACCAAGGCCGGAACGGTACTCACTGAGGGTGGAGAGAGAGGCGTGGCGTTGCTGTATGTGTATGTGTATGTGTATGTGTGTGTCCTTCATTCAGCCCTACTACGTGGCCCCCCAAGTGCTGCAAGGCAAGTACGACTACGCATGCGACACATGGTACGCCAGACGAACACTGACACTGACTGACGGCTGATCTGATCAGGGCTGGGGGCTTGGACAAGGAAGGAAGGATGTGTCCGTGTGTGTGTGTGGTGTGTGTGTGTGCAGGTCAGCTGGCGTGATCATGTACATATTGCTGTGCGGCTACCCACCCTTCCACGGAGACACAGACGCAGAAATCCTACAAAAGGCAGGGCAGGGCGGGGCAGCACGACTGACTGACGCAGACGGATGCATGGATGGATGGATGGATGCCATTGCACAATCCCTCCCTGCCTGTCTGTGCGTGTGTTGCAACATATAGGTCAAGGCGGGCAAGTTCAAGTTCAACGAGGCTGACTGGAAGAACGTGTCGGGCGAGGCCAAAGACCTCATCCGGAAACTGCTCACCTTCAACCCCAAGGGTACCATAGCATGGCGGTGTGTCTTGTGTGTTAAATGAATGCATTGGTTGGTTGATCAGACCGCTACACGGCCGAGCAGGCGTTGAATCATCCATGGGTGCAGCACCTGGCTCAGGCATCCGACGCCCCCATCTCAAGATCTATCGTCGACAACTTCAGGGTACACACCACACCACACGACACGCACGGCACGGACAGCCAGGCATGGCATGGCATGGCTGCACTGCACTTCTCTGTGTGTCTTGTCTGTCGTATGTGTGTGTGTGTTTAGGCATTCCGGGCCCAGTCCCAGCTGAAAAAGGCCGCCCTGACGGTCATCGCCCAGCAAATGTCAGAAAACGAAATCTCAACACTCAAGAAAATATTCATGGGTGGGCGACTGAGGTGGTCAACTGACTGACAAGAGCTGAGCCGGGCACTTACCACGTCAATGTGTGCGTATGCCGTGTGACGTATGCCTCTGTCTGTGTGTGTGTGTGTGTGTGTGTCTGTGCAGCGCTAGACAAAAACGGCGATGGATCACTGACAGTGCAGGAAATCAGAGGTACGCACACACACAGACAGCAGGGGCGGGGCTTGGTGTTGGACCGTTTGTGGTTCTGTCTGATGGATGGGTGGTTGTCCCTCCCACAGAGGGTTTGACCAAGGCCGGTTTGAAGGACATCCCCCCGGACCTGGAGCAGCTGATGAAGGAGGTCGACTCGGACGGCAGCGGCGTCATCGACTACACTGAGTTCCTCGCAGCCACACTCGACAAAAAGCTCTACATTCAGGTCGGTCCGTCATTCGGAGAGAGACGCACGGGATGGATGAGGATGGATGGATGGACAATGGTGATGTGTTGAGTGTCGCGTGGGTGTGGTGTGCAGGAGGACGTCTGTTGGGCGGCCTTTCGCGTGTTCGACATCGATGGCAACGGCAAGATCACTGCCGAGGAACTACAACACGTAAGAAGGCGGCCAGGCCAAACCCAGCCCAGAGAGCCGGGCGGTTCTGAGGCATGCATGCATTTGTGTGTCGTTTGATGGTGTGACTGTGTGACTGTGTTGTGTGTGTAGGTGTTGGGAATGGACAGCGTGAAGGGTGCGTTTGACAACACGGCCATCGCCAACATCAGAGATATGATCAGAGAAGTCGACCGAGACGGGGACGGGGAGGTAAGGACGCAGACGCAATCGATCGCCGGCACAGATACGCACTGTACTTACATGATGCGATCGACACACACACACACACACACCAACAGACAAACAAAGGCCCTTGTGTGTGTGTGTGTGTCTTTCTTGTCTGTCCATCACTCAGATTGACTTCGATGAGTTCATGAAGTAAGCTAGCCAAGCGCACATCAACCAACAAAGACAAAGAGTATGGCCGTCGCATCGCATCACCTCACCCGGGCTGGCTGTCTCTTTGTTTGTCATGTATGTCAGGATGATGCGGGACAGAAAGTAGGCCGTCCGTCGCCCCACTCGGAGGGATCGGTCGGCCGTTCTCCCGCTCTTCTTTTCTTGTTGGTTGAACTTGTCTATCTGCCAACCTGACCGATTGCTTGCTCGCTCTCTTCGTGCCCGACTACCTGCCTACCTGCCCGCCTGCTTGTGTGTGTACGCGTGTCTACCATGGTGGATGGATGGATGGATGGGCGGATGGATGGATGTGGTGCTTTCTGCTAGTTGAATGGGATGCTGCCGTGTCGTGCCGTGCCATTGCCTGCTGTGGTTTGCTCACTCAATCACCACCCATATGCAGTCAGCCAGTCAGTGAGCCTGTTTGCTGTGCGGTCGGTCGATCGGTCGGCCGTGCAGTGCTTGATTTCATGCATGCCTCCATGACACACATCACTCACTACAAAGGGCAGACCTAAATCAGGGTGCCCGACCCGCCCTCCCACACACACACCTACCTACCTATAGATACACCCGCTTCAGTTGAAGGGAGGAAGGACACGGAAGGACACACAGACAGATCCGGACACCGACTCACGGACGGACGGACGGACGGACACACACACAACAGGGAGGGATATGGCGAGAGAGACTGGCTGGCTGGCCGGCTGCATGACATCCGCAGATATTGATCCTGACATGGTGTAGCCGGCCGGGTGGATGGGATGGATGGCGTCAGTCACATATTTAGTGCATGCCATGGCCATGCAGCGTGCATTCATTGATCATATCGGACGAGCGACTGACTAACAGCTGTGTGTACGCTTGTGTGTGTGTGTCCAGGGCCCTCTGTGTGTGACCGTGCCGTGCATGACCGCGCGTCACGTCTTGTCTTGTCTTGTCGTGTGTGGGTCCACTGTGGGGGTGCTGGATTGATGGATTGATGGTGAATGAATGACGTGTGGATTTGGCGGCTGGGGCGGGCCCGGCCGGGCCCCTCGAGACATCGCACGCATCGCAACAACACTCACTCGCACACGTACTCACTCAGTCTCGGATGACTTGACAGGCAGGCAGGCAGACATGCAGGAAGGCAGAGACAGGGAGGGAGGGAGGGAGGGAGGGTGGCTGTGTATGTCATGTGTGTGCAGAGAGACAGTGGTGTGTACGTGTGTGTGCAATTCACTCGTCCACTCATTCGTACAGACAGACAGACAGACAGGCAGATTTGATTGTTGTGCAGCCCCACTACCCACCCTCCCCCTTTCCACCCACCCCCACTACTTGTCGGTCGCTAACTGACGTGGACTTATTTGCTTGTGTGTACAGATCGATATCGATTCGATATATATTACCGAGTGAGTCGCAGAACCGAACCGGACAGTAATGATTGACATACTTATTTACTGTGATGTCATCTGTCTGTGGTCTTGCTAGACCACACACGCAGATTGAAAGTCCCCACGGAAATCTTAAACTCACACGTACCTCACCTCATACACACACAAAAGCGACTCAATAATCTGATTATGGAATCAATCACACCCGCAGCTCCCTGACGGTAGCTACGACTTGCTGCACCTCCCCCGACACCTGCACAGGCAGATTCCGGTACACCTCATCCCACAGGTCCTCCTCCTGACTCAGCGACCCGCCCCAACCGTCCTCCCGCAGCTTCGCCAGCGGCCCCACCAGCAGCAGCTTCCCCGGCCCCTCCCGCGCTATCAGGTACTCGGCGTAGGCCCGTCCGAAAGCCAGCAGCCGCCCCAGCATCACGTGCCGCCACATGGCCTTGCTGTGAGTGTCGTTCTCTGCTGCTGCCATTCCCATGGTGTCTGTGTCGAATGCGCCGTCGATTGCGATGATGAAGCAGCGGAATAGGTCGATGAGGGAGCCGGTGAAGGCCTTGCGGGCGTCGTTGGCCTGCTCCTCCTCTCTGGCCACGCCACCCTCTGTCTCCATGGCCGTGGCCTCTCCCTCGTCCTTCATCTCGCCGCCGTCCGCTGTGCTGTCCATCTGCATGGCCCCGCTGGTGATCTGCCGCTTGTTCTGGCGGCGTGCGATGCGATAGGCATCGAGTTTCTCCTCGAGCTCGATGAAGCACCGCTGGATGGTCGTCTCGACCAGCTCCCACACCGACCCACTCAGACACCACGCATCCGTTACGCCAGCGAGGTCGCGGCCGATGCCCGCAGCCAGGGCCTCTATCTCCTTGTCGGGGTCATCGGCCACCGCTGCGTACTCGGGCTCGCTGTCGACGGCCAGGAGGTGGAGCATGAAGGGGTTGGCCGAGAGGGGCAGGGGCTCGTGCTGGTCCTTGAGGGTGATGCCGAAGAAGAGGAAGTAGAGCAGGCCTTTGGGCGAGAGCACGCCCAGCTCCAGAAGCTGCTTGGTGACCAGCTCCAGGCGCAGCGGGCAGTGGCGGTAGAAGTCGAACACCAGCCCCACCAGCAGCCACTCGAAACCCATGGCCACCCGCACATCCACCTCGACCTCGGGCACCATGTCGGCCGGCTCCTCCCCCCCTCCCTCCCCCTCCCCCTCTCGTTGCTGCTGCATGTCCTTCTTGGCTTGATATGTGCGCCAGGCGACGGGGGTCATGCCCTTGAGCACCGGGTGGTAGAGGGTGAAGAGGCGGTTCGAGTGGGTGAGGGTCTTGCTGCCGTGGCCCAGGAGCGTCTTCATGACCAGACACACCAGCCGACCATGCGTCCACACGGGGCCGGTGGGATGAGGGGTCTCGTGTGCCGCCTCGTTGTGCTGCATCTCTGCCTCTGCCTCTGCCTCCACATCCATTGCTCCGGCGTTGTCACCGTTCACCGCCTCGCCTCCCTCTGCTGGCTGTTCCTCCTTCACCGCAGCCCCCTCTGGCCCATCGTCCGACCGCCGCTTCTTCCTGGCCGGCTCCTCCCCCTCCCCCTTGTTGTCCTCTCTGGGCGGCTCCATCTTGACCGTCGCGGGCTGCCCCTCCAGGCCATGCAGGTACTCGAGCACCTCCTCGCACACCACGGACGGGGATCTCTCGGTGCGGAAGGGGAACCTATGACGCAGCTCGGTGGCCTCCTCACACGTCTCGAAGAAGGCCAGTGGGTCGGCCGACTCCCCCTCACCCTCCACCCCTTCAACCCCCTCTTGCCCCTCCTGGTCTCCCACCATGTGTGAGGTGCCACTTGGCTTGCGAGAGTGGAGGAAGGGCAGGGGCTCGGGGGGCATGTATGGGTGGACAGATGGGGGCAGCACCTGCAGCAGGTTGCCGTGGAACCACAGCCGCACCAGGCGCTCCAGCACCCGCTTGATGAACCGCAGCAGGTGGGGCGGCGGCCGCTCGCCAACCACCAACCACTGGCTCCACTCCCACCCATGCCTGTCGCTCTCCTCACTGCCACCCACGGCGGCAGCCTCCCGCGGAGATGCCCCCTCATCGCCTCGGCCGCCCTGTCGGCGGTCGAGCTTCTCGAGAATAGGCGCCAGGTAGAATGCGAAGGAGTCCGCGAAGCGCTCGAACGCCACTTCGTCAAAGTCGGCCATCTTCCTGGCGATCGAGAGGATGGCTTTCTCGAGGGGCGTTTTGATTGACTTTTGCAGCAGTGCGAGATGCTGGAAGAGGCGGAAGTAGAAGATGGGGAGTGAGGGGGGGTAGGGGAGGGTGAGCATCTGGGTGAGGAGTGTCTCGACCAGGATGTACTCGAACTGCGGGTGGCTCAGGGGCAGCCGCAGCAGCTGACGCGCGCACTCGTTGAGGTCGCCCGAGAAGGTCGACACCGTGCACCAACACAACTCGTCTACCAACCACCTGATATGATCCCATCAAAACACACACACTCACACGGACACACATCAGACACCTACCGACCAGCCGAGTTTGTGCGTGTGTCACACTCCACTCACCTGTCGTAATCTGGCATCGGGGTGTCGACGGACGCAATGGTCGAGGGAATCGGACAGCACACGGACGGCACCCACGGCCGCCGCTGCAAGTCCGCCCCACTCACACTCAAGCTCAGCCCAGACATTGCCGCATTCCCACCCTCAGCCGTCTCCTCGCCGCCCTCCACGCCGATCTCCTTGGCGAAGTTGGGGCTCTCCGACAGCCGCAGGATGGCTTTGCACTTCCAGTCTTCCCGCGCCATCGACTGCAGGGCCTCGTAGAGAGTCTCAAGGCGGTCGGGGGTGGGCACGGCGCTCAGGAAGCTGCCACTGCCGCTGCCGCCCTCGGCTGAGCGGACTGGCTCGAGAGCCCGCTTCCAGGGGGCCTCTCGCGACTGCATGTGGGCCACTGCTTGCTCCAGCAATGTGTCGATGCGGCCACGGTGAGACGTAAAGCTGCATAGATAAACACAACCAACAGCAGAGTAGCATGCAGTGCAGGCATGAGTAGCCCTCCGTTGCCTTGCCACTGTCCTCTCTCCGTGTTAACTACTACTTACATGGGAGAGTTGATCCAGGGCAGTGTGGCCAGTGCGAGGAACACGCACAGGTCTCCCCCCTCGTTGGCGGGCACATGCAGCTGCGCCGGAAGGGTGAGCAGGTGCTGCAGGAGGTCGAACAGGTGGTCGGGGAGGATGACACTCACATTGGCCAGCTCAGCAAGGAACCGCAGCAGCAGCAGCGCCTGGGTCGGCCGGTGCCCCTTGAGCGCCGTGTCGAGCTCAAAGATGGTCTTCTCCACCACTTTCCTGCCGAACGCCGCGTACTTGCGTGCGAATCCGACGACGAATGCGGCGTAGATGCTGCTCTTGTGCGGGAGGTGCATGGCGCACTCGACGACCATGCGGAGGATGAGATCTCCCCTGTCGGCCTTGGTGTAGTCGTCCTCGATGGCCCCGATGAGGCCCTTGATCTGCTGGAACAGCTTGCCTGAGGAGTCGCCCACGTGAATGATGAGCTTGCGGATGCGGCCGCGGTCGTCCTCTGGACCACCGCCATAGCCACCTCTGTCGCGCCGATCGCCACGAGGATAGTACGACATCTTCCTCTGCCGCTCTTCTGGTGCGAGCTCTAGCTCGCAACAAGAAGGCGAAACCAAGGCAATTCAGGCGCCCGACAGAGCGCAGTCGGCCGGCCTCTTACAGGCACTTGCCAACGAGGAAAATCGATTCCATCCATGACATGAACGAGGTCGCGTGAAAATCATCCGGCAGGAGCGTAGAGGGCAACATGGGCAACAACCATACTGCGAACCGCCATGGTGCCGTTATCGACAACCAGACACTGGAGTTCCTTCACAAAGCCGACAGAGATGCCCTCCACACGTATGCAAACCACACACGAGTCAATGAGGGAGGGGGAGCGACTGGGGAGCGGCAGTTGACAGCTGTGTGTGTTCGGGTGTGTTGTGCCATCTGTGTATGTGTGCAGCCGGTCGGAGGTCGGCAGCCTCAGAGTCACGGCCCACTTCCTCTATGAAGTCGACTTCTCGGCCGCCGTCCTGTGCAACCGACTCAATCGCTGCCTGGCGGCCAAGGGACTGCACACCATCATCGCATTCGACGCTCAGCTGGACCGGCCTCTGCTGCTGAAGGCCATCTGGCTGGTGGACACGCAGCAGTGGACCGAGGTGGCCGATGCGCTGAAGTTGGCGGCTCAGAGAGGCTTCTGCCAGCTGCCCATCACACTGGCTGTGGCGGATTGTGAGCGTCACGATAGCAAACAGGTGGGCAGATGAGCGTGGCGTGGGTGACTGGCACTCATCTGTCTGTCTGTCTGTCTGTCTGTCTGTCGCGTGTTGTCTGTGTAGGCGTATTTGGCCGATGTGCGTGTGATTGCGTTGTGGAAGATGGTCGGCCGGCACGTCAACTTCGGCGGCAACTACGGCCGTTTTGAGCTGTTCGACCAGCCGGGCGGCGGTGTGCGTGCCATCAAGGACGAGCCGGGCTACAAGCTGGACATCAACCCGCCCCTCCCCCCTGCCCACCCATACCACACACACACCATCAACGACAACCCGCCCGTCAGATCCACAATCTGCCGGCAGGAGGGCGGCTGGACGGCCGATGGTGCGGAGACCACTGATGCATCGATCTCGGCCTTCATCACAAGGGTGATCCTGGCGGTCTCACTGGCCAATTGGGGCAAGACTCCTTTGGTTCTCATAGACCGGTACGCAGGACAGACCACACTCAGGCAGACACACATCCATCCATCCATCCATCCATCCATCAGGGCCTCTTCCCTCTGTTATGTGCTGGTCTCCTCAGGCGTGCTCACGGCGGTGTGCTGGACGGCCTCCTCAACCACTCGCCCCACCAGCCCCCCAACCGATGCACCGCCATCATGGCAAGCAGGTTGGACGATAGGTATCCCCCTTTAGAGATTCGGACTGTGCTGCTGACGCCATTCAACGGCCCATTCGTCGCATGGATCGATCTGTGTATCGTCCCCGACACGAACATAGGTGAGAAAGGGGTCAGAGATCCTCTCTGTTGACTGAGCCATTCTTTGACGTGTGCTGTTTCGCTGCATGCAGTGTTTGTTTCTGCCCTCACCACCGAGCCGCCAGTGGGTGATGCATCGGATGCCTTCAAGGACCGCCGGCCCGTCACCGCCCCTCTGGTGGGCGGCCCGCTGGGCAGCACCATCGCAGATATGGTGGTCAACCGACAGGAAGTCGCTGATGAGGGTGAGTGTGCAGCCGGCCGCCTCCGTCTCGTTATGTCGGCTGGTTGAATCGGTCCTTGTGCTTTGTGCAGAGGAGGGTGCGGATGACGAGGATGGTGAGGATGACGATGACGACGGTAGCGATAGTGATGACGGTCAGTGGGGGGCGTGTGTATGTGATTGGGCTTACTCGTACGTGTCCTGCGTGTGCCTTCCCTGTATGTGTGTGCAGACATGGATGGCGAGTTGGAGGGCGATGCCGATGGCGACGGCTAGCAGTAGCAGGAGGAGAACGAGTGTGAAGAACAGGGGCAGGAGAAAAATGCATGGACGAATGCATTCTGTGAAAGTCCCGCGTTTTTGGGTATTGGTGGAGGCGATGGATGCGAGAGCGCTTGTCCATCTGATCTGCCTGGGTCTTGACAAATGTGTGTATGTGGCTGGACCCTGCCATGTGGTTGCATGATCCAAATGCATTGCACTGTCATCCGTCCATTTGAAATCCCCACCCCATCATTCATTCATCCGTCCATCGACAGTCACACACGCACTCACGCGAAGGCCAGTCGGTTGTCTGTCTGTCTGTCTGTCTGTCCATCGCCAAGATGAATTCATCACTCATTGCAGAGCTACGCACAGAGAGAGAGAGAGAGAGGGTGGGTCTGTCGTGTAAGTCAGTATGGCTAACGCTGCGGCATGCACACCTGCAGGCGACTGTCTGACACATAACTCCCTCTCTCTCTTTCTCTCGCTGCCGAGTGGCTACCTGTCTGTCTGTCTGTCTGTCTGTCTGTCTGTGGCTATCGTGTGGTCTGTCTGTCTACTGCGGCGCGTCCACGCCGCCCTCCTGCCTCTCTCTGTCACTGTCGCTGCCTTTGCTGCTGTCGCTGGTCTGTCGGTGGTCGGCCATGCGTGGGCGCTTGTTGCTCGGGTCGAGGCGCGACTGGGGATTTCTTGGGCGGGGAGGGGGCGGGCTGGGCGGACACACAACCTCATCATCGTCACCAAACTGACACACGAGGTCAGCTTTTGTGATGTCTGTCGTGTGTGGTATCACCCACCTGTTGTTTGTCGATGAGTTTGATGACTTCCTTATCGGTGGAGGCGTCCTGGTCTTGCTGTGCATCGTCGTCTGGCTGGCACTCACACTCACACGGCTCCGATGGCCGCACTCGCTTGATGCGGGGCTGGCGCTGTGGGGCTCTGTGGCTGTTGGTGCGTGCGAGGGATGTGTTGGTGGGGCGGCGACGGCTGCGGTTGTTGGCGGCGCGGCTGGGGGAGGGCGTCACGTCGTTGCGGCCGCGGCGAGTGGCCCTGGCGAACTCCTGCTCGATCGACGGACAACTGACTCACAGTGTCACACATACACACGAGAGAGACGTAGAGTGCATATGTGGGTGTGTGTGTCGGCTGGTGGCGTACTCACTTGGCGTTTGCGTGTTGCATGGAGAAGCTGTGTCTGTTGCCGGCCTGGCTAATGACCGGCAACATCGAGTGGAGTGACTCAAGCTCCTGCACCGAAACAGACAGACAGACCGCATATACACTGATGGATTCATGTGTGCAGCTGGCTGGTGTCATGGTCACCTGCAGCAGTCGTGTGCAAGACGGCAGCGGCGCGAATTTGACCTTGATGCCCACTCTGATCTGACGCTCACAAGCCGACAGCGCATCCCTGATTGAACACACACACACACACACACTCGTGGATCTCTCCCAAGCTGTGTGTGTGGGTCTGCTTTGCTCACATCTCCAATGTGCTGTCGCCGACGGCAACGACCGTGTGAGGGGAGACCGACTTGATCACCTTGTTGAACTTGCGCCTCTGCATCATGACGACAAACCGACACAGACACATGGGTGTGTGTTGTGTGGGTGTTGTGTGGTGTGTCAGTTTTTGCCTTCCACTCAGTTATCTTGACGTTGTCGAGTTGAGCCGACAGCATCCTGACACACACACACACACACACACACGTGTGGACACACACCCAGTGAGCTGGTTGGATGTGTGTGTGTGTGTGTGTGTTACTTGATCTTGTGTTTGGTCAGGACTTGAAACAGGTTCGGCATCCACCTCTGTGCCGACAGTGTCAGCCAAAGCTCCTCGGCAGCACTCACTATCACAACCATCACACCGTTGCCTACACGACACACACCAGACACATGACATCCTCCCTCCCTCCCCCCCTCCCTTTCTTTGTGTCTGTGAGTCTGTGTGTCTGTGAGGCTGACCGATGAGTGTCTCGACCAGTCCAGTGGCCGCCGCGTCGATCTTCGCTATTAGCTCGACATAGAGTGCCGGCAGCTGTTTGTCCCGCCAGTCGCCGCCGCCGATGCACATGCCGCCGCTGCCTCCGTTCCTCCGGCCCAGCAGACGCACCAGCACTGAACTCGGCAGCAACGTGTCATCCCTGACAGAGAGACAGACACACACAAAGAGACACATGTATGAAAGCATGAATGACCGACGTCTGTCTCTCTGTCTCTCTCTCTCTCTCTCTGTGTGTGTGTGTGTGAGTGTGTGTGTGTCTCAATCACCAGTCGAGGATCCACAGTGTCGTCACGTTCTGCCCACCGCTGCTGTCTGATGAGTCGCCAGCCGATGACTCGTCGCCAGCCGGCGTCGACGACATGAGTCAGACAGAGAGGGAGGCAGAGCGGCTCTGACTATGCGAGCAGCAACCGATTCGGCTGCTTGCGAGGCCGCTCAGTCACTCACTGCTGCGATCAATTCACTCAGTCAGTCACTCAGTCAGTCAGTCAGTGTGCATCATCCTCCACTCATCCATCCGTCCATCGATGTGTCGATCGACTGATTCACACTTGCGTACACAATTACATATATAATTACACACACGTGTCTGAGAGTTTGTCTCACACAGAGCACACTCACACAGAAAAACCGCGACACGCTTCACAACCAGCTGGCCGACCCAGTGGGTGGACTACACACACAAACGCACACTTCTCCGTCACTAATTGTGCTCTCTGTATTCCTCGTTGATTTCTCTGCCAATGAGGTATCGGCGAATCTCGGACGTCCCCGCCCCGATCTCATACAGCTTGGCGTCACGAAGGAAACGGCCCGTCGGGTAGTCGTTGATGTAACCTCCACGACACACAAGGCACACATCCATCCATTATCTCATTTATGGTCCGTGTCTCTTCTCTCGTTCACTCACCGTTGCCGCCCAGCAGCTGAATGGCCTGCAAAGCCATCCATGTGCCCTTCTCGGCACACGTGAGGATGGCCGCGGCGCAGTCTCGCCTCGATGCCTTGCCCTCGTCGTAGGCCTTGCTCAGCGCATACAGGAATGCCCTGTGCGTGAGGAGGGTGGAGTAGAGGTCTGCCAGGTGGCCCTGCACCAGCTGGAAGTCGCCGATCTTCTGCCCGAATTGCTCACGGGTGTTGACATACGGCACAGCCACGTCGTAGCACGCCTGCATGATCCTGATGGACCGACGATAGAGAGGAAGGAAGAACGATAAGACTGGCGGTGGATCGTGTGTGGTGGTCTCCGTTACCCGATCGGGCCTGCCGCGAGCACCAATCTCTCTGAGTCCAATCCTGTATGAGAAGGCAGCACATGGCATCGCACCACTCTATCGGCCTGTCTGTCCCTGCCGTGCGTACCACTCATTAGGACCTTCACACCTCCATTGAGGGGTCCGAGGATGTTGGTTGCTGCACAAATCGACGACATCAGGTGCGAGAATCTCTGTGACCGGTATCGTTGTGTCTGCCTCACCAGGTACTCGGCAGTTCTCGAAAATGAGCTCGCAGGTCTCGGACCCTCTCATTCCTGCGGCAAACAGCACAGGTCGTGCAGTGCCATCCGCTCTTCACTGTGGCCCTAAGGCAGTCTTACCGAGTTTGTCGAGCTTTTGGCTGGTCGAGAACCCCGGCATGCCCTTCTCGACCATGAAAGCCGTGATGCCCTTCGCTCCCGCGTTGGGGTCCGTCTTGGCGTACACCTGCATGACAGTGAATGACAACACCCACACTTGGAGCTGTTGTTGCGTCTGCGGTGTTGGTGGGGTTGCTCACCACGAGGACGTCAGCCGAGGGTCCGTTTGTGCACCACATCTTGGTGCCATTGAGGATGTAGGAGTCGCCATCCCGGTCAGCTCGGGTCCTCAGCGACACCACGTCGCTGCCAGCACCCTGCACACCACCACACGTACCCACACGCATCAATCAGACTGCCGCCCGGTCCGTCTGCATGTTGCCTGACCGGTTCTGACATGGAGAGCGCTCCCAGCCAAGAGCCGTCAATCAGCTTGTGAAGATACTTTTCCTTCTGCTCGGCCGAACCCCACCTCACAATCTGAACGCAGACACCCGCTCAAAGAAGGCAGGCACATCACTTGCCACGGTGTTTTGACAGCTCGTCCCTCCCGGCATGTCCGACCTGGTTGACGCACAGGTTGCTGTGTGCGCCGTAGCTGAGGGCCACCCCGCCGCTCGTTCGTGACAGTTGCTCCATGATGAGCACGTGCTCCAGATACCCCAGCCCCAAACCGCCTGACACACATGTCAGTGCGCAACTCATCATGCGGCGCAGGGCTGCGGACGGACGAGAGATCTCCCATATGCTGTACCGAATTCTGATGGTGCAGTGGGACCCAGCAGACCGAACTCGCCCATCTTCGGCATCAGGTGCTGCATACACAGACAGACAGACAGACGGACGGACAGACAGCGCGCGCTTCAGAATGTAATGAATTCTCTCTTCCTTGCAGTGTGGCCTACCCTTGGGAACTTGTCTTCCTTGTCAACTTTGTCTGCGATGGGCGCCAGCTCGTTGTCTGCAAAGGCCCGCACCTGCTCACGCAACTGAACGCCATTCGAGGCCACAGAAACAACGCCAAACCATCTTCAATGTCAAATGAGGCGGCTGGCTGTGTTCATTGCATCCAACCTGCAGCTGATCTGCCGTAAGGAGGTTGTCGCACGAGAGAAATGACTGTCCATGTGTGGCGAACGTCCTCGCAGATCCAATTTTCGAACACGAAGATCTCTGCGAAGCACAGCCACGATGCAGAAGGGCTTTCGACAACGGCCCCAGCATCGGTCCGCCTTCTGCGAGCTCCACGTAATCTGCGAGCTCAGTTCAAAGCAGGTTAAAGGGAATCGACCGTCCCAGCGCATGGACACACGGACAATCTTACCCTTAACCACCACCAACGGAAAGGAGGACAAGCGCAGGACCAGGCGGCGTACATACATCGGCGCGTAGCTGTTCGGGACCACGAGTGCTGCGGGTTGGAGTGCAGGAGACAGTCGGCGATTTTGCCTGGGGAGGTGTGACGTGCAGCGACGTGGGGGAGCTGCACTCTCAGCACTGAGCACGAATCGCAAGGCATGCAGCAGGCATCAGCGAAAGGAAAGCAGGTTACCCCATAGCAGGCGAGAAGACACTAGCCAGCAGCAGAAAAGCCATTGTCTGCGCATGTGTGACGTTTCAGAAGGGCAGGGCGGCCAGGACTAACTCAGGTGACCCCTTTGTCTCGCTCTGGGGTGGTTCGTTCGAGCAGCTGGCGCGTGTGGATCAGCCGTCGACCATGGCGCCCCCTCAGGGAGACGAAGGGGAGGATCTGGATGAGGACTGTGACGAGCCTCGGCCGACATCCTCCAAGCCACCCAAAAAGGTGCCCAAATCGGGCTTCCCCGGTGTCAGGTATGCGTGCAACATGGCGAGAAGGGGTGCTGTTGTATTCTCTGTGTGTGTCGTTTGCGTGACATGCAGTTGGAATAGCCGCATGGCCTCGTGGTTGGCGTTCTGGACGGAGCCGAGCGGCCAACGGAGGTCCAAGACCTTCAACACCAAAGGACAGGGAGTCGAGGTGAGCCAACAAGCCAGGGGAGGTGTACGATGATGGCTGAATGATGTAACGTGATTGTTGTCCAGGCTGCCCGCCTTGAGGCTGTTGAGTACCTGAAGCTCAAGAAGTCGCTTCTCGCCGCTGCACCGCGGCGACGAGCCGTGCGGCCGGAGGAGCAGGAGCAGCTAGAAGGGATCGAGGACGCGGGAGAGCCGCCAGGTGACGAGTACCAACACTTCACCCGGTCCAAGGGCGCCGGCGTCCCCCTCCCCATCCGCCAGGAGGTGCCTGACATTGACGCCCTACAGCCGCCCATCAAGCGCGAGAACAAGAAGAATAAGCGGCACAAGAAGCGCGAGCAATTCGACTTCGGCTGCCCAGACGGCGAGGAGGACACGACGCCGTTTGGGTTGCTGGGGGGCGGGGGCGGGGAGAACGAGGGGCGGTCGAGCTCCTCCAGGGGCCAGCCAGTGGACTATTTCCCCTATGTGCGGGAGAAATACGCTTATGTCTACACAGAGGGGTCCGGCAGGAAGCGGGCAAGGGACGAGCTGGAGGCGGGGGCGACCGACGCGCCCTGCAAGCCGCTACTCGGCGGCACCCTGCTGGACCACCCGCCCATCTTCTACCCCCCCATCATCCAGCCGACAGGCGTGACGATGGGCACCAGCCTCGGGGGCGGAGGCGGTGGCCAGACCGCCGCGGCACAGTCCCTGGGCGGTTCGCGGCCGGTGGTTGAGGATTGCGATGCGCCAGAGGCGAGCAGCGGCGCGTACGGTGCGGCAGAAATGGAGCCGAGCGTCCTCTTTGAGCAGATTGTGCGTGGTGTCGTGGGTGGCATGTAGAGATGCAGATATCTAGATGGATGGTGGCGGTAGCTCAGCTGGTGGGCTGGTGAGTGAGTGAGTGAATGAATGAATGGCTGGCCGTGCCGTGAGTGACCTTCAATTCGAGAGACAGACTGACTGACTGACTGATTGACTTGCATGGTGGATGGATGGCTGCTATGGTGGTCGGGTGGCGTACGCGTAAATCTTGTCCTTTGACTGAGGCGGTCGTATGAGAGGGAGGTACCTGCACCAGCGGTGTGTGTACAGCTAGAAGGGGAAGCTACTTGACACTCACTCTTGATTTGCCGAATGGTATGATTGTTGATGCTGCTGTGCACACGAACACGGTGAGATGGCTCTGTGTCTTGCCCATGGACACCACGCTCAGCATTCAGTCCCTGCACACAGGACAGGAGGCAAGAGAGCTCAGTATGGTGTTGGCGGCATAGACACATCATGTGTGCTATGCTGCACGTAGAGATGATAGCATAGCACACCCCACTTGATGAGCTGGTTAGGGGAGTGCATTAGCAGGCAGGCTGCAAGCAGGCAGGCAGACCAGTGAGTGACGACGGAGTGATTGACCGGTGTGGTGTGGTCGAATGGATTGCTGGGTGGGCATGGGCACGACTGATATCTAATTCATCTGCCGGTGTCTGTCTGAACAATCCACACACACACATACAAACTGACTAGAACACAGAGCAACTCGTCTCGTCCGCCCTTTTCTCCTCAGCTCTCATGGCTGGCTGCAACCTTCTTCTCAGCAGCTGCTATCTCCCTTCCCCCTGCTACCTACCTCCAGCCGACACCTCTTGCACCATCTTCTCGGCCACTCCCGAACTCTCTCGCCCAGGTATTACCTGCTCACTCTGTGCCTGAGCGGCGGCCTCGCTGGCGGCTGCTGATGCCTCTTGCGCAGCCTGTGCAGCTTCCCTGGCCTCGTCTGCCGCTTTCCTGGCCTCTTGCACCATCTCGCTCAACTCCTGCGTGTCGTCGTGAGAAGGTCTTGGTGTAGTGAGGGGCATATCTGGGCCGATGGCGGGAGAGGCAGTTGAGGGACGAGGGGGCGATTGAAGGGGACCCAGCGCCAGATCTCGTGCATTGCCGTCATCAGTGTGGGCCAACTCTGCCTCCTCCTTGGTCAGTGCAATGCACTGCGTGTCAATATCAGAAGTGACTGGCCGTCACTCGTATGCGCAAAAGCGGACATAGTCCATTCGGCCCCCCTGTGTTGCACTGATCACGCGGCCCATCACATCGAGGCAATCGCCCGTTTCGCTCCGACATTCATCGGGCGTCGCTAATGCGGGCCCGGGCGGAGCACATTTGACGGTTACGTCGCCGATGATCTCGGATGCCTCGCGGGGCGCCACATAGCAGCAGTCACACGTACAGGCAAAGGGGGAGGCGGGCTGTCGAGAGTGGTGGAGCTGGACGGCCGAGAAAAAGGATGGGTGGTTCAGAAGATCTGTGCCGTGGTTGGATGCGGCCGAAGATGCTTGCTGGCCAGCTGACAGCACCTGGCTCAGGGAGAGATGGATAAGGAGCAGGAACATGCGAAGGCAATCGGTTTGCCTCGCGACCTCGGGTGCTCTCCTCGTCACCCCCTTCGAATCTGCGAGCTAGGCTCGCAGGGAAAATTCACTCTGAGAACGGAGGCCAACGCGGTTCACATTCGCACCACATCCGGAAGCTCTCCGTGACCCCCCATTTTGCGATAAGGGCCGTCCCCTTGCGGGATATATCCGCGATGGCGGTTGGGATGCGTGTTTCTCGTCTTTCTCGCCAGAGACCGAGTCATCGGCGCAGGCGGACGACTCGTGTGACTTCGCCCCTCGGTCAGGCGCAGCTCGTGGGCTTGAATGTCACGAGGAAGATAGCAAAGGGGTGAGCCTGGAAATGGGGCTACACCAGAACACAACACAAATCCATGCAGCTCTGCATGGTCTCGTGTGTCCAGGCTCGGAGAGGCTCGTCGTTCCATCACGGAGTTCTTCTCGACTCTCCCAGACCTCTGTGGCTGTGCGGACGAGCGGTGCAATCGCCGCCGGGCCTCGGAATATGACGAGACGGACGCTGAGTACGATGACCTCAGACGGGTATCCTTCAAGCTCCACCGAACCAGACAGCCGTCGCGCTTCTCTCAAGTGGCGGCCACCGAGTGGGAGGATGACTATGACGACCAAGAGGACGATTTCGACAGCTTCGAAGCCGGGAGACGCGAAACACGGTCGCGGTCGTCGATTGCCCCTTTGCTGCGCGAGAGCGTACTACGCAACAGGAAGCGGTCCCTCGTGCAGAAGTCCATCCTGAAGAGGCAAGCGGATCAGGGGCGAGACACGGTGACGAGTCAGCGGCTGATACAGGCCCCACCCACTATGTTGGGGAGCGAGACGCGTGGCAGCAGCAGATACGCACCTCATGGTGGCGGCGTTGGACTCAAGGAGGGCGCAAACACTGAGAAGATGCGGCGTGTGGGCGAGGTGGGGGAGAGGGGCATGAGTATGATGAGTGTGACCGATCACGCGGGGTCGAGAGGCGGCACGATCGAGAGTTGCGGCGGACCATCAGGGGCGCAGGGCCACTGAGACGGGCGAAGAGGTCGAAGACCTGACTGATGAGGTGAGGAGACAGCGCTGGTGTGCACCGAGCGACATGTGTATCTATGTGCAGGCAAGGGCTGCCGCTGGATTGACGAAAGAGGACTTGGAGGTCTTTCGACGGAATCCCCCTCGACTGTCCATCGTCGCTGCATCAAATGAATCGGACGGTAGGTATGTGGGTGACCCCAGGCAGCTCAGTTGACCACAGGCATTCCGTCTTTCTGTCTGCACAGAGAGCGAGTTCCCGTACGCCCACTCTGACGCGGATGAGGAGTACGTGCCGACCGACCCGGATATTTCGCCCAAGTCGCGGTACCTACCTGTGGACACCAACGTAGCCACGAGCCTGGGAGTGCACCACGCACGACCTGACGAAGCCAGAGCCGGCGTGAGCAAAGCACTGCCTGCAGCAGGACGTCTTAGCCAGCGTGTGTTGGCTACTCTCTCCATGTATGGGATGGGTGGTATGGTATGGTATTCTGTTGGTTGGTTTGCAGAAGCGTTCGTCTGCCATCCGGCGTGAGAAGGTTAAGTCCGTGGCCAAGAACCTACAAGGTAGAGAACCTGACAAATAATGCCACACCCGCTGTGTCTGTCTACCTTGATGCACCCCTCCCATGCAGGCTACCTGGAGAAGCCTCGCGCGCAGAAGTCGATGCCACTCAACCTGGGCTGGATGACGCGTAAGTTGCAAACAGGGGACATCTGTCGGCGTTCAGCCCACCTTGCTCTATGCCCTTCCTGTCTGTTTTCGTTGGGCAGAGTCGCTTCCGTGTGCGCGTCGTTTCTACCATGTGACGCCTGATGGTCATCTGTTGACGTGGTACAACTCACATCAGGCCGCCACTGAGGGCAAGAAGGACCCCAATGGCGCCATTCCACTCTCATCGGTGAGCTATCGAGCCAACGAGCCAACGAACGAGAGAGACAGAGGCAGCCGAGCAAGAGAGCCATGGAGACATGGGGCGGAAGGATTGTGGGCTGTTTAAATGAGTGTGTCATGCAGGTGTTGGCGGTTCGCGTGACGGGCTCTCACGACAATCACTTCAAGATATTCTGCAGACTCGGCACAGAAGAGACGTGGGCGAATGCCAAGAAGCATTCCCTCAGCTCTCTCTGCTCGATTTGGGGGGGCAGGTTTGCGATATGAGTATGTCGTGTCTCTGTGTGTCTACACTTCAGGGCGAAGGTGTACAAGTGCGACACGGACGGTGAGCGTCAGATGTGGGTCAACGGCCTGAATGAACTCATACAGCTGCACAAAGACCAGGGGACCGCATAACGACAGACACGAGCTGGTGCTGATCTAGATAAGAGGTTGGCTGTGCTGGCTGATTGCAGCAAAAGGATATGTAGGACATTCATAATAATTCCGTATGTGTGTGTGTGGAGTGGAGTGGACCCTGCAAAGTGTCCTTTGGATTTGATTCATTCATCCAATGCCCATGGCACACATGGCGGCATGGCCGGATCCAGGGCAAGCGTCAAGGCTGACAAATAGTCCCACACTCATGGCACAACACCTAGGCACACACCAGTATGCACACGCACAGCCCCTCCCCCCACTCCCCCATTCTCTACAGCTAATACACAAAGGCAACACCACTAACACGAGGTGTGGAAAACTGATCCAGGCATCGCATCATGGACGCGATGCCTGGCCTGCCTCTCCCTCTTATCATGTCTGTCACTCCTCAAGTACATAAGTCAGTGGGTGTGCCTGTGTGTCCTGTGCGGCCGTGCGTCTGCCTTTGCCTTGCGTGTCTTGGTGTCCTCCGTGTAGGCCGTATCGACGGCGAAGAAAGCGAAAGGGTCCAGGAAGGCAGCTGTCATGTCGGCCTCTGGGTCAGGCTGCACACACCCATGCAAGATGATGAATGACGTGTCTTTGTTGTGTGTATATGGGCTGGGCTTACGAAGTCGTCATTGTCAGTGTCCATCAGCCGTTGGTACTCTTCCGGCACGCTGCCCTCGGTGATCATGGCCTCCTCATCGACGTCATCGAGTGCATCCTCCAGCTGCATCAGCAGCACCGCCTCACTCGGACTCTCGCCTGGCGCATGATGAGACTCGACGGAAGGCGGCATGCTCCCCGTCTCCAGGAAATATGCCACACTCTCGTGACCCTGCACACACGACACCACACAACGCATAAAGACTGACATGGATGATGTGTGTCTGAGCGAGTGGGGGAGTGGACACTGACCTTCCGCATGGCAGAGTCGAGTGCAGTTTCGTTGCGGAGGCCCCTCACCTCAATCAGCGCCTCACCTCCCGCCTCAATCAGCCTCGCACAGATGGCCAGGTGGTTCTTGGATGCCGCGTTGTGCAACGGGGTCTCACCAAGGGCATCCAGTGCCCATACGCTTCCCCTATCACACTGAAGGAGGGAGGGGACTTGTGGATGTGGTGGGTCATGTGTGTCTATCTCACCCACCTCCACAAGAGCATCTGCAACCTCGGCATTCCCACAGGCAGCAGCCACGTGTAGGGGGGTCGACCAGCCGTGACGATAGTCACCAATCCTCGACCGACAGTCGAGAGATGCCCCTGCCATCGGACGCTTCACACCTCCAGCCAGAGCTTCACACCTGTTCAAACAGACAGGAGTGCGCCGGTGTCTGCTGCAGCTACCTGGATGTATTTGTTGGCCTGCATCGATTCAATCACCTTGCGATTATCTGGATGATCTCCCGGCGACCCTTGGGTGTAGCTGCAGAGTGCAGGAGAGACCAGCCTGCATTGTCCCGTGTGTGGATGTCAGCGCCAGCCTCTATGAGCAAACTGACACCAGCTGTCGACCCCTCCTCAACAGCAGCCTGACACACAGCAACGACAGTGCCACCTATGGATCGCCTGCGTCTGCGATCACGTCTTTCCTTCCTCCCCACCTGCAGCGGTGTCTTGCCCTTCTTGTCTCTCGACTCCAGATCAGCGCCCCTCCGTATTAACAGATCCACCACCTTCCGGCCCCTCCTCCCTGCTCGAGCAGCGAGATGCAAGCAACTCTCGCCAGCCGCATTGCGCAGATTCGTCAGCGCAGGTAACCCAGAGCTCGACTGGCTTCCTTCTGTGTTGTCCAAGAGCCATTCAACAGTCTCCAGATGGCCCTTGGCGCAGGCAAGGTGCAGTGGTGTGTTGAGGCTCTTGTCACGCGCGAAGACGCCCGTTTGTCGCGACAGCAGCTGAGTGAGGTCGGTGCCGGTCTCCCCCCTTGCTGCCATTTCTTGCCACGCTGCATCGGTCCTCTCCTCGATGTCAATCTTGCTGATGTGGTCAGTCAGGGCAACACAGATCTTGGTGTGGCCATGAAGAGCCGCCAGGTGGAGAGGCGTCGACCCTGACGCGTCGGTGAGGATGGGATCGGCATTGTGGTCGAGAAGGAACCGCACCACCTCGAGAAGGCCTCGCTCACTCGCCTTGTGGAGGGCCGTCTGTCCCGTGGAATCCGTGTCGTCGATGGTCACAGTGATGTCGTCGCGTAGCAGCAGCCGGCCGACATTGACAAATTCGTGTGCCAGGGCATACCGCTGGATGGCGGGCAGCTCTGTAGCGTCAGCGGCCTGACGTGTCCTTATCCACTCTGATAACCTGAGCAGCCACACAGCAGCATCAAATAGCGCCACACACATTAAACAGGAACACACGCCCTGTGTGTATGTGTGTGTGTGTGTGTGTGTGTGTGTGTGCGCTTCCTGACCGGTCTGCCACTGCCCGTGCCAGCGTTGGATCCATTGCAGCCACACGAGCGGGGTCCAGCTGCAGTTGATGGATAAGTGACGCCACCTTCCTCGCCTCGTCTGTCGTCATTGCGGCCCCATGCGAGATGTGGAAGCCTCCCTGGTGCTCAAGATACTCCCTGATCCGGCTGTGGGTATGGGGAGGCGCATGGGCATGCGCTGCTGCGACCACCCGGATAGTGCGGACGCTCTTGCGGCGCCGTGTTGCGGGTGCATGAGGCGGTAGGAAGGCATGAGAGCTGCGGGAAGGCCCGAGGGCGTGCCGTTTTGTCCTGCTGATGAGTGCCATCTGGACCGCGCCGAAGCAGCTGGCAGCATAGAAGAGAGGGAAGATCAGCGTCAGACAACAGCGGATCTCCATATATCCATGAAGGAATCAACGAACAGAGAACAGACGCAGCAGATAAGCCAATGGGCGGTTTGGTTGCGAGCTCCTGTGCGATCCAAATTCTTCCGCCGGTTGCCGCTATTTCCCATTGTGAAACGATGCAGCAGCCTTCAGCAGTGTAGATCTGGCAGTGGTAGTGATGAATCTATCGTTTGCAATGAGTTTGTGGCTTTCAACTGGATTGCCGCTCTTCAACCATCTCGTGCGGTGCAGCTGCCAGTCATCCCCCTTGTTTGAGGCGACCATCCCTGCATGGCTCCGCTCGCGGGACTGGAAACTCGAACAGGACCCTACCTTCCTCACACAAGCACCCCCAGCCTCCCTCTGCCAAGAGGACAACAACCGCACTTGTGCAGCCCCTCCCACTGACCCGGATCGCCGCCACCTTCGCTCAATCGCCTACCCTCTCTTCAGCACCAACCTCCATCTCGGGGGCGAGGACATTTTCGTCTTCGAGCATTTCTTCTACGGCATGACAGGCGGGCTCTTTCTCGAGGCGGGGGCAGCGGATGGCTTCCGCGAATCCAGCACCATGCTGCTGGAGAGGTATGCCGGTTGGCGGGGCATACACATCGAAGGGTCGCCCATCAACTACCGACTCCTGATCAACAACCGGCCTGATACCCTCAATCTCAATGCGGTGTTGTGCTCAGAGAGGGCAGGGGAAGACAACGACGGCGTCGTGACGTTTAAGGCGCAGGAGCTAATTGGAGGGATCGTCCGCTTTATGGAGCCGGGCAAGGTCCAGGGCCTCGATGTCCGCAATGTGACTGTAGATGGCAATGGGACTGTGCGCGTGGACCCCAATGTGACCGACCTGCCGGCAGCTGGGATTGCGAACCTCCCCTGCCTGTCGCTGAGGCGCGTCTTGCGTCGATTCGGCATCCGGCACATCAACTTTATGATGGTCGACATTGAGGGCGCCGAGTGGCCGGTGCTAGAGGCTTTCAACTTCTCAGATGTCACTGTTGATGTGCTCGCCATCGAGACGAACGCACGGGAGGCGGGCACAGGGAAAGCCGACCTCTTCCAGGCCCACCTGTCGCAGTATGGCTATCGAATGACATACCCCATCCACGGGTACCTGGGGCTCAACACGTATTTCCTGCGCGAGGGCTTCGTGCCTTCCACCAGGCCAGGTGCGGGCAGACAAGCTGACAACCGATACAGAGAGGTACTGCTGAAGGGAGCGCCAGAGTGTTGGAGGAACGCTGTGCTGGTGGATCACGATGATGGGGACAGGATCGTGATGATGGTGACGCCGGAGCGGTGCTGTTCGTATGCGGGGTGGGTGAGTGTGTGTTTCGCTGAGGCTTTCACGTATAGGAAGTGCTGCCTACAGCCGATGGGGCTGGACATGCAAGGGGATGGACTGGTGACATTCGTTTGAACACATGAACACATGACCGACCGACCGAGCAATGATCTGTGCAACATGCGATTCATCTCATTCGCACACACATGTGCACAACACGCAAACAGTCCACTGTCCGTTCGTCTGGGCCTGTTCGTTCAAAGCACCCAGTCTTGCCCTCGCAGGAAGGGGTCCACGTCAGCATCCATGTCGTCAGCCCCACCGTCTGCTCCAATACCACCACCACTACCACCAGCAGCAGCGTCCCCCCCGAGTTCTTCACCAAACGCCTCCTCACCCTCCATGGCGGGATGCGCCTCCTCAGGGGCGCCTGGCATCTCGGCTTGCTGGTCCGTGCCACCCTCCTGATCAATTTGCATGTCTCCGTGTTCACGCTCCTGTGGCGATGGGTCCACGTCCATGTCAGGGGAGTCGCTGTCGTGTTGGGGTGCAGGGTTGGCTGCTGGCGGGGGTTGGGGCGCGGGGGATGGATGGATGTTGTTGTGTGGTTGTTGGTCGTTGTCTTGGTCGAGGGGGATGGTGGCCTGGGAGGCGCTGTCGGCGTCATTGTTGTCGTTGTCGGGTGCTGGGAGGGTTAGGGGGTCGAAGGCCTCCATGCTGCCCCAACTGACACAGACAAATCGATGAAGGAAGGAAACGAGTGAGCGCTTGTCTGTCTGTCTGTCTGTCTGTGTGTCTGTCTGTCTGTCTGTCTGTGTGTGAGTAGGGTGGATGTGATGTGCACCTGATGCCCTTTTTTGCGGTGAGCATGAGTGGCACGGCAAGGTCCAGCTGATCGGCAGGCGTCTCACACATCGACTGCACACACAAATCCATACCACACCATTCAGCCGTCTTGGTCTCTACTGTGCGGTGGCACACCTCTCTCAGCAGTCGACACAGCTGTTTGACATCATCGTTGCCACACTCGAACACTAACTCGTCTGCACAAAGATACAGAGAGACATACAAGGAGGAAACACCTGTACACACACGTGCGCTCCGCTTCCCCTGCCCGTCCACCATGCAGACCGTGTATGGTGAGCAGCAGTGATGGGTGTGGGTGGTTCTTCCACGTTCGCTTGGCCAGGTTCTCACGCACAGCCAGCATTGCGATCTTGAGCAAATCAGCAGCCGATCCTTGAATGACGGCATTGACGGCCTTCGTGTGGACGTCCCGCCCACCCGCACCACCCCCAACACGACGACGACGACCTACTCCACACACACACTCACAATGATGCACGGTGGATGGATGGATGGAGGGAGGGAGGAGGGAACGATGCGTCCACACCGGTGATGGTGGTGACGAATCCGCGTATCTGTGCGTTGTGCTGCGTTCTGTCCATGAACGTCTTGGCCTGACATTTGTCATGAACACAGGCCGCTCGTCGTTCGGTCCGCATCCCACGTACCTCCGGGAACTGTCGTAGGAACTGCTGCTTGAGCGTTTGGGCCTCAGCCACCGTGGCGTCAATCTGCTTGGCCAGCGCCTCGTTGCCCGTCCCGTAGATGAGCGACAGATAGGCCCTCTTGAACTGAACAAACCAATAAAACACACGACGAGTGCACCAATGTACATGTGTCTTGTGCATTCCCATTGGAATACATCCACCTTGTTGCGCTGCTCCTTTGACACGGCACTCGACGCACGGCCTGCGCGAATGCAGGGAGGGAGGGAGGAACACATGTGTGTGGAATTTTATGCGGCCGGCGTGTCTTGTGGCGATACTCACGGTAGTGTCTGGCGGCCATTTCTGTGTAGATGTCCACGTCATTGGGGCCGCGCCAACCGCTGTCACTCTGGCTGAAGGGAAAGAAGTACATGACATGCATGCGTCAGACATTCGCGTCTTTGTGTGCCTCTTGTTCCGCTGACTTGAGTATCTGCTGCAGTCCCCCATCGCCGCAGAAATGAGCAAAGATGCGCATCTCCTGCACTCACACACGACAATCGATGGCGGCAGCCGTCTTTGTGTCGCAGGGTCGTGTAAGTGTACGATCTGCGCGTAGTCGACGGACACGAGCACGTGTGTGTCGGGTTGGGCTGTCTTAAATCCATCACGCGCCCGAACCTCACCAATACCCTCAAGCACCTGTTAGCAGACGTGCATGGAAGGAGCCGTGGGCAAAGAGGCGAGGAGACAGAGACAGGCTCTGCCTGCCCTGCCTGCCCTGCCTGTGGTTTGGGTATGTTCTGCATGTTGAGTGTGGCGCACGATAAGCGACCTGCATTGCGTACACACACAACGAGATTATACCATGAAGCGAAAGCGAGCCCTGTTCCTCCTTTCTCTGTGTCTGCATTGCGTACCGGTGCCGGTCTGCATTTGGTTCCATTTGCTGAAGCAGCGAGGTTTGCTGGACTCGTGCCACCGCCGACCACTGCCCATCTCGGCCCCCTCGTCCAGATCAAGCTGCACACGTGGCGACACGGCAAACGACATGCGCGGTTTATGTGAGTGGATTGCATGTGTTTGTTTGTGCTCACGGTGTATTGGGGGATGGACTTGATCTCCTTGCTCATGAATCCGGACAGTGAACGGTGATGCTGCAGACCATACATAACGATACGTTGCGGTGTGTGTGCGTGTCAATGTGCGTGTGTATGTGTGTTTCTTACGAGTATCATCTGCACAACCGCCCGCACATTCGGGTCGCGGCTCTCCCGCAGAATGCGACTCAACGCCTCCTGATCTGCACAATGATACAGAGACAGACAGAGAGAGAGAGGGAGAGACAACATGAATGTTGTGAAGGCACCTGCCTCTCTCTCTCGGTCTGCGCGTCTTCTCATTCATGTCTCAGGCAAGGCCGTCTACCGGTAGATCTCTGGTCAGTTTTCTTCTTTCGTTCGACGGAGAGGTTGTCGGGGTAGGAGACCTTCATGTCGTCGTACAGCACCTCCGCAACCTGCACACACATCCACCAAGACCAACCCATGGATGAACCTGCCGGGTGATGTGCCTCGATGAGTGAGAGTGACCTGCTGAGGTGATGCGAGGTTGAATGTCTTGCCGGCGGCCTGTCTGGCCTTTTCCCTGATGTCGTCGATAGCCGACTCCACCGAGTCGTGCAAAGAGGTAAAGAACTCGCTCTCGCAACAGATGCCTGATCAACCATGGACCGGAGAATGGGTGCGGTGCATCTGTATGTGTGTATGGCGTGTGATACCCCACCGGTGACGTCCAGTTCGGCGAGAAGGACGGCCGTGGGGGTCTCCTGCTGGATGAAGGCGCTGCACAAGTAGACAAGGAGACGTCTCACAAATGTGTCGGTGTGGTTTCCCGCTGTGTGGGATTGAGCGGCTCTCACTGACTGACTCGAGGAACATCTGCTGGTCGTCCTGCGTGCAGAAGCGCCGCTCGATGTCCCGCTGGAACATGCGAGTCCACTCAGCGCGGATAGCGACTGACAGACACTCTGACAACACCGCATCCTGACACACATCGATGTCCAGACATCACACACAAGGACAGGCAGACACAGACATACATACGTCTCTTCATACCATGGCTGCATAAGCCCATTCCTTCATGTCCAAGTGAGGCTGGGCCGCCGCCTGCTGCATGAGTGCGCTGAGCCCTCTGCCGCCACCTCGCCCTCGCCCCTGCTGCTGCTGGTTGAGTGAGAAGGGCAGCACAGGAGCCCCTCCCTGGCCCCTTCCTCGCCCTCTGCCACGACCAGCCCCCGCCGTGTCGATTGGCGACGACCTCGACCCGCCCAGATGCACGGCCAGGTCCTGATGGACATGTGTGTATGGAGACCAAGGACACAGTGATGTTTGTTGGCGTGGCGGACCTCTGCGTTGCTGAGTTGGGTCTGCAGCGACTGCTCACAATCCTGAAATGGCGGAGCAACAAACAGATAAACTTTCCGCCCTGTGTGTTTCTTGCTCCGCTCGCCTGTGTGTTGAGGAATGTCTGTCTGAGTGTGTCGATGCCCTGCCATGTTTTCCCGTCGTCGGGGTCGAGCATGAAGGCCATGATGGTGGGGTCCAGCTTGTTGATGGAGCCGAAATCCAAACCTGAGCCTACAAGCCACACACTCATCCATCCAGACATACATGTCATGTGATGTATCTCTTTGTCTGTCTGTGATGACAGTGTGTCGACCAACCGAAGGTGGGTAGTTTCTGGTAGAGACTGCGATAGGCCTGGATGAGAGATGCGGAAGGTGACAGTGGCTACGGATGACAGAGCTGCCCTCGATTACCAAACCTACCTCCTGCAGCCCGCAAACCACCAAAGTGCTCATGCTCCCGTCATCAGACGAGCGAGGCGCCTGGACAAACAGAGCAGCCATACACTCCTTGCCCATCCTTCCCGTCTGTATGTTTCACCAGTCGTCCTCCGAAGAAGTCGCTGAGCAGCCCCCACACGTCATCGGTGAGTCTGCGCGTCAGGTTCTGCCACTGCCGGCCATTCGACGACCAACGACCCATGCACTCCGCCTGATAATGACACGGACACGGGATTTTGCCCAATGTATGAATGCACTGCGGTGGCTGTGTGTCCTTATTACTGCCTGTGCCATGCATGGCATGAGGATGAAGAACCGCCCCTGCCCATCCCTGTCGACGGGCGAGTTGAGGGGCGAGAGGGGCAGAGAAGAACGCAGCGTGGTGCCGTCGCCAGTGACGGAGAGCAACACAGCCACAGGGAGGGGGAACCCGTCAGCGATGGTCTTGCTGTCCTTCTGTTCACAGAGAAGGAGAAGATAGATGCAAGGAGTGTCTCCCCTCCTTGGCCCCATGTTCCCTTGGTTGAAGCTTACGCGGATCTCCAGATTGGGTCTGACTGATGTGGTCCCATCCTCGTACAGCATCACCACACTCATGGTTGCGATGGCCACGGACGGCGGCTCCCCGTCCGTCTCACCGAACACAGCCCTCTGCATCTCCTTGAGGGCGTCAGGGCTCGACACACAACACCAATCAGCCAAAGCTGACACAACTGACACACATACACAGATACACAGGCAGACAGAAGGGATATCAAGACGAACCATCCATCAATCCTTAGAGAGCTCACCGTCCACGAGTTTCTCAAAGGCTACAGTCCACTCAAACTGATCCCTAACCCGTCCCCTCTTGGCCCTCGAACCCCCATCCCCTCCGCCTCCCCCTCCACCCGCACGTTTGGCACCACCCTTGGCCTTCGCTTTCGGCACCACCGCAGCAGTCCCGCCGAACAGCGTCCGTTGGATCAGCTGGCCCCCCGGAGCCTTTGCTGCAGGAGCCTTCGCAGCTGGAACCTTCGCTGCTGCTGCTGCTGCTGCCTTCGGAGCTGGCCTCTGCTGTCCGCCGGCGGCAGCGAATGGTGGCCGCTGGTGAGGGGCATTGGCAAGTGGTCTGGAGATGGGGGGGCGGGGAGGAGGGCGTGCATTGGGATTGCGAGGAGGGGGGCGGGGAGGGAGAGGGCGGTTGCCAACGGGAGGGGGCGACGGCGATGGTCCACGAAGTGCCCTCTGTGCCGGAGCAGCGAATGGAGCCACTGCCGCTGGGCGGGCAGGCTGAGCGTGGCTGCTGGGCTGGAACGGGGCGGGAGGGCGGACACGTGCCTGCTGTTGCTGTAGCTGCTGCTGTTGGTTTCGCTGGTACGCTGCGAAGTTGCTCTGCCCGAGGATGGCGTCCCATCGGAGAATTCTGACACACACACACACATACGGGCATGTGCAAGAGTGAGTGCTCCCCTCCCATCCCCTCTGACCTGTTGGTGCGCTCACTCTCCCAGAACTCCATCGGATCTGGTGGTTGTAGCCCTTTGAACATCCAGCGGGTCGTGACATACCCCCCGCCGCCGCCGCCAGCAGCCTCGAACTCATTCAACTCCATGACGCACCATGTAAACGGAGTGCGAGCTGCGAGCTGAGACCGCCTGAGAGGAAAAACTGGGGATCCCACGTGTCACCAACACAGAAGCACAGCCACACCGCAGCACGGCAAGAAGAGTGGCTTTTGCAATGCCTTACTACAATCGCGGTGAGCTGGAAGACGATTTGGAAAGGCACCTTAGCCTCGTGAAGCAAAGAGAACAGAGGAAGGAAGACCCAACTCCACCAGCAACTGCATGCATAACTCCCTCTGCACCTCTGCCTGTCTCGTGTGTGTCTCCATTGTGCAGCGTACGTGTCCCCCGAGTCAACTCCCTCCACGCCAAGGCGGCCTCGTCTACCCACACCCGAGCGGAGGGCGGCGCTCATTCAGCGATACCTCGAGCTGCGCGAAGTAGCCGACGAGGACGTCGACAGAGACGAGGTCATCGCGCTCGCGCAGCAGCTTCAGGACATCGCAGTGGCAGAGGCGGCAGCCCGATTCGAGGCAGAGCTAGAGAACATCCCGCCGATCAGGCTGCCGCCCCCACGAACCCCAGAGGATGTTCCTGAAGTCCCCCGCGCCGCTCCGCCCGTCCCCGCCAGCCCGCCTCCCATCCCCTCCCCTCCGCCCAGCCCTCGATATATGCCACCAATGCCGGCCACACCTCCCCCTTCCCCGCCACCTCCCCCGCCCCCTCCCCCATCAAGGCCACTGGCTGCAAGAGTGCCTCGTGCGGCCTCCTGCATTTCGAGAAGACAGCAGCAGCACAGAGACGAGGCGGTGGCCAGGCGAAGAGACCGCGAGAGGAAGGAAAAGGAGGGCGTTGTGCGATTCCGTCTCTGAGCCGTCACGGGGGGATGAGTTGTTGTTGCACGGGGTGGCTGCTCAGGGACGGATAGACGTGGGACGGCACGTCATCAGCAAAGGAGTCTTTCAGCTGGCTGTACGAGAACCAGGAGAAAGGACTGAAGTGGACGGCGATGGAATGGAGCGGAAAACTTCTGATAAGAGGCGCAGGTGAAGCAGGAGAAGGCCGAAGAGTGAAGGGGCGACTCAAGCATGACCATCAAGAAGAGCCATCAAGAAGAGCCTTTTCACGACATTGCAATCGAAAAGTTGATACACACCACATCGGCCTTCCTCGACCGCCCCTCAGAGCTCTCCGTGTGTTGGGCAGTAGGGAGAGGAGGGTGTGAGAGCCGCCGCGGCATGGGAACGAGGCCAGCTGACGCTAAAAGCTTTGCCGCTGTCCAATGCCGAGTTCAATCGGACTTGGTGTCTTGTGACAATGTGGACAAAGTGGGTGGAGTGGCGAAGGTGAAGCGAGCGATACGCAAGCTGCCCGGCTGTCCATGAAGCTCATTGAGATGTGCGTGACATCTAGAGGGGCTCTGAACAAGACGGACGACGGACTGTCAGCATGAGCACCGGTGAGTACATGAATGAGACACCAATGTGCAGAGGGAGACATCACCTGTTTCCTCTGTGTCTCTGTATTTGCAGCAAGCCGCATGAGAAGGCAGGGAGCTGAGCGCCTTCCTTCTTTCCCGTTGTGCAAGCCATTTCTTTCTGCTGCCGTTTTGGTCTCGACTACATGAAGCCCATTGGTGACGAGACAGCGCCGCCGGCATCGATGCGGCAACGTTACCGTCAGTATCGAGAGAGACACATGTGTGGCTAGAAAGACCCGAGCGGCAGTCCATCATCACTAACGTGTCGACCGCCCGGGAGAGCGAGAAAGGGCAAGAGGCGCCTTTCTCATCTTCCGAGCCTTCCCCAGCAACGTGTGAGAAAGCACCGGCTATGCTGACGACCAGTGCCAACGAGACAACGAGAGGGAGCGTGCGGTGTCGCTGCAGTACCTGCCTTGCCCTCGCGGCAACACAGCTGTTTGCGGGTTAGCAGCACACTCACTCAACAACCTTTCCCTGCCTGCTGATGTCTGTGTTGCTTGTGTGCAGCTGCGCAGGACAGTGAACCCAAAGTCCTCGAGCCCAAGGAGCAGGTATTCCTTGTGGGGTCCATCAACGGCGAGAAGCACCTGCACAATGCGGCTCTCATCAGCGTCGACCCCTTCCCCCTCCATCCCCCCGAGCCGCCCCGCACAGTCACAATCCTCTTCATTCCCGACCCCGAGCACACCAAAGAGGTCGAGGACATCCAAAGCGTCCAGTTCACCGTCAGGGATGAGAAAGGAAGAGCAATCTTCAATCGGACCACGTCCAGTCCACCCTTCTCTCTCTTCGCCCACGAGAAGGGGACATTTCAGGGTGCCTCGCTCGGCACCAAGACTCCCAGCATGCGGCTGAGGCGGCAACGACATCTTTGACCTGGCCATCGCCAACAAGCAACAGGCGCGCTTCCACACGCTCCTGTGGCACAGCGACCCCTTCTACGGCACCGACGAGGACCGGCCGCCATGAAGGCCGTCGACAAGAGAGCCCAGCTGATCGGCCAACATATGGGACGTTGTCAACGAGGGTATGGCATATACGCACAAGGGAGCCAGGCAGACTTAGGTGTCTTGATGTCTGCTTGTCTGTGTCATGTGATATGTGTGTGTGCAGATTGATGACGCGCAGGACGAAGCCGAGGGCAAGAACGGCGGCTACAAGCTACGTGACAGCATGTGGCACCCCGACCTCCCCGAGTATATCGACCTCGCCTTCGTTAATGCCCACAAGGCCGGCCAGGCCGCCGACGCCAAGCACAACTCCACCACAATGCCGGCCATGAAGCTTTTCTAGAACGACTACTCGTGCGGCATGAAGACACGCGGCATGAAGACACGCGGGGTGCCTGTCGCAGGGGTCAGTCTTCAGTCGCATGTCAACGGCGAGTACAGCTACTATGAGGGCGTGCGGAAGAACACGCGGCGTCTGGGCGAGCTGGGGCTGGAGGTGACACGCGGCTGGCTATCGTGGTGCTAATAGGGGTGACACTGGACGAAGCATCTGCCCCAGCCGGCTTTCGGATGGGACGAAGGGAGTGACGTCGTATCAGACCTGATTAATGCCAGGATGTGAGCGATGTCATCGTATTTGGCTCACAGCCGCTCGAATTCAGACGTCATCTATGGCAAACGAGCTAGAGAGCACCGCTGCCGCTGACAATTCCACCATCCCGCACCGTGGGGCGTTGCCGATACGCGAATATGACATGACGGCCGCGCTGGAGTAACGTGTACAGGTGCGTCACTTCCGGCGAAGAGGTCTCGCCCACCTACTGCATGTCGTATTTTCGTGTGTTCTGCTCTCTTTCAGGCAGTGCACCCTTTTGCTGTTCTCTGTCGCCCTCCTTCCTCACGGCAAAAAGTGGCGCCCCCGCCCTTCATAACGGTGCCCACAGCTTGTCCTGATAACATGCCATGACCACCATCAGCCACCGCAACATACGCAGAGACACCAAACATTCGCACTGCTGCTGATGTCGGCCGCCCTTTGCGAATCGGCGACAGAAAGGGGAAAGGCGACAGGAGAGCGAGGCCACTGTGTCTCTTGACGCCCCAGCCGCAGCCCAGTGTGAAAGAGATGTCGACCGCCGCCTTTGTGGCGGAGCGCGAGCAGTGCTGACGCTGCGGCCGTGCGATAGGGCCGCTGAAGGACAACAAGCCCGGAGACAGTACATAAGGGTTCATGTTACGAGAGAGTTGTCGGTCGTTGTTGGTCGATGGATGGATGCCTTTCTTCTGTCGTGACAAGTGCTATCAATGCGTCGTCTTTTCTGCTCCAAGTGCATTGAAATGCGACGATCGATGCAGACACGCGTGAAGGATGGACATGTCCTTTGCTCTTTGTCGGCGGGTGCGTGCCTTTGGCGCAGATGCGTACAGACATGGATGCCCATGACGAATGGCGAGCTGCATATGGATGGATGTTCAGTGGCAAACATGGTGCAGATTGGGCCAACAATTGTCAAAGCATTCAATGAGATGTCCTCACTACCTTAGTCCACAAGCAATCAGCGAGCCGGCCCTCAGCGCGCTGTTGCCGTCTCGTCCCTGCTTGAGTTACTTCAGTTGAGCCGAAAGTCATCCAAGGGATGCTCTGTCCGCATGTTGTCTGACAGGAGTCGCGCAATAATGAACAACGCCGTCTGACTACCGCGTGGGGTCTGGTTGGCATTTATTAATTGAGTGCGTACGTACCGACAAGTTGTATGAACATAAGGCCGGACACGGTCGAGAGCGAGAATGCCATCGAGAATCGGATGTTGGGATGCGGCAACACTGCATACACATACAGAAGAACACATCCAAGGAGACACACGATCCAGCAGCTTCCTCCTCACCTCTTTCTGCAGCAGCCCGAACGTTAAACTCCTGCAAGAAAACCGGCAGGCCGGCGTGTCGGATCAGAAATACAATTCACAGTCGTAGCGAGCTTACTGGATGGTTGATGATTCCAGGCACACCGGCGGTGATGAGGCCCTCAAGGAGAAGCTCAAAGACGCTCGCGAGCACAATCTGGTCGTACTGGCTCTCACTCAAGTTGGCCACAAAGTTGTCGCTCTGCAGCCGCAGCCCGATCGTCATGATGAGGATGCCTACGATGCTGAGAATGTCCACTAGCTGCTGGACCAGGAACTTTTTGGCCAAGTATTCGGCAGTGGAGCCAAACTCAAAGTGCTCCTCCAACTTGACGATCGACTTGGCGAGAAACGTGTGGATGAAAGACTTGTGTTGCTGCACAGCCGGAGCCTCCTTTTCTGCCTTGTCGGAAGGCTTCTCCTCGTCTTCTTCAGAAGGTGTCCCATCGTCCTTCTCGAATTTCACCGCTGCACCGTGGAGCGCCATAAGCGATAAGTGCCTGGTGTGACCTTTCGGGCTCTCCTCATCCACAGCAGCTGCATCGAAGAACACAGATACCTCTCGCAGGCTCTTGTGTAGCCGCACTTTTCCCAGGGGCTCGGTGTCTCCCCCGTGTATGGAATCATCAGAAGATAGGGCTGTCGCGGACTGCTGCTTGTGCTTGTCGACGACTGGCGAGGAGCCACGGGAGGCTGAGGTAGTCTCGGTCACGAGCGGGGGATCGTTATAGTCCCCGTGTGGTCGCGAGGTGTAGACGAGGGAGCTCCGTGATGGGCCGCTGACCGTGTCTCGTCCCTCCCGCTGGGCCCTATGGGCCACAGGGGAAAGGGGTGGAGGGGCACTGGAATGCTGCAGCGCTTGCTCGTTAATCTTCGGATTGACAGCAATCGAAGGCCTCCTCGCTTCCACGGCAATATCATCTTTTGTCGGCTCCATCACGTCCATTGTGTGGCTATCGCTGGGCCGCTTTGCGCTGGCCACATCGTCGAAATCCTCCACTTGTTTCTCTTTCTCCTCGCGAATCTTCTTTTCAGCTCTTATCTCCCTGTGGACGGTCCTCAGCTGGTTTTTGACGGCCTTGATGCCGAGAAACGACGAAAAGCGGCGCATCACCTCAATCAGAGAGTGCAGAAGAATCGGGTAGACGATCAGCTTGTAGAAGATCTTGACGATCCAAATCTGAAGGACGGTGATCCACCCGTCGATCTCAAAATAGATGAAGCGGTAGGGAAGGCCCGCGTATATGACCGACTGGAACTCCACAACCGCCCCCAGCAGGCTGTTGGCACCTCCAAACGGGACGAGAAACCCATCAAATAATTTCTTGAACGGGAGAATACCGACGGGATAAAGGGCACACAAGCCCACCTGATGAGAAAATCAGCTGCAAATGAGGGGGTCCAATGAGCTGATGAGAAAATACCGACTTGATAGAGGGGGTCGTCTCTCGACAAAGCCAGCACATAGGCGAAGACCAATGAGAATGTCAGCTGCAAATACGGCCCAGCACAAAGCCCAGCCAGCCGGACACCGGTCAGGAACTGAGGGCACTGGTAGATGAGCATAGCCGTGACGAGCACGGTGGACATGGTCATGGCCGCCAATGTCACAGCGAACCATCGAGGAGGCATGGAGAAGTCGATGGAAGGGATGAAGACAACCTCCCGAAGTGACAGCATCTCTTGCCAGAACAAGAGAGCCGCAGGGAAGAGCACCATGCCGAATAATGCCAGGAAGATGCCCCGTTTCTTGCCGACGCCGTAGACCAGCCCAATTGTCGACCATAGAGAGACAGCGCCAGAGATGCCCAGCAGCGGGCACTTGCCCACCCACAGCATCAGATCATACTCGCGCGGGAGGTAGAGGAAGACGATGCCTTGGACAATCGCCGGCACGACAAACAGCCCCACAAGATACACAAATCTCCGGTATTTTGCCCCTTCGATGGGAGCGTCCGACCGAAAGGAGCTGATGTCTGTTGCACTTGGTCGGTGGTCTTCGACTGCTTTCTCGGTGGAGGTGACGGCTCTCCTCGCGCTGTCATTGTCGCCGCCATTGTCGCTTGGGGCCGTCCCGTGCCGGCCTTGCCACTCATCGTTCAATCTGGAAAGCAGTTTCTTGAAGTCACTCTCATTCAGTCTGCTGGCGTCCCTCACGAAAGCCTCCATTTCGCCTCCCTCTCCTCCGATCGCGCGAGCTTAGCTTGCGTGAGATTCGCCTTCCCGGGCGTCAAGCGGCCATACACGCTGCACATGGGTACGCGTCCGACACAGAAAACGGTACATGAGGCTGTGCTTTTGCATCTCAGAAATCACAGGAGGCCAGCTCGTGTTACTGCATGAATTTCTCCCTTTGCTTGTGTGTTTGTTCGTGTGTCAGGCTGTCGCTGAGTAGTCCGCCCCCCGTCCCATCGCTACCACACCTCAACAATCACTCATCACTCATGACTCATCCGCAATCACCGCCTTTGCTGACGGCGGAGAAGTCGCCCTCGCGGCCGCCCCTGACCCGCACACATGGCCATGGCACCAAGCACAAGGAGGGCAAACAGGACATCAGCAATTCTCACGCACAGGAGACGGGCTGGAAGGAATATCTATGCGGCATATTCCCAAACAAGGCCAAGGTGAGAGAGAGAGGGTCTGACGGCTGGCTGATTGATTGGCGGTCGGGCCGTGTGCTGTGCTGTGCTGTGCTGTGCTGTGCTGTGCTGTGCTGTGCTGTGCTGTGTTGTGTGTGCAGCTGTGGAGTCGCAAGACAGTTGAGCATCCTGTGAACAGCTCGATCATGACGCTGCTGACCATCTTCGCCCTGTTTGGGGACGACATCAAGCTCTGCACTACCGATGTGGTATACACATACAAACACACACACATGCATCGCATCGCTGCATGGATGCGATGCACACACGGCGTCGTTTTCGTTTCGTCTTCTCATATATCCGCAGAAAGCCGATCAGTATTTCAACTACGTGACCATATTTCTGATTTTCATGTTCACAGCTGAAATCGTCCTCACATCCATCGGAAAGGTCAGTCAGCATGTCGGCTCTTGAACACACTACACCCCTCACACACACGGATGTCCGTCTGTCTGTCTGTCGCAGGACGATTACTTTTTGGGTTTCTTCTTTTGGCTGGACGTGATAGCGACGCTGTCGCTGCTGACGGACATCACGTACGTGTGGGACGCCATCCAGTCGCTGTCAGGCGGACAGGCCGGCGACTCTAAGCTGGCCAGGTCAGCACAGCACACAACCATCCATCACTCACGGAGAGCACAGCGGGCGATAAGATAACGGCCCTGTCGGTCGCATTTGGGCATTCGTGGCTGTGTGTGTCTAGGGCGGGGCGAGCCGGTCGTGTGGGGTCACGCGCAGGTCGAGTCATCCGTATCATCCGAATCGTCCGGCTCATCCGTATTGTCAAAGTGAGCAGCACCTGCGGACTGTGTGCATTATTGATGTGTATCTAAGTGCCCCTCTCCCCGCCCGCTTCGTTCAGCTGTACAAGCATGCAGTGGAGACCTCCCACATCGAACGGCAGCACTCCCTGGTGGGCGTCGGGCCTGGCGAGACCCTCTACGTGCAGGACCCCGAAGTCGACAAACACACCGACGTCGAAAAGGGAGGTAACTGAGCAGCGCTGACTGACACTGCACATTGGCCACAAGACAGGCATCGCACCCTACCCTCATGTGTGGAATGATGGATCGAATGTATGTATGTATGTATGCTTATGTCAGGTCTGCTGTCGGATGAGGGCGACGGTTTGGAGCTGGAGCCCCAGTCCCGTGTGGGCAAGAAGCTGTCGGAGCTGACGACGCGGCGTGTCATCATCCTGGTGCTGGTCATGATTCTGGCACTGCAAATGTTCAACACCGAGCAGTGGACCACCACATCCAACTCGGGCGAATATGGACTATACACCCTCACCGAGTGAGCGAAGCAGAGCAGGGGGACAGACAGCACACAGGGCGAGAGGCGGGCGCATGGTCTGTTGTGCTGTGTGTTGTGTTGTGTGTTGTAGGTACTCTCGGAGCGCAGAACTGGATGCAACTTTCAATGCGACCCACCAGGAGGCCTACGACCGATCCGTCATCGCATATGTCGAATACCACAAAAAGGTAATAAGGTGAGAGAGGCACCAACAGGTGCAGTGAGTGCACAGCAGGGGGGTCGCACCGACCAGTTTGTGCGCGTCTGTGCGCCGCACCGCATGCAGAATGGTCTGTTTGGCTTGGCTGATTACCTGTTCTTCGTTGAGGTGGGTGGAGTGCGATGAGTGAGTGGACGTACCCACGGAAATGACATAGACACGCCAGCTCACGTCATGTGTGCCATGTGGGTGCATGTGTGTCAGCTGCCCAGGGAGGTGATATACAATGAGCTGGGAGGATTGGAAGCCCCGAGCGAAATACTGGGACCCGATGCAGTGAAAGACGGTGCGCAAAGCCACACACACACACACACATGCAGTTATCTGTTCTCCTCTCCCACACTGCCCCATCCATCCATCCATCCATCAGGTGTGTCGATCGTGGACGACCTCGACAAGCCCGAGGATCTGCGGTCGCAGGAGCAGGACTTGTACACGGCCAGTGCGTGCTACACCGACATGCAGTCCCCATCGCTGGGAATGCCGGCCGTCCCTGTGGAGGTCTGTCTGTCCAGCACCGCCGTCTTCGACAAGAGAGCACAGTCGCAGCTCTCGGCGGCTCTCAACATGGGCAGAACCATGTTCATTTGCCTGGTGGGGAGGGAGTGGGGGTGGGACATACAAGGGGCAATGACGACACGCACGAACAGCTGCATGTGTGTGTGCTGTGCCGTGCCGTGGCTAGGTCTTGGCATTGAGTGCGATGTTCTTCAGCAAGGATGCCAACGAGCTGGTGCTCAACCCCATCGAGCGCATGATCGGCAAGATGGAGAAGATCCGGGAGAACCCTCTGGTGGCCGCTAAGATGGGCGAAGAGGACTTCAGAGAAGAGGTCAGGCAGAGGCAGGGCAGGGCAGGGCAGGCGGGAAATGAAGAATGGCGCGCGTCCATGCCTACGTGTGTGTGGTCACGCCATACAGGAGGAGGACGACGCTCAGGCGAAAGGCCGCCGTGGCTTCCTGAGTCTCCGCGGTGTGCCCAAGAAGGCGGCATCTGACCCGTACGAGACGGTCATTCTCGAGAAAACCATCATCAAAATCGGAGGTGAGACCACACACGCGGACAGAGAGGGAGATCTTCACCGCAGTACGTCTGTGTGTGTGTGTCTGTGTGCGCACCAGGTTTGTTGGCCCTTGGCTTCGGCGAGGCGGGTGCTGAGATTATTGCCAACAACATGAAGCACTCTGACGGAGGACTCAACGCCATGGTCGACGGACGAAAGGTACTCTCACCATCGCCAGACTCACTCACACACTCATGAGAGCGTGCTCCTTGGTTCCTCGTGTGTGTGGCCAGATCAACGCCATTTTCGGATTCTGCGACATCCGACAGTTCACCGACGCCACAGAGATCCTGCGCGAGAAGGTCATGGTGTTCGTCAACCAGATCGCAGAGATCGTCCACGGCATCGTCGACCAGTTCGCTGGCGCCGCCAACAAGAACATCGGCGACGCATTCCTGCTTGTGTGGAAGTTCCCTGAGAGGGACGTCGGCAGGGGGGAGAAGGAACAGGTGGACGACCCCAATGTCATCTCAAAGGTGGGGTGGTCTCCAGATGAGTACATGACATGGGTGTGTTCGGATCGGGGGGGAGGGGGAGGGAGGGAGATGGATCCCTTCATGTGTGCGGTGCTTCTGATGGTCAGATGGCCGACATGTCAGTCATGGCCTTCCTGAAGATCATCGCGGCGATCAGCAAGTCGTCGGTGCTCGCCGAGGTGCGATTGTCAGAGAGAGGGAGGGAGGGAGGCAATCGCAGCACAATTGTTCATCCCCCCCTCGGCCCTTTTCCCCTCATCTGTGTGTGTGTGATGTGTGTGTCATTCATGTCAGTACCGTGACAACAAGGAGTTGTCTGAGCGCATCCCCAACTACCGCGTCAAGATGGGCTTTGGGCTGCATGTCGGATGGGCCATCGAGGGCGCCATCGGCTCCGAGTTCAAGGTGGATGCGTCGTACCTCTCACCCAATGTCAACATGGCATCACGGTAACAGAAAGCAACCACCACACACACACACACACACACAAGCGCGTCTCTCATTCTCCATTCCTTCCTCTCCTGCAGTCTGGAAGCGGCGACAAAGCAGTACGGTGTGCCCTTGTTGATCAGCGGTGCTCTGCATGACATCCTCACCCCGCAGACCCAGACCTACTGCCGGCAGATCGACCGCGTCACGGTCAAGGGCAGCAAGATTCCCCTCAAGCTCTACACGGTGGACGTCAGCACATCCAGGCTCAAATTGGACCACACTGCCGCCGGTCAGCCTCGGAGCAAGGGCAAGGTGAGGCGGTTGCGGGAGGCGCAGAAGGCCAAAATGTGGTCACACAGGTGAGAGCGGGAGGGACCAGAGAGGCCAGCCAGACGAGCAGGGCTCATTTCACGTGTCCTCCCTTTTGAGTAGGTTTTCCGTGTACACGATGTTTGAGAATGACCCCGACCTCATTGCAATGAGGGAACACCTATCAGAGGTCAGCCGGCACCATACACACACACACACACACACATACATACACACACACACACACACCATGAACAAACAGCCCACCCATGCCTCTCTGTCTCTCTCTGTGTGTGTGTGTGTGTGTGTGTGTGTGTGTCCTCGACACAGCAATTCTTGAACACCTTTCGGCGCGGCTACATCAACTACGAGGCGGGCGAATGGAGAGTCGCAAGAGACCTCTTCACACGAACACAGGTACGACACCAGCCAGCCAACCACACACACGAACGTATTCTCGATAGGTCGATTCTCTGACATCCATCCATTTATCCATTTATCTTCAGTTTATGCTTGGCACGGAGGACGGTCCGTCGGCGACATTGCTGCATTACATGGCTGAGCACCGCTTCCAAGCGCCCGACCACTGGGAGGGATACAGAGAGCTCACTGAGAAGTGATCCATCCATCCATCCGTCTACAGGGCCGACAGACACATCAATCAATCGATGTGTGTACAGTGAGTGGCTTGGCTTGGCGGGGTGGGGCGGGGTTGGGGTTTGGGTCATGTCATGCATGTCTGTGGGATGGATGGATGCGTGGATCAGTCAGTGGCTGGGCAAAGGCTCACCATTGGCGAATCGATCTCCTGGCCATGCCATGCTATCCATGGCTTGGTTCATGTCTGTCTGTCTGTCTGCACACACATGTACATATGTCTACATGAGTCTGTGCTGTCTGTCATTGATTGCATGTGTGGCATGCGTGGGCCCCATTTGCTTCCTTGCTGAGTCGATTAATCGTTGCTGCTGGCTGGGCTGGTTGGTGCCCTGCTCCGTAAGACATGCCGTGTTGCGAGCAGGGACCACTCCATCCCATCCACGTCCTTCCTTGTCTGTGGTTGGCTAATGTAGTGCCTCACCTCACCTACAGGTTTGTCGGTCTGCTTTGCGTGTGGCTGCTCTTGAATCGTTCAATTCATTCATCAATCACTGGTTGGTACATAGCCGTGAGCGCGTGCGCGTGCATGTGTGTGCAGTGGGTGTGGGTGTAGGTGTGGGTGTATGAGTGACTGGGTGAGTCGGAGAAAGGCGCATGTATAGTGTCCGTGTGTGTGTGTGGTGCATGGCATGGAGGCCAGGCAGGTCGACGCCTGGCTCGAGTTCTGTTTCCCACACGCACAATGTTCCATCGCCATCCCATCCAACATCCGATGGAACATTGTGCGTGTGGGAAACACTGCCTGCAAATCAAGTTCATTCACCTGAGTTCAGGCATCGCCAACCGACCATAGCTATACGGCACTCGCACCACGTGCGCCTGCAGCACATCTCTTAGGTGCACATCTCTGTACAACCGGGTTGGTCCACATACATGTCCAGTGCAGTGCACGGATGTGGACCAGCTCGGTTGTACAGGTGTGGCTCAAGAAGAGAAGCAAGCACGGCGCCCGCACAGATACACATCGCTCGCTCCAGCAACCTGTCTCGCCTGCCTCAGCCAACGCATAAACACACGACACACACAGTGCAAAGGGTGGCTGCGCTCATCACAACAAAAAGGAGCCATCACTTAGAGAGGCTCACACAATCCAGCCCATCCATCCATCATACACAATCTCGCTATCGACACACACTACAGAGAGAAAGCCGCCGCCCTCCCCTCAGCACCATCAGAAGTCAGTGCACCTGCCCTTGTGCGACCAGTCGCCATGAGTGGTGGGCTCCTGTCCCTTGTAGCGGAACCCATACTCGCCCATCTCGCTGCCCTCCTCCTCACCCTCACCCTCACTCCCCTCCTTGAACCGCTCCTCCGTCTTGGCCTCGGCAGGGAACACCACCGACCTACTCGCCTCCTCTCCGTCAGCACCTTCAGCCGCCTCTGCACCTGCCCCTGCCGCATCGGCCTTAAGTTTGTCTTCATCCTTCTCGCGCATGTCCTCGTTGGGCGTTGCGTGGCTGGCGGGGTCGACTGAGGGGGACGGCATGCTGTCGCCTGGGGCAGAGTCAGCCGGCGGCCCTGGGTCTGCGCCTCCGAGAGATGCGAAACGCCGGTAGACAGCAGTGACAGGAGGGAGGAGGGATGCGCCGCGCTGCACGAGGGGAGTTGATGACCGCACCGCAGCCATGGCGAACGGTCCGGCTGCCCTGGCTATCGTGTGGAGATGAAGGGCCATTTCCACTTTTTCCTCGCACCTCGCAGATTGTTTCACAGGCCCTAAACCCTAACCGACACCAACCGACAGATGCTCTTACAAATACACGTTGTACAAGCCACTGCAGCTGATCTGTCCATCTATCGCTTCTTGACGCACATGGTTCCGCCAGACAATACGGTCAGCACACCACAGGAACATGCCCAAAGGCCACGGCGCCATTGAGCATCTGCCTGTGCGTGCTGGCCTTCATCTGGAGGGAACCATGGCAGATAGGCTGTCAGGGAGCATCACGTCATCACGTAGCCCGTAGATTACACGCAAAAACATATACACGGAGCATCGCCTGCATCGTGCGATCGATGTCAGTCTTCGTCTTCGCCCTTCCTGTCGATAGCACCCGCACGCATCGCATCGATGTGAGCTGCAAGAACACATGCGCACTCACGCACGACTGTATCCGCCGTAAGAGCAGACAGACGAGTGTCTGTCTGCATTTGCTGGCTGACTGACCCTTGTATTGTTCCTCGTCGATAAGCAGCCGCAGCTCACGAAGCGTGTAGCGCTCGGCAGCAAACCTGAGGGAGGAATCATAGACATGGCCAAGCAGGAGCGCGTAAGAGATCTCACACGTGTGTGTATGTGATGTGACACATACGAGAATTTCTTGCCGGTGACCATCTCGATGTCTATCTTTGCAGGAGCGTTGTAGCTGCACACACACACACAGTCAGTCAGTCAGTCAGACAGACCTGAGCCCATCGCCTCCCCGTGTGCATCTCATCTCATCTCTGCCCTCCCTCCTCCCTTCCTGCAAGAGATCCTGTCTGCCTGGCTGGCTCACTGCCTGACCCGAGCAGCTCATAGCTGGTCTCCAGTTTGGGGTAGGTTTTCCTGGTGTCTGGGTGCGTCATGCGGTGGACCAGCCACCTGCAGCTGTCGGTGTTGGGCTGCCCGGGGCGGTAGGCCACATGCACCCTCTTGATGTACGCCAGGAAGTCCAGACGAGGAAAGAGGTTATACTTCATTTCTTACTGCGGCGATCAGCCTGGCGGCCTCCTCAGCACCTCTGGCCGCCTCATTTGCTGTCAGAATGGCTCCTTTTCCCCTTCGGAGCTATCTGCGAGCTATAGCTCGCAACGCAGATAGCTTTTTCGGCATCTACGGTCCTATCAAGGCAGCATTATAGGTCGTTGGTGCACTGCTGTGAACGTTCTGGAGAGATCGGCAGCGATATTCGATGTCCCGGCGCTTCTTCCTGAGGAGCGGCTACGTGGCGCTGTCGGCCTTACCCGTGGGTGTGCTGATCAACGACAGAGTATGCTCCATCGCACGGGTCAGCGGTGAATCTTGCGGCAAGCCATTCGAAGGCATATCACATGCTGTGCTGCAATGTGTGTGCTTCCTTCCTGCAGGTGGAAGGTGACAGCATGCAGCCGACTCTGAACCCCATCGGTCCCCCTCCCCCTCACGCCAGCACTCCCCCCGCCCCCCGCCCCCTCCCCTTCATCTCGCGAGGCCTCCACAGGGACGTCACTCACGCAGAGGCGGAGCCACAGCAAGACGGACCACTTCCAGACGCCTCACAGGCCGCCCCTGTGCGTGAGTACGTGTTTGTGGTCAAGAATGTCGACTTTCGCAAGGGTGATGTGGTCGTCATGCGGGACCCCGAGGTGGGCGGTGACCCCCGATGGTCGCTGCGGAGCCGGCGGGTGATGAAGCGGATAGTGGGGATGCAGAATGATACGGTGTGCGTGCGGAAGGACGAGAGGGAGGAGTTCCCGCCAATCGTCATCGTGCCCACGGGCAAATGCTGGTGGGTGAGATAGATGGATGGATGGATGGATGGATGGACGGCATGTATGTGGCATCACATACATGTGAGTACCTTGTACACTGCGTGTGTGTGCTGCTGCAGGGTGCAGGGCGACAACCCGGCGCACTCAGTCGACAGCCGACATTATGGAGCGGTGCGTTTGACTAAGAGCAGGGAGGGAGGGATAGAAGCGAATTGTCAGCTGGTCTTATGCTGTCTGTCTGTGTGAAGGTGCCCCTGGGTCTGGTGGAGGCGCTGGTGTTGGCTGTAGTGTGGCCCCCATCCCGGTGGCGGCAAGTCGATCACGGCACGCCACCCTCATTGACCACACCCACACAGCCTATCGGGGCGTGAACCGATTTGGTTTGTTTTCCCCCTTGTCAGTCATGTCGACACCTGTACAGTACAGTACGTTGTGTTTGCGAGAGAGCGGTCTGTGAGATGGATGAGCGGGACGTGCATGAGAGAGTGATGGATGCGCCACATTGTTCCCTCTACTGATTGGCTCGAGTCGTCTTGACACAGAGTGTCCTCCTTCACACACACACACACACACACATACAAAAAAAAAACAGTCGTCACCTTGCTCAAGTGACCCGTCCAGAGGGCCTTCAGAAAAGGAGGCCCTCTGCCAGCTTTGGTACAAGGCACACCACACATCCCGATTCACCATGCAGTGGACGGGGTGCTGCATCGGCCGACATTCACTGCAGCACCGAAACGGCTGAGGCCCCAGCGGTGTGCCGCTGCTGCCTATGACGTCTCGGGGCTGCACCAAATAGGCAAGAGGCATCCATCACCCAACAATCCCATCAGCCGATGCTCAACCGACTACAAGACATCCATGCAGTACGTACGCACAGGACATCCATCTGGGATGTCAAAGCACAGCGAATACCCTGACAGGGAAGGTGCCCATTCCAGCGATCTTTGGGGGCACGGCGAAGAAGCGGAAGGGGGCTGGTGGGAGGGCGTGGAGGTTAGTCATGTGCTCGATGATCAGGATGCCGTCCTTGAGCAAGCGGGAATGAACAGGGCGGTGCCCGCCTGCCGTGTCGTCGATGTTGTAACTAACAAACAGACACACAGACAGAGGGAGGGACACATCAGAGTGAGCAATGGGGAATGAGTGCACCCACAGCTGTATCCGCTTTCCTGCACCCGCCCACCCCACTCACCTGTCGATGCCGACGAGGGCGACCTGCTGCTCCGCCAGCCACTGGGCAGCATCCTCCGTCAGAAACGGATGCCGCCCCGACCAATACTCGTCTTTTCCCCAACAGAGACTCCAGCTCGTCCTCACGAGCACCGCCAGCCCTTTGACGTCCGTCTTGCCGTTCAGCTCCTTTTGGAAGAAGCCCTTCGTGATGGCATGTTGATTTGATTGGCCGTTCAGCCAGCTGTCAGCGTCGAGGCAAACTGCCGGTAGGTTGGCCAGTTTGGCGAGGGGGATGGCCGAGAGGTCGGGGGCGTCGGCAAATCGATGGAAGGGCGTGTCGAGATAAGTGCCGGTGTTGGAGCACTGCATGGCCGGCGCAAGGCGGAACACACGTCCAAGAAACAATGTGACATGAGATGGAGTGCTGTCGTTACGTACCAGCTGTATTGTGGTGATTGAGAACTCTGTGCCTTCCGCGTAGTGCTGCCTCGAGGCCTCCCTGCTCAGCACGTCCTGCATGAGCCACACACCGCGTACTGACACGCTGCAGAGGTTCCATCCATCCTCCATTCTGTGTACCTCAATTGGTGTACCTGAATCTTGGGCGCAGGCAACCCTTTATACGTGACCATCCCATCCTCTATCGTGTGCGACAAATCCACGAGCGCCATCCCGCGCGAGGCCGCAGCAGCAGCACAGCGGTTTAGGCGCCGACGATGCGAGCTTGGTATCGTTTACACGGAAGCATGGGCGACCAGCACGTCTGATCTAGAGTCGGTATGGATTTGCACACGCAAAGACACAAGCGATCGCAGAAACACATGCGCACCATACGGCATGCGAGCTTGGAAGAGGAAAGGCTCTCGTTCCTCCCGGCTCCCGGCTCCGTTCAGCTGCAGGCAACGGCACCAAGGAGACCATCGATGAGATCTGTCCTTGTGCCGTTCCTCTGGCCTGCCGTGTCACTGGCTGCACGCACCGCGTTCATCAGCGGTGTGGTGAGCATGGCCGTCCCGCCGGCAGCCAGCCTGCCGCTCAATGATCTGCAGTGGACGCTAACGAGGTACAGATCAGCGGACGGAAGGAAGATGCCGTGTGATTGTCTCTCGTGCTGTGTGTGCACAGTGACGGCACAGCTCGGCAAGGCGGCAGGTCGATGGGCGAGGTCACGAACACAGCCACCGGTGTGCGGATCTCAGGCAGCCTGGAGGCCCTCCCGTCCGACACACTTGGCCCTGTCGCCTTCGTCATTGGTCGTGCGACGCTGCCTGAGGGCTTCCTTGCCAACTGTGTGCAGCTGACTGTGACCGTGACGGACAAGACGGCTGGGCAGTTCCTGCTTTACCTGTACCCCGAGCAGCTGCGCGGGCAGAGCAACTACATTGCCAAGTTCATGACGCCCGGAGAGGCGAAGGACACGGTGGCTTCTGTGAGGTTGGATGCCTTTGAGGGTCAGAGGAGGGGCAAACCCGAGGCGCTGCCAGCTCTCGAGAGCGTCAAGGGCAGCATTGAGGGAATTGGTGAGTCGACACACACAGGGGTCTCAGCACCGTGTGTATCCATTGGTGTGTGTTTGTTGCTCTTGTGTGTGTTGGTGTTGTCTTGCCTGAAGGGATCGGCATTACCCGCAGTGTGCAGCCTGCCGACCTGAAAGCCATTGTGCCCCTGCAGTTTGCCATTGAGGTGTCGGATCTCTCATGTGGCGGCAACTGATGGATGGATGGACGTGTGTGTCTGTGTCTGTGTGTGTGTCTGTGTGTGTATACGGCTGGGCAGCTGAGACGATTTATAATGGGGTGGACAGACAGGTGGGTGTACAGCGTGATGTGCAGCTGGCTGTTCTGACTCGACTCGTGCGTGTGATGTCAAAGGAGAGACGCCTTGTGTCTGGTATGGCTGGCTGGCTGGCTGGCTTGTTCTCTCTATCTGCCTTGGCCTTGGTGGTTTGCTGCGCAGTGGGCACTCGCGCACATGATGTTTGATTAGAACATCAGCTGCGTTGGTGCGCTCCGCACATCAGACCTCCCAGCGCCAAACGGAAGGAGAACACCTGCATGCGACGGCCGGCATCAAAGAGGGAGATCGAGATGAGACGTGATTTGTTCCAAAGATATGACAGTTCGCTGACACACGTATGGGCCAAAAAACCGCTTTGCGTACTAACGTGACTTTCCCCCTGTCGTGTTTGCGGGTTAACATTGGCGGGTCTCTGTCTCTCTCTCTCTCTCTCCATGCGCACGACAGACGGCAACCCCCCCACACTCATCAATTGCGAGTCTCCGAGTGGGCTATGTAGGCGTGCATAGTTTGGCGACACCTGCACGCAACCACATGCACGGCACCCATGGCATGGCCCTGGTGGGCCAAGGTTCATTAACCTGCCTTTCGACACACCTCTGTGGTCCCAGCACGTGTGAGCAGCCTGCAACGAGACACACCCACGGAGACACAGACAGACATGGACTGCCATGGCTTCATAAAAGTTGAGTCATCCTGACCATTGAATGAGACTATCAGGTCGCCGTCTTCATACCTCTCATGTCCTACACACACATCCACACACACACACAGAGTGGAGGGAGCATCACTTTCGCCCTTCCTCGTCCCGCTCGCTCACTCAGCCAGTAGGACCTCCCAGCAATCTCCGCCGGATATGCGTTGAACCACCGCTGCGGCAGCACCCTCACGTGGCCCTCATACCCATCAGACAACGGCGGCAACGCTGCCGGCAATTCTTGCCGCACCCCCGCCTCGCCGCTGCACCCATTGAGGAGGTATGTGTGGATGAGCCACTCGGCCAGCCCGGCCAAGACGGTGGGTATGAGGGATAGGTAGAGGATGGGGGACTGCTCGTGCCACTCCTGGTGCTGGAAGGAGTAGGGAGGGGGGGCCTGCATGAGGGCGATGCAGCGGTCGATGAAGGCACGGCCCCACTCACTCCCACGCACAAAAAACACCTGATGCGATTGATGCAAGGAACGAAGAAAAACATAGAGGGGTGGCTGGGCTGGGCGGCAGTGCAGTGATGGCTCTTCCTTCCTTTGCCTGCGTACTTACGGCGCTGTTGAGCATGTGGGCATCTTCAGAGATGAGGCAGTCGGCATCGGCACCCTCCTCGCCGCTGGCTCCATCAAGTATGGCCGAGAGCGGCAGTGTGTTGTTCATGAAGAACGCGTCGCAGTCCATCCACATGACCCACTCATCGGGGTGGCCCGCCAGCGCCTCACGGACGGCATACAGCTTGTTGAGCCACGCGTGCTGGCCCCTGCACACACATACACACATATGCATGTGAGACACAAGGCGTGTGTGGCTGTCTTAAGGCCGGGAAGAGGCGTCTCGTCTTAGCCAGTGACTGACTTGTGTATTGGGGTCTCATGGTGGACCAGCAGGTACCCCCACCTGCGCACGTACTTGTCCTTGTTGGCTCGCGAGAGATCGGCGAGCGTCGGCCCATCTGTACCTGTGGCATTGGGGTAGACGCAGTAGCTCACGATGACCACCGATGGGCCCTCACCCCTTCCCTCGCCCTCGTGTCCCTCCGGTGTGCTGTTGCGTGGGGGCAGGGAGGGCTGCTGGGATGAAAGGGTTTGGCGCCTGACGATGGCCACCCTTCTCGCCATGGCCAGCACATCCAGAAAGGGCCAGCGCGAGGACCCATAGAATGGCGCATCTGCAGACAGATACGTACGTACGTACGGTGGAAGGGAAGGAACATCCAGGTGAGGTGCCCCTCCCCTCCGTGAGTCTGTCTGGTGTGTGTCTCGGTGCGGTGCAAGTGGTCTTCCGTCCGTACAGTCATGAAAAGGCACCAGCAGGAACAGCTTCGCAATGTGCAATAGCCGCAAGCTCCGATCCATACATCCCTAGCATGACACAAAAGACAGACAGACGAAGCAAGAATATGTATTCATATCGCCTTCCCTCTCTCTCTCCACTCCATCGCCCTCCCCCGTTGCCCTGCCCACCGCCACCCACCCACCCACCCACCCGTATGATGCAGAATGTGGCCAGGAGCTGCAGTGCGCTGGAGATGCCGAGAGGGCACTGCAGGGCGATGGCGGGCTCCGACACACCGAAGGGCAGCATCAGCTTCTCCAACGCCTGGACCACCATCCACAGGCCATCCACAGCGCCGCACTGAACGCATCCACAGGGGAGGGCAACCAACACAAACAAAACAGACAGACAGACAGAAAAGGCAGTAGGCAGTCCACTCGGCTGCACGAAGAAATGGACCAAGGACGGCCGCCTGTGCGTAGCGTACCTTGAGGAGAGGAGTGGGCCCTTCTGCCGGTGGAACGAGCACTGCGTCGAGGTCATGCATGGGGTGGTGCATCACCCCAATCACAGTCGTGTCATTGGCAGCTACATCGAGCAGACCACGGAGCTCATCCCACCAAGGACCCGCACAATCTGCAGCCAGCACAGGACAACACAGCTATGTGGCGCCTGCAGCAGGGTCACGTGTGTTCTTGCCCTACCCAGCTCTGCGATGGACGCACGGACGAAAGGATGCTCCATGATAAGGCCGCCCTCATCCAAAGGCAGCACGGACGTCAGGAAGTTAGAAGGGATTGAAGGAGGGTTGGGAGTGGCCGCGCTGTGGCATTCCCGTCCATCTGGGTTGGCGGCATCGCACTCCTGCGGGAGATCTGCATAGATCTCTCCACTGGTCAGGTTGGCGGTGGCCAGGAGGCCGGCGCACGCGCAAACCATCCACCGAAACAGAGTCGTTTCTCGCAACGTGCTCATTCCTGCCAGGGGTCTCAAACCCTGCTCCTGTCGGAAACCCTGCCAGTGTGTCGAAATCCCTTGGCAAGGATGGCAGCTGCTGAACAGCCGTCATCTGCCGCCGACGGCCTCAACGGTCCCTCGCGGCTCCCCGCGGCGTGGGTGGCACGCCTCACCAGCATCGGCATCACCCAGGAAGAGTACCTCAGCAGGGACCAGAAGCAGCGCATGGACATCTGTTGCCTTCTCGCGGACATCCCTGGCGCCAAGAGCAAGACCAGCGAGGAGAACAAGGAGATCACCTCAGACGACGCCACTCCCGCCGCCAACAGTGCCAAGCCGCCGGCAGAGCTCAAGAACGTCGGCCTGCAGGCCTCCCCCGAGGTGGGCGAGGCCGCCATCCAGACTGACATATCGCACCCTTCGCCCGCACCCACCCCCAGGCTCCCCACCCTCGCAGCACCATCGCGCGCCGACGACCGCGAGTCAGCTTCAGCAGCAGCCGCTGCTGCTGCTCCGATGGACACCGATATGGGGGACAGGCGCAAGGAGAGGGAGAGGGAGGTGGTGCGGAAGAAGGACAAGGACAGCTCAGTGATGGACGAGGACAAGTCAGCTGCAGCGTCAGACAGGAAGCGGCCGTCGAGTGCCGTGGGCGAGAGTGACAGCGGCAAGGGGAGTGAGGACAAGAGGAGCAAGAAGCGGAAGAAGGGCAGGGACAGGAGCCAGGGGGCGGCAGCGGCAGGTGCCGCCGAGGGGTCGCCTGCGCTCTCCAGCAGAGACGAGCCGGAGGTGGCCACACCGAGGGCAAACAACAAGCTGCTCAGGGTGAGTTAGTGACAAACAACACATACACACTCTCTGGATGGATGGATGGATGGATGAACGGACGGGTGGCATGCGACACTGTCTGCTCGTGTATGTGTGTGTGTGTGTGTGTGTGCGTGTTTAGGTGTGGAAGAGGAAGCCCGAGGAGGTCATGAAGGGCGTGGGTGACGATGATCTGAGGAACATCGCCGAGTTGATGATCCAGGAGAAGACCGCTGAGGACTCGGCGGAGTTCCAAAACTGGAACATCAGCTGGAGCTGGGCCGACAAAGACAAGAAGAAAGTCGGGTGAGTGACGTCGCCAAAGGACAAACAGACAGACAGACAGACAGGAGGCAGGGAGGGGAGGGGAGGGAGAAGCCATCCACCGATCGTTTCTCCCTGCCTCCCTCCCTGCCTGTGTTGCCTGCCGTCAGTCTGTTTAAGGCGGGGCCGGGCCCGCCTTATGAGGACTTCTACACCGAGCCGAAGAAGTCCCTCACATACAACAAACTCCAGGAGGTGAGCGACAAGAATGAATGCCCCCTAAGCCTCGCGCACCCACCCAACCCCACCCATCCGTCCCCATCTTCTTGTCTGCCTGCAGGTGCTCACCAAGGCGCTCAAGGCCCGCAACGCCAAGCGCAGGATGGCGCAGAAGGGGGACGCTCCCGCGCTGCCCTCGCCAGTGGAGCCGCTCAGCCCCGCTCGCCTCGACGCGTTGGCCCGAGCGCTGCTGCTGCACGTCAAGCGCAAGACGACTCGACGCGCGCTGGGTCTGCCGTGGGCGGCGTCGCTGTGCATCACTTGGCTGACGCAGCAGCACCACTACAAGGTGCAAATCTCCTACTCGATGCTGCGGACGGCCCAGCGGACGCTCACCTTCAGCGACGGGCAGGAGAAGGAGTGGTGCGACAAGAAGGTCGAGACCTTCGCACCTAAAGCCAACAACTATGAGGCGCTGTGGGAGGTGAGATGGATGGATGGCACCGCACCCAGAGATGGACACACGACACACACACGTCATGCGTTGGTTGTGTTGTCTTTCTTGTGTCTGTGTGTGCTGGGTGGGGTGGTGGGTTGTCAGGCGTGTCGCCTGGCGATAGGGAAGCGCAACGATTTCTCTCGTGATTTGGGGTTGAAGGCCTACATCAACCCCGCCATCATCGACGACGTCAAGGACGGCAACTGCTCCATCGCACCATTCCCAGCTGACACACACACGGGGCATGAGTGAGTGAGTGGGTGGGTGGGGTCTACGGGGGTGTGCACGTGACGTGATTGGTTAACCAAGTGGAGGGAGGGAAGGGGGCTGGGCTGCCAGGACGCTGGCAGCTCCTCCGGGCTTCGCGCGTGACTTTTTTTCCTTATCGGTTGGATAGGATGACTGGCTAAGGGCAAGTGGACGGGTGGACGGGTGGGTGAATTCATGAGCGGCCTGTTGAGAGGGCTCCTGCATGCCATGTGTCTGGATGTATGGTCGGTTGCCGCGTGTGTGGGTTTCATCTTACTTAATTTGCGGCGTCCTCGTTACTTTTACACGGTGGGTGAGGGCTGGCGTGTCTGTCTGTCGAGTGGGCAGCCTCCTCGTAATTAGTTTCCATCCCGCCTTTCCTGCCTTCGGCCAGTCGACGAATGTTCCATAATTCCACCACACACCAAGGGCCCAATGTCGCTGCTGCCTCCATGCCTGCCTACCTGTCTGTCTGTCTGTCTGTCTGTGTGGATGTGTGGATGTGTGGATGGGCGTTCTGTAACCTCCCTACCTACTTTCCACCTTAACACTTTTTTGGTCGGCTGATTCCTTCGCGCGGGGTGTGCGTGTCCCGTCCATCCATCCATCCATCAGAGGCTGCTCCACGCTGCTGCGAGTGAGTGGGTGGGATTCATTCATATGTAGTGCGCCTACGCGTGTGGGACATAACCAGAGAATGGGCTGAGTGCAATGCATGGCAGGTGGTCTCCTCTCGCACGGTGACGGACGGGATGGTGCGTCGAGTGCCAAGTCTTTCAGTAGCTGCGTTGGGTTCGAACTCGGGACAATTCGGATCACGACACGAACTCCTCCGCCACTCAGATAACCGGTCTGAACCGTAAGGTACGCCCTTCACCGCACTGATCCTGCTCAAACGTCAGACCTCCTCACATTTGCACCTTCTGGCTCTCACCCAGTTGGCACATGCAAGTGGCTGACCTACCCTCGAAACCCCTTCCGTACCATCCTCAAACACTCAACTCGGCCCCGACCCTGTGGCGGTATTGACTCGAGTGGCGCTTTCAGTAGCTGCGTTGGGTTCGAACTCGGGACAATTCGGATCACGAGACGAACTCCTCCGCCACTCAGATAACCGGTCTGAGCCGTAAGATGCGCCCTTTACCGCACTGACCCTGCTCAAACGTCAGGCCTCCTCACATTTTTGGCGCATCAGCCCGTCCGACGCACTGCGGGTTGAGATGCCTGCCTGCCACACGGCACAGACAGCGATGGATGGATAGATGGCTTCACTAAAAGAAGTTTCTTCGGAGAGATGGCTGGCTGTCGGTTAGCGTTAACAATATTGTGTCCTGTCATCAGCTCTAAATTGTCGCTGGAAATGCGTCCACACCCGACTGCATGAGTCGCCACCAAATCTAGGTATCGATCGTGCGCCGCGCCCAAGCAGCATCACATCAAACACAACAGACACTCACTAAGGGCACCTCACCTACTGTACCCATCCGTCCCACGCCCCCCAGCTAGGCATATCTACACACCTACTGCAGACCCGTCGACCCATCAGCAGCTTCTCTCCTTCTCCCTCAGCGTGGCGCCTTCCTTGCCCCCCCTCCCAGGTAGTGATGATGATGTGCCAGCGCCCTCCGTCCCGCCCTGCTGGCCGGCGGCGTCTGTATCATTGGTGGTGTCTACAGATGCTGTGAGGAGTGGGAATGGCGGCTGCGGCAGCTGCATCGGCGCTGCCTTGTAGTTTGACAGAGTCGGGTACCTGCACGGTGGATGCACACATTGACACCACAACACACCGCACCATCCCCTCCCATCCTGTGTTTCGTCCATCCTTCCTCCCTCCTCACTCACCCATACAGCGGGCTGCCCCGTTCGCTGTTGACGATGTCCCCAGTAGCTATACTGCCATTGTTGTCATGGCTCCCACCACCCTCCCCACTCGTCCCACTGGCGGCCCCCTCACGGATGGGCCGCCACACGGTGGCCGGCTTGTTGGTGTTGGCCTTGATATTGGCACGCATGGCCTTGAGTGTCTCGGATGGCGTGATGATGGCTGGCCGGGGGGGCGGGTGCGAATGATGGTGGGAGTGCTCCAGGGCTAGGTGGTGGGGGAAGGGGTGGTTCTTCATCGGAGCGTCATACTGGATGGACACAGAGGCGAACGAAATGAAATATTTATGTGGTTTGTGTGTGCGTATGGCATGAGGGGGCTGACCATGTGTAGAGCCTGCCGCCAGAACGACAGCTGGTCGTTAAACTGCCTGAAGACACACACACACGAGGTCATGCCATGAGGCACATCGTGCACCCTGCATGCAGGCATCGCATCGATGGCTGCATCGCATCGCTGGCTGCATGGCCGGGCTGGCCAATCAAGCGCTCACTTGTTGGACACACGTGCGGCTGCGTCAGGTGTTTTGGGGTCGAATGGGCCACGGCGATGCCTGAGAAACAAACCAACGACAACAAACAAAGGGCGCATTGACACTCCATCCATAACGTGATGTGTGTCAGGCGCGTACTTGGGCACCAGCCGCACGTAGTTGCGATAACCCTCGGTCTTCTTGACTGCACACCACACAGCCAAACACAACACAACAGCACAACCACCATTGAGCCCACTAGTGGTGACCCGACCATCTCCCCTCTCTCCCCACCCCACCACACTCACCCAGAACTACTTGAAACGTCCTCTTCTTCGCCCTATTCTGCCACACGTCGGCATCACCCGCACCCCCAACACCGCTGCTAATGGCACCCCCACCCCCACCTCCGCCCATGCTCCCACTCGCCACGCCAGCCGCACTCGACACCGACGGCGAGCCCGTGACGCTCTCAGTCCCCTCCTTGAAATACGACGACCCATACGGCACGCGGCCGCCCTCCCTGCGGCCAACCACAGGCGACAGCGCCCCCTCCTCTGCATCGAGGATGGGCGGCCGCCTCGGTGGAGGGCTGGGGATGACGTCCTCAAAGCCTGGTGGTGGCCCGATGGACAGCCACGACATGTCGGACGAGGCGCGGCCCAGCTGCTTCTTGCGGTACTGGGGGGAAGGGGAGGCCAGGGAGCTCTGCCAGGTGTCGCTGAGGAGGTAGGGGCCTTGCTCTTGGTCCTCCCCTGGTTGCTGCTGATACTGCTGCTGCTGCTGCTGTCTGTCGCCGTCCTCCGCCGTGTTGGTCTCTTCTGTGTTGGGAGGGGAGGCCTTGGGTGACTGCTGCTGGTCGCTGTTCTCGTCGTCTGTGCCGAACCGAGGCGTCTTCTCTTGCTCCTCCGTCACGACGCTCTCCCTCTCCTCGTCGCCCTCCTCGATGCCCTCGGGGATGCTCTTGAAGGGCGGCATATGCACACTCACCGGCAGACACACCGCTGATGCGGGGACGGGCACCATCGGCACGCACGGCAGGTGGGCGGCGCCCTCCTTGGTGTCGTCTTTGACCTTGGCATTCTTGTTGGGCGAGGGCTCGAGTGGGCGTGACGGCGACTTGGTGACGGGTGTGGGCGGGTGGCTCTGCTCGGGGCTGTTGTGCTCGGCCGAACCTGGGAAGGGCGAGATGGTCTTGTCCGACACCTTGGCCTCCACTGCTGGCTTCTTGGCCAGCACCACCGGAGCCGCCTCGCCTGTCTCCTCATTCGTGACGGTCTCGCCTCCCTCGTCAGCTGCCGGCGTCGGCTTCTCGGCCGGCTTCTCGTCGTCCTTTTCTTCTTCCCAGTCCCCGTCCGTCTGCACGGCGATCGTCCGCACCCGCCACACGCGCACCCCCAGGCTGCTCTCGCGGTGGACAGGCTGGGGCGCACGCATCGGGGGCTCCTGGGAGAAGTGGCGGCGGGATGCGCCGATCGCTGCCCACATCATCATTGGGCTGCGGCCTGGGTACATGGTGGAAGGGGTGAGCTGGCCGAATTGACGGGGCGGCATGCACGGCAGAGGAGGGGGCTGGTATGGCTGGTATGGCTGGTGTGGGTGCATGAAGGGGCGTGGCTGCATCATGGACGGCTGCACATATGGGGGGTAGAGGGGTGGCGGTGGGGGTGGGCATGTGGGTGGCGGTGGGGGCTGCATGAGCATCCGCAGCAGCTGCATGCCATGCCGCTCGCGCCGCTCCGCCTCCCTCTGCTGCAGCCTGTCCATCCGGATGCAGTGCAGCTTGGCCTGCTCCGCCACGCGACTGAGCCACTTCATGCGGCTGTCCACGCTCATCGCCTCCCACCTGGCACGCCTGGCGTGCCTGTCGTCCTCTCCATCCTCCTTCTCATGGTCTGACGCAGGTCGACGCGGCGGCCGCCTCGCGACCCACACGGGTCTCCTGCGCCGCTGCCATTGGGATGTGACGCGGATGGCAGGCTTCTTCTTGCGCACCCTCTTCTTGGGCTGCCCGCTCCTGCGACGCTTGATGGCCAGTACGAGGGTGCGCTTGATGGCAGTGTGCCACTCGCGCCCGTCTGGCCGCTGCACGATGCCCTTGATCATGGCGCGCATGAATGTGGCGAGGGGGTAGTGCGAGCGGGGGGGCGGAACGATGAGGCAGTGCTTGGGTGGCGGGGTGGGGGTGGGGGGAGGGAGGAGCAGGGCATGCCCCTTGATGCAATCGAACCAGAGTGGGAGAAACGACGACAGAGTCGAGGCCTCCTGCACCATACACACACACACACACACACACGTGAGAATGCATTGCATTGATCTGAACGCCTTCTAAGTGTCAGCCCTCACCATGCCCTTGATGGCAGAGATGAGAGTCGCCATCACATCGGCTGGCGAGTCAACCACACCCACCAGCGGCCCCTGACACAACAGCTGGTTGAGCAGTAGCTCCAGGAAACGAACCACGCTAACACGGCCTGACGATACCGCAAAGGACAGAGAAATACCGCCACAAATGAATGCAGCGGGCACATACAAGCAGTGTGCGCATGTGTGTAGCTGACCTTGTGGACTTCGGCACTGACGTAGGATCACTCTGGCGATGCAGTCCGATGAGCATGGCCGCCCCATCGCCTCTAGAATCTCCAGCGAGAGATCCCGCATGTCACTTCCACTCATGATCTTCGGATGTTTGTGTTTGATTCGGAGCCGATGCCTCCTGCACAGCCGAATGCTACGGACATCTCATCGTAGCCAAGCGCCAAAAGTCGACTTTCGCGCTTCGCGCCTTCGCGAAACGCATCGCAGCATTTGCGAGCTTGAGGCCGACCAGGAGGCACCACTGCGACCAGCAGTTCCCCTCCACGCAGAGCTTTCTCCATCTCGTCATGTGTGCTTCTTCCTCGCCTGAACTCACTTGGCTGAAGGTCTTCTGCTTTGGGTTCTTTCTGGTGCTCCGTGGGGCTGCCGGGCAGTCCGTGGCGTCGCCAAGCTGTCCATGCCTCGACCAACCCCTTGTGGCGGCGGCACTCGCCCCTTTCTCCAAGGACGGCGGCTACGAATATCAGACGTACAGGTGCGCCGGCCACTGCAATGGGGCCCACTCGTTGTGATGGCACGGCATTGTGAAGGACGTCTGTTTGTGTCCTTCAGGTACCCAGGTGACTACGGCGTCAGCTGTGCGACGCACGACAGGCTTCTTCCGCCCTTCTGTGCGAATGCCGAGGGCGCAGTCCGCAGCGATGCGCCCACTTGGTGCCATGACGAGTGGTGCTGGATTGATGACAACGACTGCACTCTGCCGCTCAAGTATCGGTCGGCCTACTTCCCGTCCTCCGGCCTCCACTTCTCCTATCAGACTTGCGGCAGCACCAATGGCTCGTGGCAAAGGTGGTTCAATGAAAGTGCGGCTGATTTGCGGCCAATCGATGAGTTGGCTACAGTTGTGGAAAACTATATCTTCTCAATCCGAAACACAATCGAGGGCACTCTTGCGGACATTGACGGAGGCGGTGTGTGCTCCGTGACCTCATGCAGCTGCCCTACTTGCAGCCAAATCATGGGCTCAGCTTGGGGCAGTCAGAGTCTCGACCTCACGGCGACTGTTTTCAAAGACGGCAGCGGAAGCGCTGTCTCACAGCAGTCACGTTGCATGAGCAACGTCGCCTCAAGCGTCTTTCTACGCATCGCTGGAAGTGAATACGATTCTACCTCTCGTCTTGGGTATCTTTATGGCGGCTTCCAGACGGACGGCGCCTACGTTCAGTGGCCGAGAATGGACTGCTCTGAACTGACCTTTGATCCACGATATCGCCCATGGTATGCTTCGGCATCGACGGGTCCAAAAAATGTGGTAATCGTGGTCGACCGAAGTGGATCGATGTCACAGCAAAACCGGATGTGGCTCGCACGCCTTGCAGTGAAGAGCGTTATCGACACGCTGACCTGGAAAGACAACGCAGCCCTCATTGCTTTCAATGACCGTGTCGGGGGGTTCACAAGTGCCGGGAACGGCTTGATACCAATGACGGGCGACAACAAAGCGAGCATGAAGAGTTACGCTGATGGGCTCGTTGCGATCGGAGGCACGGACTTTCGACTGCCGCTGGACAGGGCAATGCAGATCTTGTCCACGGCCGGCACAGAGGGGGGATGCATTAATGCGGTGCTCTTCATGACCGACGGTGAAGCGCCCTTCAGCGATGCAGACTTCAGTGATATCAAACAGCGAGCTTCTGCTAAGGGTGCTGCCATTTTCAGCTATGCATTCGGCTCTGGGGCAGCCAGTTATGTGCCTCGGAGACTTGCTTGCGAAAACCAAGGCGAGTAAAGAGACCTTGACAAGACTTTGCCTCCTTCTAGTCATTATATTTGTCACATGTCTCCCGTCGTCAGGTGTCTTTCATCAGGTTGCCGACGGTGGCGACCTATCCAATGCCATGTCGAGCTATTATACCTACTTTGCCGCTGGGACAGGCTACCGAGGTGCCAGGTGGATTCTCTACTCTGATGCAGTGACTGGAACTGACCTTCTCGCCGCATGCACCCCGACCTACGATCCACGGGAGGCGGGCAGCGAGCTCAGCTCTCTTGTCGGCGTGATGTGCGTGGACGTCAATGTCATCGTGAGCCTTGATGTCTTGCGGCTGCGGAGCGATTACTCGGCCTTCATCAGTCGAGTGGAGGCGGACACTGTCCAGTGCACGCCTCTCTTCCAGGGGCTGTCGGGCTCCCTCAAGGAGAGCGCCTTGGAGAAGGTGAGACAACGACTGGCATCTGCTGGAGCCAGCAGCTGTGAGGGCTTCCTCGACGACACTGACGATGATGGCGGGGGAGCCGGCGACGCCATTTCTGCCGCTGTCGCGATTCCAATCGTTGTCGTTGTCACTCTCGGAGGGATGGGATGGTTTTATCGGAGACACAGGAGAAGAAAGCAGAACCAAGTCTGTCATATGATGAACGCTCCTGTTCATCAACCACATCCGCCCATTCAGCCCGCTGCGCAGCAATACGGAGCTCCAGGAGTGATTGTCATGCAGCAGCCACCCCTTCAGCCAGCGCCAGTCCACCAGCAGCCGATGGTTGTCACGACTTTCCAGCCTCAGCCTCAGACTCCGCCACAGCCGCAGCTGATTGTGCAGATGGGAGAGCCTCAGGCTCAGATACCGAGCCCGATCCAGAATTACGCCGCCGACACATCGGCGCGGCCTCCCGCCTATTAGCGTCCATCCGTGAGTAGCATAGCCCAGGGGCATGCACATTATGCAGATACCCGTTAGATACATACAGGCATTCGTGTACGTCGGCTTTGCTAATGGTAGATCCCGTGTGGGCGAACTAGTGACATGAATTAGCACGCATGCTCTCACAATCGGTGTGAATCGGTTTGCACTCGCTGTGCAAGGCGTGAGTGGTGTTTTCTGAGAGGGAGATGGCATCCATGGCATGATTTGGTGTGGTGAAGGGGTGGGCAACGTCGTGTGACCTTGCATGTATGTATTGACCGGTAAAGCAGTCTTCCCCCCCGAAAAAGGAAAACATGGAAGCTCAAATCAATGCATGTCCAGCGTGGCATGTAAAGTGGGCAGACAAAAACTGTCCAAGAAGTCGATAAAATATGTCACTACCAAACACGCAGCCCACCCTCAGCAAATTAGGGCAGCTCCGTGCATGAATGAATCAGTCTGTCTACTACATCCACGATACACGCGCCTCGTGTCTTAAACTATGTCGTCTACGCCGTGCACATGATGCTGCTACTTATGATGCTGCTACTTATGGATGGCCGGATATACTATATTTGGGAGGCTGCGATGTGTCGTATGCGGGAGGCTGTGAGACGTTGGCGGCGTCATTCTGCATTGGCCTCGGAGTCTCCTGCGGCGACTGAGCCTGAGGCTCTCCCACCTGTACAATCAGCTGTGGCTGTGGCTGTGGCTGGGGCTGGAAAGTCGTGACAACCATCGGCTGTTGGACTGGCACCGGCTGAAGGGGTGGCTGCTGCATGACAATCACCCCTGGAGCTCCGTATTGCTGCGCAGCGGGCTGAACAGGGAATTGCGGGTGGTGTGGGGCCTGCATCATAGGAGAGGTGACCACCTTGGGGGGCCTGTTCCGCTCTTGTCTTCTCTTGTACCATATAAATCCGCCCGCACATAGGCCCCCCCAGCAAAGGAACGAGAAGACACCAGAAAGAGCAGCGGCGACTGGGTCAGTGCTGGTTTCGTTGTCCCCCTCGGAGTCCTCCTCCGGATCAGTGTGTCTGACAGCAGTGCTCTGGAGAGAGCGCGAGAGATTTCCTTTTTCCTGCCCCGAGCCATTGGTGCTGCCGCATGTCTGATAGGAGAAGTGGAGGCCGGAGGACGGGAAGTAGGCCGACTGATACTTGAGCGGCAGAGTGCAGTCGTTGTCATCAATCCAGCACCACTCGTCATGACACCAAGTGGGCGCATCGCTGCGGACTGCGCCCTCGGCATTCGCACAGAAGGGCGGAAGAAGCCTGTCTGTGTCGCACAGCTGATGTCGTAGTCACCTGGGTACCTGAAGGACACAAACAGACGTCCTTCACAATGCCGTGCCATCACAACGAGTGGGCCCCATTGCAGTGGCCGGCGCACCTGTACGTCTGATATTCGTAGCCGCCGTCCTTGGAGAAAGGGGCGAGTGCCGCCGCCACAAGGGGTTGGTCCAGGCATGGACAGTTTGGCGACGCCGCCGACTGCCCGGCAGCCCCACGGAGCAGCAGAAAGGAGGTAATGAAGAGGCCAAGGAGCTCAGACGACGAAGCGCCTGAGGGAGCAGACATGAGGGATGGAGGAAGGGGAGAGGACCGTCAAGCTCGCAAATGCGATCGCGTAAGCCCCCTGAGTATCAAAGTTTAATCCGAGTCTGTTTTACACAAAGCTCTGCTTCTGAAGCTCCAATCATCGCCTTCAAGGTGGATGAGTTGGTAAGCGCAAAACGATTGGATCTACGCTGCATCAACAACTTGGAGGCTTGTGTGCTTCAGGCTTCAGGGGCTCATGATGATACTGAGAGTGCTGGTGGTCGTCACCTGTCTAAGCGCTGCGGTATTCAAGCATCCGTTCGCTCCCTTGCTGCATCTCACCTACCTTTCTCTTGTCGGTGTTTCAGATTGCCTCTCCTATCAGTGGGCGTTGGAGGCCTCTGGCATTCACTGCACTCCACACGTCACTCAGCCCCTATGCAGTCCCTCTGCGGTGCAAGGCCAGCCCCAGAGCGATAGCATGGAACGGTGGCAGCATTCATGGCGGCCTTCTACACCTCACCAGTCTTTCATCGGCCGCTGACGTAGGCAACAGCTTCGTCGATGCCCTGCCAGCACTTCTGCAGCCGTCAGCGGTCTTTACGGCATCAAACGCCTTCGTTCTTCCCTTCTGGGCTTTAATGGTCATCGCCCCAGGCGCTCAAGTCACCGAGAAGCTCATGCGGTCGGTCACCCCGTTTATCGTTCTCGGGCTTCTCTACTTGTGGTTGGCGGTGATCTCCTCAACGTTCCCTGAAGCAGTGGAGGGACTCGGACAGGGTGCGGGTCAGCTGCCGGTGCTGACAAAGGCGTTCTCGCTGGAGCCGGTGGTCGCCACCGGGTGGGTGCACTTCCTTGCCGAAGACCTCTTCGTCGGCAGATGGGTTTATCTTGATGGCCGAAAGAACGACGTGCCTATCCGGCACTCGTGTTTGCTGTCACTCTTATTCGGCCCGCTAGGGGTTGTTTCTCATCTGGTGACGCGCGATATCGTGCGGCGGCTGCGTGAGGCAAAGGACGGCGCCACCGGCGAGCCAGCGGTGGAGGATGTGCTGCTCAAGGGGTCGCGCTGATTCATTACCGTGTTAGATCTGGGATAGCCTGGAGCAAGTGTGCTTTTGGCCGATAATGTACCGACACTGTCCTGCAATGAAGAAAGTGCGACTAGCTTTGGAGCAATGCTCAAGAGCAGAGCGAGAAGGGGCGGACAGACGCTGTCGGACAGACTCTCAGTCAAATGGGGCGTTGGAGGCTTAAACGTGCATTCATTCACTCACCCGCACCGAAGATGATCCATCACAAACCACACCACACTGTCCAATCAGACAGTCATAGCCAACCGCCACACAATACGACTTCACTGCACACATCCGGCCGGCAAGGCTAAGCAGGCACACAGACAGATAGCGATAGACGGACAGATGGAGCCAGCCATGCCATGCACGGAGGAACGAACGCACGGAGGAACAAACGCACCAACAATCCCCAAGCCAGGGACGGAGAATCGCAGCTAGGGATGAATGGATGGATGGATGGAAGGAGGGAGGGGAGGGAGGGATGCAAAAACGGGGCACATATGTACATATACACGCCAGTGCACCGCCGGCCGGCCGGCAGGCCACAATGTCTGACTCACTGGCTGCAAGTGACAGATCCATCCAACCATCCTGTCACTTCCGCGGCCTGACACGCACAAGCTCCCCCTCCCCATCAGCCTTGTCGCGTGTCACAGGCCGCCCATCGGCTGATGCTGCACCACCGCCCACCCCTAGCCTCAAATTATACGTCTTCCGCTTCCGCCGCGCACCGTTTCGCCTGTTCAATGCTGTGTGCGGGCCGTCGCGGTCGAAGTCAGCTGATGTTGACGTCCCATCGGCTGAGTCCACGGCGAGCATGTCGTGAATAATGTCAACCTGACAGACGGACCGATGGACAATATGGCACCTGTGTGTAGGCCCCGTGCCTTGCTCACCTCCGCGTGTTCCCAGAGGTCGTCATGGGGATCCATCACGGTGTGTGGCGACACATCATCTGCCATTACCCCAACCGACCTCTGCCCAGGGTCGCTACTCTCGCCATCAAGCGGAGGCGTCACGTCTCGCGGCGTCGATCCAGTGAAGGCAGTCACATTGACGCGCGACTGGTTGGGGAGCTCAAGCGCCCCCTTGCCCCCCCGCCCCCTCCTGCCACGCCTCCGCCGCGCCCTTGGAGGCCGTGTGGTGGGGACGGCCAATGCCGTGTCATTCAGGGTGGATTGATCCGATGTGGTGTTTCGTGGAGGGCTGGCTTGCGTGAAGAAGGTAGCGTTGACGCGGGACTGGTTGGGAAGGGTGAGCTTAGACCGAAGGTCGACCACGGTGACCCTCGCTGCTGCTGCTGCTCCTCCTCCTGTCGCATTGCTTGGCGGGGGCTCGGCTGGTCTGGGGGCGGGCTGCGTCAGGGGAACGGTGCTCCGACGGCTGCCCTCTGCCATCGCCACTGATGTGGCGAGCAGCAGCTGCCGAATCGACGTAACTGACACAAAGCTGCCGCCTGCTCCCGATGCGTCGGCTCTCTCGCCCACGACCGCGGGCTCCCCCTCGGCCTTGGTCAGGGCAGTGAGGTCAACCGAAGCCTCTGTGAGGTTGTGCCGGCGCTGACCGGTTGCCAGTGGGGGGACCTTGATGGCACGATCAGGCCGGCGTGCCGCAGCAGGTGCCGTTCCTGTGGCCTTGGGCCGTCTCAGATCCTCCCGACGGGCGAGTGAAGGCCTGGGCAGCAGGTCGCTGAACAGCCTTTTGAAAACGGACGTGTCGAAGCCGAGTGCGTGGGGGAAGGGGAACGACCGCCGCCTCTCGTGCTCGCTGACGGACTGGAAGAGACACCTCCAGAAGGCCACACTGAGGAGGATCTGGCTCATCGGTGGCCGCACGTTGGCGTAGTTGAGCTTGAGGGGAAGACAGTCCGGCTCAGGAGGGGGAGTGTAGTCGGGCGGGACGTAAGAGCCCTCCGCGAAGAACTTGCTGACGTACTGGAGGGGCAGCCAGTGGAGCGACGCCATGTCGGCCTCATCGGGGCGCTCAGACCGGGGCATCTCGTTGTACCGTTCGGAGATGTTCTTGCTCCATCCCGACAGTGACGACACGCCACACAGGAACAACGCGTACTTGCCGGAAGGCAACCTGACAGACAAGACAGCACAGAGAGGTTGCCGACCCGATCCGCCCCTGCTGCAGTGCCGTCTCTCCTCAAGATCTTGTGTGTATGTACCAGAAAACGCGCAGATCCGTCGATGTCTGTATGGTTTTGGTGATGACGTCCAGGTCCATTTCCCTCCCCGTCTCCTCCCACAGCTCACGCACCGCCGTGGCGAAGCTGCCGTCGTCGCCCTTCTCCCTCCGTCCACCGAGGAAGGACCACTTGAGCCCCCGCTCCCTGTACCGCTCCACACCCACAAGCACCTCCACGTTGCCATCGGCATCCAGCCGGTATGGCAGAAACTGCACCACACCACGTGTGTGTGAATGGACACGAACACACATACATCACATCACAAAACAGCATGGGATGATGAGAGAGACCGAGCAGAGATGCCCATGCGTTCCGTCACACTTACGCCTGCTGCCCGGTAGGCGTACTCATCTTGCGGCTTGAGCACCTTGGCTTCATAGGTCCGCAATGTCATCCCGTTGCTGCCTCTGGTGGTCTTGAGCATGCCGCACTCGCTGCTCCGCACCTTGCGCCTCCTGCCTGCCTTCGCTGACCGCGACGACAGCTGTGTGGTCTGCTGGAACAGGGGCGTGAGGCGCCGGTTCGGTCCATCATGCATGAGAGTCACTCCCATCGATAAAATCGAGCAGCAGAGGGCGAGGACGAGAGCTTGAAGCGGTGGCATCACTCATCAGCAGATGGACAACAGCCGATCGGTCACAGATCTGGAGGCCGCTGCATCAGATCTGCTTCAATGGCGTAGGGCCGGACTGGAGAAGGTCACACAGCAGGACGCTTCTCTCTTTCAGCTTCCTCCCTCCTCAGCTAAGCTCGCAGACGGATCGCGAAGATCTTCCTCCGCTTTCAAGGCACGAGTCTCGTTAAACACACTAACCAACCAACCAACCAACCAAGGCCCGTAAGGCGTTATCCCCGGCGCGAGAGACCCATGCTGATCGTGGCGTTGCTCAATCTGTGCATTCTTGTCTCTCCGCATGCTTCGACTGCAGCCAGCGGTGTCCGCCCGAGTGCATCCATCCCCATGCTGAAGGTCGGCCAGCGGCACTCTGACGACGCCATATTCGACGCCCTCGGCACCATCAAAGGGCGGCCTCCCAACCATCCCTTTGTCCGCGGCACGCTCCTGAGGTACCCGACCTCGTCGATGGCGCCGTCCTCTTACATGGTCAATCACAAGCGGTTCCTCATCGGCCACGGCGAGAAGGCCTACCACTTCGCCTCCCGCGCCCTGCTCTCGTGGCAGCTCATCAACGAGAGCCTCGAGTGGATCCGCATCGACAGACGGGGCGAGGCCGTCACGACCTGCGCAAAGGCCTACGGCGTGTCCGCCATCAACCCATGCCTCTACCAATACGAGCTGATTGACCAGCGCGCGGCCAGGCCGTCGGGCAGAGAGGTGGTCTATACGGCTGTGGGCTACTCGACCGTCAAGGGCCACCTGCTGGCCGGCGAGGAGCGGTTCACCGTGGCCTGGAACCAGACGCCCAGAAAGGGCGGCCCCGTGTCGCGCATTTTCGGCCTCCGGAAGCAACGGCCGGCGAATGACAGTGACAGTGAGGGCGATGGCATCGAGAGTGAGAAGGACGGTGTGTGGTTTGAGGTCTACTCGTACTCCAGGCCCTCTGGCGTGCTGGGCCGGCTTGCTGCGGTGGCGGTGCGGCCGCTGCAGAGGCGGTTTGCGGCTGACCTGGCCGCCAAGATGCCGGCATACGTGGCCAAGGCTGTCAAGGAAGGGGGCGACTAGGCAATTTTGCGGGGAGGGTTTAAATAGCTGGCTGGCGCCCGCGCGCGTGTTGGTGTTGCTGGATACTGTTCTTGACTGTATGTTGCGTGTGTCTTCGTGGACGGTGGCTAGAAAGTGACGCGCGCATGAGCCTTTCAATGCGACATTTGACGGTCGTCTGGTTGGATGCTTTACCCTTGAAGTCTGGCCACCCACCCATATCTGACTGAAAGTCTGTCCTGTCCGACATCGTATCGTCTGCCCATGCTATGCTGGCTCTGTTCTTGAGCATTGCTCCCAAAGTAGTCGCTGCTGCCCTTTTCCCGCTTGCTTGTCTGTCCGTCCGTCCACCCACCCACTGTTGAAAGCTACGGTCCCTCGCCCACTCACTTCGCCCACCCCCCACCCTTCCACAGCCATCCACCCCACCCCACCCTATCAAGCAACCATATGCACACCACACACCAAAACCCCCCATATCTCACTCACTCTCACCCCCGAAAGACAACATCTGTCTGTCTGTCTGTCTGTCACCACACACACCCTCTTCACCTACTCACTCCGGCACTGCACCCCTACTCCCTGCATGACTGACTGACTGACATGATGCGTGTGGTCCATCTGTCTTGTTTTTCTAGATCTAGACAGGGGTGTATCGTCTGACCTCCTGTCTGCAGATGGGGCACAGCGGGTGTCTGTTTCGCATGAGTGTCTGGGCACAGGATGAGCACACGCAGACGTGGTTGCACGGGATGAGCAGGGTGTTCTTCTGCACCGCCTGACAAATCTGACAGTCCGTCGCCTCGGCCCGCCCCTCCTGCTTGCCCGCCTCGCGGCTCTCACGACGGATCCGCGACAGAGCCTGGGTGGCGAGGTCCTGCAGGGCCGGGATCTCCTCTGCGGAGAGGTGTCGCTGTCTGTCGTTGAGGTGCATGTGGAAACCGGTGAGCTCCGGTCGTCAGGCTCTTAAGGGTCTCTTCCAGTCTGACAGACAGACAGACAGACAGACATGCAGATGGAGGAGGGGTGGTGGGGGATGGGGTTGGGGGGTCAGATTACTTGTCGATTTGGTTGCGGCGGAGCTGTTCGATGTCACCCTCGAGGGCCTTGATGCTTGCCTGCAGACTGGGGAGGGCAAGAGATGAATCGATGGATGGATGGATGGATGGATGAAGGGATGAATGGACGAGTCGTCTTCCTGACTTGACTTACTTGTTGACGTTCTGCTGTCTGTCGTTGGCCTCCTTCTTTGCCGCCTCCAGCTGGTCTGTCACGCTGCACACAAGGGGCGTGGGGAGGGATGTGGTCTGTCTTGTGTGATTGATGTGGCGTGGCGGAGGCTCACTTGCGGATCTGCACGCTGTGGTTGGCTCTCTCCTTGTCTAGCAGACTGCACACATACATATGCACATGCACACAGCCACAGAGACATTGAACGCCGCTTCGTTCCGTCTCAGTCCCCCCCGCACCCGCCACCCACCTCTGCAGTTTGGCCTTTTGTACTTCCAGCTCCGTTTGTTTCTCCGCCTCAACAGCCTGCAGACGCTCAGTCGCTCTGGTGGGGCACACACACCCACACACACACAGAGAGAGAGAGAGACAGAGACACATACAACCATTTTCACTGACGCGTGAGCTTATTTGGAGACGCCCCTCACTGAGTCACTGAGTGACTCACTTCTGCAATTTGGCCTTGTGCTCATCGAGTTCCTTGCGGCTCTTGTTCTGCTCCATCTGCAGCGACGTCTTAGTCGCGGAAATCTCCTCCCTCGTCCTGCATGCCATGCATCCACACACACACACACACGTGTGTGAGAGTGGTTGTCCTGTCCCTCCCTCCCTCCCTCCCTCCGTCCGTCACTTACTTGTGAATCTGGTCCAGGTACGCTGCGATTTCCTCCTGGTGCTTCTTGATCTCCTTCTCGTGTGCGCTGCACACACACGTCAGTCACACCACATCACTCACGCAGATGCGGTGTGGTGGTGTGGGGCTCCCATCTGCCTCGCCCACCAACCCTCCCACCCACCTCTGCAGTTTGGCCTTCTGTTCTTCCAGCTCCTTTCGCTTCTCGACTTCAGCAGCCTGCAGACGCCCAATGGTCCTGGTGGTGCACACACGCACACACACGCACACACACGAGTGGGCCCATGTGCACAGAAGAGAGCCATCGACTGACTGACTCAACTCACTTTGTGATGACGGCTCGTTGCTCCTTCTCTCTGGCTTGTAGTTCTTTGAGCTCCTTGTTGGCTTGCTCCTGCAGCCGCTGGCTCTCCTGGAGCAGCTGGGTGTTGGTGTTGGCCTTGTCCGTCAGCTCTTGCTGGTCCTGCAGCAGCTGCTGCTTCTCAATCTCGAAGGCGCGGATCTGGTCCTCGTAGCTGAGAGAAGACACGGAGGGAGAGAGAGAGCACTGCCGTGTCCCTTGTGCAGTGCAGTCCTGTAAACTCACGCTTGCAGTGTGGCAGCATCGCTGTAGACCTCCAGCTTGCCCAGGTCCGCCATCAAACTGACAGACATGCAGACAAGACATACTGAGATGTCCGTATGTCCCATCGCGTGTGTGGCCACATCCATCCATCCATCCACTTATCCTTTTACGCCTCTATGTCCTGCTCTCTCTCGTCCAGTTGCTGCTCGAGGGCGCTCTTCTGCTCGGCCAGCTGCTTCTTCTCCGCCTCCAGCTGCCTGCACACACAAACACGCACTCACAGGGGGGTGATTGCTGATATGTATGGTGTGTGTGTGTGTGTGTGTGTCTGTGTGTGTGGTCGTACGATTGCGTCTTCTGCATGTCATCGAGGCGTTTCTTGAGCCTTTCCACGTCCCCCGCGGCGCCCGATTTCCTCTTGAGGCGTCGACACTGGTGCGTGCGCTGACGCCGGTACTTGTCCATCCGCAAGGCCTTCTCGTCCATTTCCTCTCGCTCGTCGTTCCCGGCCCAGTCCATTCCTTCTCCCTCGTCTCCCTCTTCGTCTTCCTCGTCGTCTTCCTCATCGGAGTCCGTCGAATCGAGCTCCTCCGACACACCCACGGGCCTGGCATGACACGGATGACACGGATGACACGGCGTCAGCAAGCAAGCAAACAACGAATGTGCCTTGTCTTAGGCCTCCCTCCCTCCATTCATTCATTCATCCATCCATCCATCTGTCCAAGCAGTCAAACTTACCCGTCTCTGTGCGGCCCCTGTCCCTTGTCGACACTGTCCCTGGACACACAAAGCCATCAGGAGAAAAACCCCTCGATAATTGCACCACGCATTGGAGACCCAAGGGGCACCCTACTTGGTCTGCTGCTGCTGCTGGTGCTGCTGTGGCTGTTGGTCAGCGGCAGGTTTCTGGGCCGCCGCTCTTTGGCCGAGGTCCCCTGAGTGACCGTATGCTTTGGCCTGCATGCCATGCGCATCATATATGCACACACACGAGGACAGACAAGGCACGGATGGATAGAACATCAGTGTGTGTGCTGTGCTGTGATGGGTCCCCCGATTGGATTGCTGGGCTTAGCTTACGGGTCGGTCTGAATGCCAACGGTGTTGTCATTGAGAGAGGTGGACGTCGATGCGTGTGCGACACTGTGCGGGTCGGCGGGGCGATTGGCAACCTGCTTCACAGGACCAGCAGCTCCATTGGGGTGAGGAGGAAGGTCGCTCGGCTCGGGTGGCCTGTAGGAAAGGTGACCATGGTGATAGAAATGAGTCAGTCACTGGCCCTCCTGCCACATGTGTGCCTTCCTCACATGTCTTCTGCAGCTCCCTGTTGGTCGTTCGGCTGATCCTTGCGGCGGCTGGCCCTAAGCTGCTGCACCATCCGTGGTAACTGACGCACAGCAGCACGGACACACAGCACAGAGATGCTTCCCTGATTGCGTCTGGTGTGGCCTGCCTCGTGTGGGTCGTTCTTGCTTGCTTACATCGATCTCCAACACCGACAGGTCCGCCTGCGTGAGAAATCACAGGCAGGATGCATTGCACCATCCCATCAGGAAGCGCTGTCAATGTGTGTGTGTGTGTGTTTTCATCAGACCGACCCGGAGCAGTTTGGCGAAGGGGTGTCCTTTGTCCCGGGACTCCTCTGTGCCCTCACAGTACCTGCAGGCACACACACAGCAATGAACACACGGACGGACGGACGGACGGGCCGACAGGGTGCGGTGCAGACATCTTATAGGTCGCGTAGCGTACGTGATCATGTCGCACATGAACTGCCGAACCACACCGTACCAGCCCTTCCCTGCGCACACACATTGACGGGCAGTCTGTGTGTGGGGTGCTATGCTGTGTAGAAATGTTCACCTTTGACTTTGACGTTTCTCAGGGTGCTCTCCTTGGTGTGGTGCAGCTGCACTGCCTTGGTCACCACGTCCACTAGACGAGCGTCGTTCAACAGCCGCCGCATCTCGTCTTTGTTCCCGCAGATGCCGGGGGTGGAGACGAGCTTGACGAACCGTCGGAGGGAGGAGCCGTCGAGTGTGTTGCACCCCGTCGGCCAGTATCGGCCCATGGTCGCTGTCACAGCGGACGCTAAGTGGCACTCCAGCAACTCACACACATCACGCGACTCTGCACACACATACCAGAAAGGCCCCCTGTTTTCCCGTCCGTCCGTCCGTCCGTCCGTCCGTGTGTGTGTGTGTGTGTTGGTGCGTACCAAGCAGGATAACCGGAATGGCCAGTGTCTTGATGTATGCGATCCCGCCCTCAGCGGCGGATCCCGACCCCTCCCCTCTCGCCAACTTCCACATGGTTTGGCCCGTCTCCTGGAGGACGCTCTGGACGCTCTCGTGGGACGACAGCATGCGGCTCAGCCGCTCAACAGCACCCTCCGCACCGCTGCGCTCTGACCACACACAACATGATACAACAACACCAGACACATACTCATGGAGGACGGATAGATGTGTGTGTGTGTGTGTGTGGTACCTATGTAGTCACAGATACATCCGAGGATGAGCACTGCGGGTGCTTTGAGGTCCTCCTCCGATCCTGCGATGACTTTGCAGAGGTCCGGTACGTACTTGGCTGCGGCCTTCTCGAATGGCCACCGGCCCTTCCCCTTGACAACGGGGGCTGCACACACGCACATTGCACACAGGGCAGAAGCACCGCATGTGTGCAGCACAGCACATGGTGACACCTCTTCAGAGTTCCACCTTCCACAGTCGCACACGCCAGCTTGTGAACGAGGGGCATGAGGGCTTTGCCATTTTTCTTGGTCGGGTGGCCGAGAACGTCCATCGCCTCCTGGTACATCCATATCACACTATCCAGTGGTGACACGCAATCCTCAGGCTGGAAGAGTCCCTGCTCTTCTTGTGGGACGCCTGCGCAAACAGACACATGACATGAAATGTGACGACGAAGTGGTCATTGTGGCGCCTTCTGCATCGGTGTTGACCTCTCTGTGAGCGGGGCCCTGGCGGCCGAGCCCCACCGGAGCCTGAGGCTGCCGCACTCATGCCTGACGACAAAAATATGACGACAGGATACCACGAGGCATGAATTGGAACGGTCCCTGTTGGTATTTCTATCGTACGTACCCCCTCTGTTTCGCTGTACCTTTCAACCGAATCTCAAACTTCACGGTTTCACGGAGCGCAAGCTTCGTCCCCAAACCCTTAACCTCACCGCCGCCTTTCCGTGTTTCCTGCGGACGGTCTTTTCTGCCCACAACAAGGGACTCGTCCCCCCCACCAGGACCGCCCTGACCCGCCCCCTTTGAGTGTTGCTGCATTTTGACTGAGGAGGAGGACTTCGGCAGACTGTAATTCCACATGGGTCGGCGAGGCGAGATGGGCGTAGTGGGCTGGTCCCTGGCGGCCATCCGAGCGGGTGTGTTCTTGGCGCTGTCTGTGCCGCTGTCGGCAGTGTTCTTCGCCATGTCGCCCGTCTTCCATCTCCTGCACATGCTCACCGACTCCATCATGTGGTTCTTCATCGGCAAGTGCTTCATCTACAACATCAGCTGGGAGGTACGCCACGCCCGTGTCGAGAGTTGCGCATTGCTCTGCTAGGTGTGCACTGCACACAGTGCGCATGTCTGTCTGTCTGGCTGTCTTGTGTGTGGCGCATTGCATGCAGGATCCACGCATCGACCAGCGTCTGTTCCGTCTGTCTGAGAGCGACCACGTCATTACCCTCTGCTCAGCCGGCGACAACGCACTCGACTACATCCTGGAGGGCGCCAAGGTGACGGCCGTCGACCTCAACCCATGCCAGATCGCCCTCGCAGAGCTCAAGATGGTCGCCGCACAGTGCCTGCCTTACGAGGAGTTCTTCGCCATCTTCGCACTCTCCGACACGGCCTTGCTGCGGGCCCGCTACTTCAGCCAGTTGCGGCCGAAGATGAGCTCGCTCGGTCAGCGGTTCTGGGACAGCTACGTGTACCGCCTCAAGAACTTCCTCTACTCGGGCAGCTCGGGCTTCGCCGCCTGGGTGCTATTCCGCGTCATATTCCCTCTCTTTGGCCTGAGCTGGATTCGCAAGTGAGTCGACCGGTCGGCAGAGGGGTGGGGAGGTGGACGTGTGTGCGTGTGTGTGTGATTGTAGGGCGGTTGAGCGCGGCGCGACTCGCGAGGAGTTCTTGCGCGAGGTTGAGATGCACTCTCGTCAGGTCAAGACGCTGTGCTACATCTGCGACAAGTACATCTTCAAGGGCTTCGCGGCCTTCGCCGGGGTGCCCAAGGCGCAGCTCAAGCTGGGCCTGCACCGCAGCAACAACGCTGAGACCATCTTCAACATAGCCTTCCTGGTCCGTTCGTAGGCAGGCCGCACAGCACACGCCGCCTTTCTTGCCTTGATGCGCACCGCACCTATGTGTGTCATGCTGGCTGGCTTGCTGGCTCGCTGACGACTGACTGACAGTCATGGTGTGGTCGTTTCTGGTTGCCCCTGTGTGTGTCGGTGGTATGTGGGCTGGCCCCCGATGTGCCTATGCAGGAGTCGGACCTGGTGCGCGACAACTACTTCTTCGGCGGGTATGTGCTGGGGAGGTGGACCAAGGAGTGCTGCCCGAGATACCTCAAGGAACACAACTACCCCAAGCTGCAGAAATACCTGCAGGTCAGTCAGGGGGCCCTTGGGTGTGCGTGTGTGTGCGTGTGCATCGATCTCTCTCTCTCCCTCTCTCTGTGTGTTGTGTTGTGTCGGCCAGGCCGGCAATCTGAAGCTGGTTTGTTCGTCGCTCGACGCGTTTTTGTCTGAGTGTGCCGACGGTGAGTTCACCGTGGCCTCTCTGCTGGACCATCTCGACTGGATGAACGCCCACCAAGTCAACAGGGAAATCGCACACCTGCTACCAAAGATGGACCAGTAAGTAACCCACCACCATTCATCCCATTCATCCCACACACACACACAACCCTCCATCCTCCATCCTCTCTCTTGTCCGAGCGTTCAGGCAGCGCGGCCGTCTGTTTTGGCGTTCGTTCTCTGAGCGTCTGCACTCGGCCCCCCTGGTGTGGCTGAACCCCAAGCGCGTCGACGACACTGGGGACCGAGTGGGCATGTACTTCTCCACCTGGATCGCCAGCGTGGCCGACAGCGACTACACACTCGTCGAGCGAACTCAGACCGCACACCTCTACCAACAGGTCGGTCTGTGTCTCTGTGTGTGTGTGTGTGGGGTGGGGGGTGGGGGGTGGGGGGAGAGAGGGAGAAGGGGAGAGATGTGTGTGTGTGTGTGTGTGTTGGTCATCCCATCCATTTGTTGATCGATCAGGGGTTGCTTCAGAACATCGTGACTGGCGCCAAGGTGGTGAGTTTCCCCTTCTGGCAGGCGTTCGTCAAGCCCCACCTGGACGACTCGGCCGCCATCAACCAGCACCAGTCTACCATGGAGGCCTTCTACAGATTCCAAAAAGAAGGCACGAACCGCACCCTCCCTCCCTCCCACACCCCCAAACCACCAAACCACCAACAACACTCACACGCACACACACGCATGTGGCGTGTGCACCACATGTGTTTGTCTGTCTGTGATGCATGCAGGCTACGACGCGTTTCGTGAGCGGATGTTGCACAGCCGTCCTTTGTTGATGGAGCTGATTCCCATCCGCAAGGGCGGCAACATGGTATGGGTTGACATCGGCGGCGGCACCGCACGCAACCTAGAGTTCCTGCCCGTTGAGGTCGTCAAGAAATACTTCAAGGTATCAACATCTGTCCGGCAGCACACACACACACACACACACAGAGAGAGAGAGAGAGAGACGGAGGGAGGGAGGGAGGGAGGGAGGGAGGGAGTGGCCGGTGGCCATGCGAGTGTGGTCTGTGTGTGTGTCGCGCTGCAGGCGATCTACATTGTGGACATCAGCGCGTCGCTGTTGGAGATCGCAGCGCGTCGCGTCAAGGCCTGTGGTTTGGACCACATTGTGCATCTTGTCGAGGCAGACTGCACACACCCATCCGTGTGGAGGTAGGTAGGTCGACCAAGACAACAAACAGCATGGCAGCCATACACACACACACACGGCGTGTTGGATGCACGTGTGGCCATCCATTCAGTTCTCTGCCCAGCCCTGGGAGCGTTGATGTGGTGACGATGAGCTACTCGCTGTCGATGATCCCCGACAAGCGCACCGCCGTCGCCAACGCCGTCAAACTACTCAAACCCAAGGGCAAGGGGTGAGCGAGTCGTCAATGAATGGGGCCAGGCCACGAAGGTCTCAAACAAAGCCATCCGGGCCGTCTCTCTCTGTGTGTGTCTGTGTGTGTCTGTGTGTGCAGCACATTGGGTGTGGGTGACTTCTTCCTCTACAACGTGAACGACCACAGACTGCCCCCTCACAAAGCGCTCCTCAGAAATGTACGACGACACCACCCATCCGCAACACGACGCTCATTTCATTTGTGTCATCTTGTCATCTGCGCGCGTGTCACATCCCATGCCATGCCATGCCATGCAGGCTGAGGCCCGTTTCCACCGCTGGTGGTTCGCCAACGACCACGTGCATCTGTTGGACCCGCCCACGCTGCGTCTGGTGACGGCATCCACCGAGACCATGTGGGACCAGCGCTTCAGGGGACCCATTCCATTCATACCCCTCTTCAGACCCATACACGGCGTCATGCTCGTCTCCACGCGATAGGGAGACACACAGACAGACATAGGTGCATGCCATGTGTGTGGGTGTGTGTTGGGTGTGGTTGTGGTTGTCTATGGCGGAGTGTGCCCCCGGGGGGCAAGGCAAGAGGGGAGGGAGGAGAGGAGTCGTCGTTTCCGTTTTTGTGTGGTCCGTGTATTCCGTTCCGCGTTTGTTTTGTTTTTAGCGCTTCTGCCGTTTGTTTGTGTGTCCTCTCTACCGAAGGATTTTTGTTTCCCGAAAGCCTTCGGCCCTTTCTTTGTGCTGTCCGTCCGTTCTGTTGATAGGCATCACATACATACCATACATAACATACACACGTTTTACATAACATACATATGCTTTACATCTCATGGCCTCTATCTGTCTGGCTTCCTACAGGTCTGCATGGATCGCATTTTTTCGCCCACCTCTCTTCTCCCAGCCGGGCGGCTTCCATTCCATGGCTGCATACCCACTTATTTAAGCAAGCTAGGGCTGCATACCATGCACACATACAGCGAGAGAGGGGGAGGGGGAGGGGGAGAGAGAGGCAGACAGACAGACAACCACCCGATTGATGTGTGTGAGAGGAGTGGATGGTTGGATCGATAAGAGTGAGTGAGCGCGTGTCTGCGATTTTGGCTGCGGAAGGAGAGAGAGACAGTGAGTGAGCGAGGAGAGAACGGAGGGAAGGAATGCTGTGCGATTTTTGCCTGGCAGCGATTCGCACAGGACGGAGAGTAGAGAGAGAGACAGAGCGAGAGAGAGAGAGAGTGATATTGTTGGGTCTTCAGGTGGAGATGTCAGTCTCTCTGGGCCGTCCCGTCACCCACCCCACACACCGACATACACAAGACCACACCGTGCGATGGAGGTTGAAGTTGTGACGGCCCAGGGGACCCCTCTGCCGTTTTGTAGACGTCTGCATATGATATACGTGTGTGTGAGAAGGGAGTGAGTGGGGGAGTGGGGGAGGGATCCATAATTCAGATCTATATTGGAGGCTGACCACTGAGTGGTGCAAGCAACGGTCCGGTCGAGGGATGGATGGATGGATGGAAGGGTGTGCCTGTCTCTCTGTTGGTTTAATGGGCTGGTGGTGTGGGTGAGATTTCTTTACATGTATGTCTGTCTGAGGAATTGCGTGCGCGTCGACTGATTTGGGGAGGGAGGGGTCCCGGTGAGGCAGACGAGCGGGCCACCGCACATGTGGCCACAATGACATGGATGGATGGATGCATACATGAATTTCTTTCCTTTCACGGCACGGCGTCCACAATACTTATGTGTGTGGGGGCGGAGCAGGAATCATATGAATGAGTTGATATTGTTGCCTTGCCTTGCCTTTCCTTGCCTGTCTTCTTGTTTCACATGATTAGTCATTTTTCCCCAGAGAGCAGAGGAAACAAACCCTCTTGCTTGCCCACTCGCCCTCCCGCCCCACCATGGGTCGGTCACATCACCTGACGCAGCAGTGACTGGCAGTGACAGCCACCCAGGGGGACAGACAGACAGAGATGCAGACAGGCAGGGGAGGCAGGGAGGGGGGGCAACCTGACATCCGGATGAATGTGGGCCCGTGTGTGGTGTGTGTGGTGGGGGTGGTTTTGTTTTAAGGGCCTGCCTGCCTGGACTTACTCAGTGAGTGCTGCGCTGCGCTGCGCTGCGCTGTGCTGTGCTTGCTGCGTACGGTACCCACTGAGCCTGACCTTCAGACAAGACAGCTTCCTTATCCTACTCCACTGGTAAACAATTCAACCAATGGCTGCAGGGGCAAAGTTTGCCACCCCGCCCATCCCATCGATGAGTTCACGGCCCACAGCAGATGAGTCAACGCATATATACACACCGTCCGCACCGCACGTATGAAGTCCATCATCCATGTGTCTACACACGCCACACACGCGTCCGTATGGCTCACATCCCCTCCCACGTCAGTCAGCTCGACTCGTTCGACCGCATCTCTGTCGGCTTTGTGGAGGAAGTCGAGTGTGTGGCCATCGATAGCGGCACCATGGCGGTCCGCACTGTGATTGTTACATATCTGTGCACACACACACACACAGAAGGCATTCACACATACAAGCAAGCCCAGCCACACACACACGGGCCCCCACTGGCACTCACCCTTATCGCTGTGGTCGTCATCCTCACCACCATCGTTATCCTCTGCACAAAGCACACGGACCGATGAATCCGATGTAATTGTGTACGTGTGAATCATCCGATATCGATCGATCTCGATCGACCGATCTCGTTCAGCAGCGAAATGGAATAACTGACTGAGATGGGTGGATGGATGAGTGGAGGATGATGCACACTGACTGAGTGAGTGAGTGACTGACTGAATTGATCGCAGCAGTGAGTGACTGAGCGGCCTCGCGAGCACCTGATCGGTTGCTGCTCGCATAGTGAGACCCGCTCTGTCTCCCTGTCTGTCTGACTCATGTCGTCGACGCCGGCTGGCGACGGGTCATCGGCGGCCGACTCATCAGACAGCAGCCGCGGGCAGAACGTGACGACACTGTGGATCCTCGACTGGTGAATGAGACACACACACACACAGAGAGAGAGAGAGAACAGACGTCGGTCTTTCATGCTTTCATGCGTGTGTGTCTTTGTGTGTGTCTGTGTCTCTGTCAGGGATGACACGTTGTTGCCGTCTTCAGTGCTGGTGCGTCTGCTGGGCCGCGACAGTGGCGGCATGTGCATCGGCGGCGGCGACTGGCGGGACAAACAGCTGCCGGAACTCTATGTCGACCTGATAGCGAAGATCGACGCGGCGGCCACTGGACTGGTCGAGACACTCATCGGTCAGCCTGACAGACACACAGAGAGGGAGGGAGGGAGAATGTCATGTGTCTGGTGTGTGTTGTATAGGCAACGGTGCGATGGTTGTGATACTGAGTGCTGCCGAGGAGCTTTGGCTGACACTGTCGGCACAGAGGTGGCTGCCAAACCTGTCCCAATTGCTGACCAAACACAAGATCAAGTAACACACACACACACTCATCCAACCAGCTCACTGGGTGCGTGTGCACACGTGGATGTGTGTGGATGTGTGTGTGTCAGGATGCTGTCGGCTCAACTCGCCAACGTCAAGATAACCGAGTGGAAGGTATGAAGAAAAAGCCATCCATCCATCCATCGTCACACACACCCACACCCACACACAATACACACTAATGTGTCTGTGTCGGTTTGTCGTCATAATCAACATAGAAGCGCAAGTTCAACAAGGTGATCAAGTCTCTCTCGCCGCACACGGTTGTGGCCGTCGGCGACAGCACATTGGAGATGTGAGCAAAGGAGGCGCACACACACAGCTTTGGAGAGATCCACGTGTGTTCGTGTGTGTGTGTGTGTTCAATCAGGGATGCGCTGTCGGCTTGTGAGCGTCAGTTCAGTGTGGGCATCAAGGTCAAATTCGCGCCGCTGCCGTCTTGCACACGACTGCTGCAGGTGACCATGACACCAGCCAGCTGCAAAAATGAATCCATCTGCGTGTGTGTGGTCTGTCTGTCTGTGTCGGTGCAGGAGCTTGAGTCACTCCACTCGATGGTGCCGGTCATTAGCCAGGCCGGCAACAGACACAGCTTCTCCATGCAACACGCAAACACCAAGTGAGTACGCCACCAGCCCACACACACACACACACATGCACTTCACGTCTCTCTCGTGTGTATGTGTGAGTAGTTGTCCGTCGATCGAGCAGGAGTTCGCCAGGGCCACTCGCGGCGGCCGCAACGACGTCACGCCCTCCCCCAGCCGTGCCGCCAGCAACCGCAGCCGTCGCCGCCACACCAACACATCCCTCGCACGCACCAGCAGCCACAGAGCCCCACAGCGCCAGCCCCGCATCAAGCGAGAGCGGCCATCGGCGCCGTGTGAGTGTGAGTGCCAGCCAGACGACGATGCGCAGCAAGACCAGGACGCCTCCACCGATAATGAGGTCATCAAACTCATCGACATACAACAGGTGGGTGATACCACACACGGAAGCGACTGACACCACACAAGCTGACCTCTGTCTGTGTGTGTCTGTGTGTGTGTGTGTGTGTCAGTTTGGTGACGATGATGAGGCTGTGTGTCCGCCCAGCCCGCCCCCTCCCCGCCCCAGCTGGCCAACGCTGGCAGTCATGAGCAACAAGCGCCCACGCATGGCCGACCACCGACAGACCAGCGACAGCAGCAAAGGCAGCGACAGAGAGAGGCAGGAGGGCGGCGTGGACGCACCGCAGTAGACAGACAGACAGACAGATAGCCACTCGGCAGCGAGAGAAAAGGAGAGAGGGGATTGCGTGTCAGTCAGTCGCCTGCAGGTGTGCATGCCGCAGCGTTAGCCATACTGACTGACACGACAGACCCACCCTCTCTCTCTCTCTCTGCGTAGCTCTCTCTCTCTCTGCGTAGCTCTGCAATGAGCTACGCATCAATTCCATGCATCCCATCAGTGTCAGTGAGAATTCATCTTGGCGATGGACAGACAGACAGACAGACAACCGACTGGCCTTCGCGTGAGTGCGTGTGTGACTGTCGATGGATGGATGGATGAATGATGGGGTGGGGATTTCGAATGGATGGATGACGGTGCAATGCATTTGGATCATGCAACCACATGGCGGGGTCCAACCACATACACACATTTGTCAAGACCCATCGCCACCACCACCCAAAAACCCAGGAATTTCACCGAATGCATTCGTCCATGCATTTTTCTCCTGCCCCTTTTCTTCACACTCGTTCTCCTCCTGCTGCTGCTATCCGTCGCCATCGGCATCGCCCTCCAACTCGCCATCCATGTCTGCACACACACACATACAGGGAAGGCACACGCAGGACACATACCAGTAAGCCCAATCACATACACACGCCCCCACTGACCGTCACCACTATCGCTACCGTCGTCATCGTCATCCTCACCATCCTCGTCCGCACCCTCCACTGCACAAAGCACAAGGACCGATTCGACCAGCCGACATAACGAGATGGAAGCGGCCGGCTGCACACTCACCTTCAGCGACTTCCTGTTGGTTAACCACCATGTCTGCGATGGGCTGCCCCACCAGGCCGCCCACCAGAGGGACGGTAGCCGGCCGGCGATCCTTGAAGGCAGCCGATGCATCACCCACTGGCGGCTCGTTGGTGACAACAGCCACACCCACTGCATGCAGCGAAACAGCACACGTCAAGGGACGGTATCATCACCAGAGGATCATTGACCCCTTTCTTACCCATGGTCGTGTCGGCCCAGGTGATGAGTGACACAGGCGACGAATGGGCTGTCGAACGGTGTCAGCAGCAGCCGCCGAGCCTCCACAGGGGGATACCTATCGTCCCACCTGCTTGCCATGACGGCGGTGCATCGGTCGGGGGGCTGGTGGGGCGAGTGGTTGAGGAGGCCGTCCAGCACACCGCCATGAGCATGCCTGAGGAGACCAACACATAACAGAGGGGAGAGGCCCTGATGGATGGACGGATGGATGTGGGTCTGCCTAAGTGTGGTGTGCTCTGCGTACCGGTCCACCAGCCATTGGCTCGGTGCCGTGGCATCTAGCTGTCCTCCAGCCTCCTTCTCTTGGCCTCCCTCTCCACACCCTCACCTGACACATTGAGGCACACATCACAGCCATGACGCACACAAGGAATATGTGTGTCGCCCTGATCTGGCTCCTCCCCTTTCCCCATCTCACCCTCTTCATCCTCCTGCTGCTGCTGCTGGCCATCGCCCTCGCCCTCTCCGTCGACGTCGCCATCCATATCTGCACACACACGCAAACATACAAGTGGGCCCAACCACACACACATGTATTCCACACCCTCATCGCTGTCGCCGTCGTCATCCGCACTATCATCATCATCCTCTGCAGACACACACACACACACACACACATACATACATATGAGGAAGACACCTAGCAAGGCGGGCTGGGCACCGCACACAGACCACTTACCCTCACCACCATCGTCATCGTCGTCATCCGCACCCTCATCTGCGCACCACGACACACACGCCGATTCAATGACATCCGACTCACAGACCGAAGTGGAGGCGGCCGGCTGCACACTCACCCTCATCAATGACTTCCTCCTGTTGGTTGACCACCATGTCTGCGATGGGCTGCCCCACCAGGCCGCCCACCAGAGGGACGACAGAGGGCAGGCGGTCCTTGAAAGCAGCCGATGCATCACCTACTGGCGGCTCGGTGGCGCGGGCAGAAACTAACACTGCATTCAGCAGAACAGCATACGTCAGAAAACGGCTCCATCACCTGAGGATCTCTTATCCGCTCCCTACCTATGTCCGCGTCGGCCAAGGTGCTGAGAAAGATCGATGCGACGAATGGGCTGTCGAGCGGCGTCAGCAGCAGCTGCCGAAGCTCTATCGGGGGATCATCATCGTCCCACCTGACCGCCATGACGGCGGTGCATCGGTTGGGGGGCTGGTGGGGCGAGTGGTTGAGGAAGCCGTCCAGCACACCGTCGTGGTCATGCCTGAGGAGAGCAACACATAACAGAGGAGAGAGGCCCTGATGAATGGACGGATGTGTGTGTGCCTGAGTGTGGTGTGTCCTGCGTACCGGTCCACGTAAGCCCATGGCGTCCACCCCCTATTGGCCGCTGGAGGGATCATGATGACCCTCATGATGAACGCCGAGACTGACGCATCAGTGAGCGCCGCACCACTGGCCGTCCAGCCGCCCTCCTGCGGGCTGATTGAGGATCTGACGGGCGGGTTGTCGTTGATGATGTGTGGGTGGAATGGGTGGGCGGGGGGGAG